CCCTTCCCTTTCCACTTTTGATTCCTTTCCCTGCAATTCCACCCAGTCCACGGCCGGGGCTACTTTTTCGAGATTTTCTTGAAAATTTCAGTCAATAATGACGTCACTAACACAGAAAAAATAGAGATTGTGTTTTTGGAGAGACCACACAGAAATAGCGTAAATTCCCCAGCCAAAAAGGAAAGGGTGGATCAGAGGTAAGCTGGCTCTTTCATTCTATCTTCGGATTAATTTCCCAAGTTAAAGGTTAGCTTGAGATTCCAGCTCCTGAAAAGTGTGGCTGAAAAAGAAAATTTTGGAAAGTTTGACTAAAAAGTCAAACAAATGTCAATTCAAACGTATTTTAATTCATGATATACCATCTAAAATACGGTTCTGATTTCTTTATTCAAATCAAAAAAGTCAAAAACGCGTACGCCACTTGAGATTCCAAGGACGTCTCCGATCCAAGTACTAATCAAGCGCACCGTTGCTTAACTTGCCAGATCGGACGGGATGGCGTGCTTTCAACGGGCTATGGGCGTACACACTCCCTTCCCTTTCCACTTTTGATTCCTTTCCCTGCAATTCCACCCAGTCCACGGCCGGGGCTACTTTTTCGAGATTTTCTTGAAAATTTCAGTCAATAATGACGTCACTAACACAGAAAAAATAGAGATTGTGTTTTTGGAGAGACCACACAGAAATAGCGTAAATTCCCCAGCCAAAAAGGAAAGGGTGGATCAGAGGTAAGCTGGCTCTTTCATTCTATCTTCGGATTAATTTCCCAAGTTAAAGGTTAGCTTGAGATTCCAGCTCCTGAAAAGTGTGGCTGAAAAAGAAAATTTTGGAAAGTTTGACTAAAAAGTCAAACAAATGTCAATTCAAACGTATTTTAATTCATGATATACCATCTAAAATACGGTTCTGATTTCTTTATTCAAATCAAAAAAGTCAAAAACGCGTACGCCACTTGAGATTCCAAGGACGTCTCCGATCCAAGTACTAATCAAGCGCACCGTTGCTTAACTTGCCAGATCGGACGGGATGGCGTGCTTTCAACGGGCTATGGGCGTACACACTCCCTTCCCTTTCCACTTTTGATTCCTTTCCCTGCAATTCCACCCAGTCCACGGCCGGGGCTACTTTTTCGAGATTTTCTTGAAAATTTCAGTCAATAATGACGTCACTAACACAGAAAAAATAGAGATTGTGTTTTTGGAGAGACCACACAGAAATAGCGTAAATTCCCCAGCCAAAAAGGAAAGGGTGGATCAGAGGTAAGCTGGCTCTTTCATTCTATCTTCGGATTAATTTCCCAAGTTAAAGGTTAGCTTGAGATTCCAGCTCCTGAAAAGTGTGGCTGAAAAAGAAAATTTTGGAAAGTTTGACTAAAAAGTCAAACAAATGTCAATTCAAACGTATTTTAATTCATGATATACCATCTAAAATACGGTTCTGATTTCTTTATTCAAATCAAAAAAGTCAAAAACGCGTACGCCACTTGAGATTCCAAGGACGTCTCCGATCCAAGTACTAATCAAGCGCACCGTTGCTTAACTTGCCAGATCGGACGGGATGGCGTGCTTTCAACGGGCTATGGGCGTACACACTCCCTTCCCTTTCCACTTTTGATTCCTTTCCCTGCAATTCCACCCAGTCCACGGCCGGGGCTACTTTTTCGAGATTTTCTTGAAAATTTCAGTCAATAATGACGTCACTAACACAGAAAAAATAGAGATTGTGTTTTTGGAGAGACCACACAGAAATAGCGTAAATTCCCCAGCCAAAAAGGAAAGGGTGGATCAGAGGTAAGCTGGCTCTTTCATTCTATCTTCGGATTAATTTCCCAAGTTAAAGGTTAGCTTGAGATTCCAGCTCCTGAAAAGTGTGGCTGAAAAAGAAAATTTTGGAAAGTTTGACTAAAAAGTCAAACAAATGTCAATTCAAACGTATTTTAATTCATGATATACCATCTAAAATACGGTTCTGATTTCTTTATTCAAATCAAAAAAGTCAAAAACGCGTACGCCACTTGAGATTCCAAGGACGTCTCCGATCCAAGTACTAATCAAGCGCACCGTTGCTTAACTTGCCAGATCGGACGGGATGGCGTGCTTTCAACGGGCTATGGGCGTACACACTCCCTTCCCTTTCCACTTTTGATTCCTTTCCCTGCAATTCCACCCAGTCCACGGCCGGGGCTACTTTTTCGAGATTTTCTTGAAAATTTCAGTCAATAATGACGTCACTAACACAGAAAAAATAGAGATTGTGTTTTTGGAGAGACCACACAGAAATAGCGTAAATTCCCCAGCCAAAAAGGAAAGGGTGGATCAGAGGTAAGCTGGCTCTTTCATTCTATCTTCGGATTAATTTCCCAAGTTAAAGGTTAGCTTGAGATTCCAGCTCCTGAAAAGTGTGGCTGAAAAAGAAAATTTTGGAAAGTTTGACTAAAAAGTCAAACAAATGTCAATTCAAACGTATTTTAATTCATGATATACCATCTAAAATACGGTTCTGATTTCTTTATTCAAATCAAAAAAGTCAAAAACGCGTACGCCACTTGAGATTCCAAGGACGTCTCCGATCCAAGTACTAATCAAGCGCACCGTTGCTTAACTTGCCAGATCGGACGGGATGGCGTGCTTTCAACGGGCTATGGGCGTACACACTCCCTTCCCTTTCCACTTTTGATTCCTTTCCCTGCAATTCCACCCAGTCCACGGCCGGGGCTACTTTTTCGAGATTTTCTTGAAAATTTCAGTCAATAATGACGTCACTAACACAGAAAAAATAGAGATTGTGTTTTTGGAGAGACCACACAGAAATAGCGTAAATTCCCCAGCCAAAAAGGAAAGGGTGGATCAGAGGTAAGCTGGCTCTTTCATTCTATCTTCGGATTAATTTCCCAAGTTAAAGGTTAGCTTGAGATTCCAGCTCCTGAAAAGTGTGGCTGAAAAAGAAAATTTTGGAAAGTTTGACTAAAAAGTCAAACAAATGTCAATTCAAACGTATTTTAATTCATGATATACCATCTAAAATACGGTTCTGATTTCTTTATTCAAATCAAAAAAGTCAAAAACGCGTACGCCACTTGAGATTCCAAGGACGTCTCCGATCCAAGTACTAATCAAGCGCACCGTTGCTTAACTTGCCAGATCGGACGGGATGGCGTGCTTTCAACGGGCTATGGGCGTACACACTCCCTTCCCTTTCCACTTTTGATTCCTTTCCCTGCAATTCCACCCAGTCCACGGCCGGGGCTACTTTTTCGAGATTTTCTTGAAAATTTCAGTCAATAATGACGTCACTAACACAGAAAAAATAGAGATTGTGTTTTTGGAGAGACCACACAGAAATAGCGTAAATTCCCCAGCCAAAAAGGAAAGGGTGGATCAGAGGTAAGCTGGCTCTTTCATTCTATCTTCGGATTAATTTCCCAAGTTAAAGGTTAGCTTGAGATTCCAGCTCCTGAAAAGTGTGGCTGAAAAAGAAAATTTTGGAAAGTTTGACTAAAAAGTCAAACAAATGTCAATTCAAACGTATTTTAATTCATGATATACCATCTAAAATACGGTTCTGATTTCTTTATTCAAATCAAAAAAGTCAAAAACGCGTACGCCACTTGAGATTCCAAGGACGTCTCCGATCCAAGTACTAATCAAGCGCACCGTTGCTTAACTTGCCAGATCGGACGGGATGGCGTGCTTTCAACGGGCTATGGGCGTACACACTCCCTTCCCTTTCCACTTTTGATTCCTTTCCCTGCAATTCCACCCAGTCCACGGCCGGGGCTACTTTTTCGAGATTTTCTTGAAAATTTCAGTCAATAATGACGTCACTAACACAGAAAAAATAGAGATTGTGTTTTTGGAGAGACCACACAGAAATAGCGTAAATTCCCCAGCCAAAAAGGAAAGGGTGGATCAGAGGTAAGCTGGCTCTTTCATTCTATCTTCGGATTAATTTCCCAAGTTAAAGGTTAGCTTGAGATTCCAGCTCCTGAAAAGTGTGGCTGAAAAAGAAAATTTTGGAAAGTTTGACTAAAAAGTCAAACAAATGTCAATTCAAACGTATTTTAATTCATGATATACCATCTAAAATACGGTTCTGATTTCTTTATTCAAATCAAAAAAGTCAAAAACGCGTACGCCACTTGAGATTCCAAGGACGTCTCCGATCCAAGTACTAATCAAGCGCACCGTTGCTTAACTTGCCAGATCGGACGGGATGGCGTGCTTTCAACGGGCTATGGGCGTACACACTCCCTTCCCTTTCCACTTTTGATTCCTTTCCCTGCAATTCCACCCAGTCCACGGCCGGGGCTACTTTTTCGAGATTTTCTTGAAAATTTCAGTCAATAATGACGTCACTAACACAGAAAAAATAGAGATTGTGTTTTTGGAGAGACCACACAGAAATAGCGTAAATTCCCCAGCCAAAAAGGAAAGGGTGGATCAGAGGTAAGCTGGCTCTTTCATTCTATCTTCGGATTAATTTCCCAAGTTAAAGGTTAGCTTGAGATTCCAGCTCCTGAAAAGTGTGGCTGAAAAAGAAAATTTTGGAAAGTTTGACTAAAAAGTCAAACAAATGTCAATTCAAACGTATTTTAATTCATGATATACCATCTAAAATACGGTTCTGATTTCTTTATTCAAATCAAAAAAGTCAAAAACGCGTACGCCACTTGAGATTCCAAGGACGTCTCCGATCCAAGTACTAATCAAGCGCACCGTTGCTTAACTTGCCAGATCGGACGGGATGGCGTGCTTTCAACGGGCTATGGGCGTACACACTCCCTTCCCTTTCCACTTTTGATTCCTTTCCCTGCAATTCCACCCAGTCCACGGCCGTGTCAGAGACTATGTCCGAAATCGAAAAAGAGAAATTTTGAAAGGGGTGTGCGCGCGTAGCGCAGTGGTTTGTTAGGTGGACTGTTGTCCGAATGGTCTGGGGTTCGAATCCCGGGGATATTTGAAGTGTTTTCTTCGGGTGTTGTTATCGGAAATGCGTCTGCGATGACAGTATTTTGTGAAGCAGTTTTCCTATTACTACAGAAAGTAGGCAAATTAGACAAAAAATTGATTTATTGCGGAATTCCTTTAAATTTCTCCGAACTTCGATAAAAGATTTTTTGATATGCAAAGTTCGCTGCACCAATTTTGAAATTTTTCCCACCAAAAATTTGCATAATTTTTGCACGATTTTCCACTATAAAAGCGACGAGTTTCCTGGAATTCCCTGTCATTTGGTACGTTCTCTTCCCACTCAGCGGTTGCTCCTTGGACCGGGATGCACGAGGCCGCACTCTGAGCACTGCTAAACTCGCTCTTGACAGGCGACTGGAACGGATCATTCGCATCGTAAGTTGGGGACTGCTATTTTTGCGCTATTTTCATAAAGTGCGTAGACGTTCCGTTGCAACTAGGGGGAAAAAGACGGAATGCACTGTGCGAGAGAAGGCGAAAAAGTCTACGCATTTTATGAAAATATTATACTACAGGGTGGGCCACTCGAAACGGGTAAGTTTTTTCTTTGGATTTCTCCGCGGAGACTCCGCCGATTTTCCCGAAATTTAGATTTTTGTGTAGCTGAGACCCGCCATTTTTAACCGGTTAAATTTGAAAAAAATATATTTTGAATTGACCTTTCTATGCCTTCCCAAAGTTTTAAAGAATTATTTTCGAGCCGAAACCGCTAAAACTTGGAAAATTTTTGGAATGATTTTCAATTGACTTTCTCGGACTTGGAAAATTTTTGGCTTTTTTTGGGGGAAATCGCGGAGTAAAAAGTTGCTAGTGCTCGCCTTAAACTTGTTTAAAGCAAGTTGAAAGCCGCAAGAGGGTTGTTTGTATTACCATTAGGGCACGAACATTCAAAAAAAAAAGATTTCAAAAAGATTGCAAAAGTCCACACAATTGGCAACGAGCCCCAGCTCCAAGTCATTGAAGCTTGGAGCCCAGCCCGATTAAAGATAGACGATGTTCACGATCTGCAATTTGAGCTGTTCACGACTCTCATGACTCTCAAAGCTCCTACAAGTTTGTGCTGCGAGAGGAAATGGGCATTTCAGACTCAGATAGAAATATTAATAATCAGGTCGTTAAATAAAATTGTTTTTACGACAATATTTTATGGTTACCTGAGGTAAAACTTAGAAAATTTCACCCAAAAACTCGAAAAAATGACCAAGTTTTCGAAATCATTCCAAAAATTTTCCAAGTTTTAGCGGTTTCGGCCCGAAAATAATTCTTCGAAACTTTGGGAAGGCATAGAAAGGTCAATTCAAAATATATTTTTTTCAAATTCAATAGGTTAAAAATGGCGGGTCTCAGCTACAGAAAAATCTAAATTTCGGGAAAATCGGCGGAGTCTCCGCGGAGAAATCCAAAGAAAAAACTTACCCGTTTCGAGTGGCCCACCCTGTAGGTGGGCCAACAGGCTTAGACATGTCTACAAAACATGAGACTTTGTGGCCCGCTCAGTGCGTTATAAATTTGTGTCTGAAGTTCCCTGAAAAGCACAGAAACTGACGATTCCTTTTCAGCTTATCATCGTCGGCTTCGGGTAGAAGAGTTGGAAAATTTTTGGAAAGCTCAGGGATCCGGGAGAAGCCCTTAAGAATTTTTCTCAAAGGGCAAAAAAGGCTGAATTTTCAGCCCTTAAGAATTTTTCTCAAAGGGCAAAAAAGGCTGATTTTTAATGCCTCTCCTTTTTTAGAAGCCAGATCCACGTCAGCGATACAATCGAGGCCGCCAACCTTCAGATGGTTGTGAGTGGAGAAACAATTGAACTGTGTGGTAAAGCCACAATGAAGAACCTTGAGGAAGTTCAACGTAAGCTGCATCTTCGTTTCCGTCGAGCTTTGCTGACTTTTTAACTTTTGATTTTTTTTGACATTTTGAGGCGTTGCGACTGCCGACGATGCTTTGGGGTACATTTTATATGCTTGGGAGACGGTAGAGAGAGAAAAAAAGGGCCTGGTTTTTAGAAACAACAAGATTGCTCGGGTCCTAGGGTTCTCGAAGTCGCTTTTTTCGTTTATACCTTGCCCTTTTACAAACGCTATGTTATGTATATCTACGCTATGTTCAGGGCGTCCTGCAGACCCTTCGGTCCACGCTTAGAAGTCGATTGTATGCTTGGTGGGAATCGTGGAGCCACAGCGCTTGCGGTACGCGCATAACGAACCGAAACCGGCCAACTTCACAAGGTGGGTCTGGTGGGAGAGTGGAAGCGGTTTGCACGTTTTGCACTCATTTTATCTTTGCGGGTTTTTCATAAAGTGCGTAAACTTTTTTTTGCCGCCGCACGTTGCGTATCGCACGTCAATGCAAAATAGAAAAAAAATTTCCCGCCCCTTTTTGGTGATTCGTTCAAAACGAAATGTCACTATCCGATAAAAAGCATTTTCTTATCTTTCTTCTTCCTTTTCGATAAAAAGCAATTATTTCGGGCGAGAAAGAGTGCCGATAATTTAGCGACATTTTTCTCTCTTTTCAATCAATGAAAACGATACGAAGTTTCGAAACGGTTCAGGAAATGCGCTGTATTGACGTGTGTCGCCCATTTTGCATGAAATTTATGTTTTGCCCTGAAAAGCAAAAAAATTGACGATTCCTTTTCAGCTTATCATCGTCGGCTTCGGGCAGAAAAGTTGGAAATTATTGGAAAGCTCAAGGATCGGGCCTGGGACAAGCCTGCGGGCGATATGGCTGAGGTTTTGAAGACTATGGACGAGGTGAGGATTTATTTAAAAATTTTTTATTATTTTTTTTATTTATTTGTTATTATTACTAAAAATTTAATTTTTTTTTATTTTTCATTGCATTTTTCATTTTCAGCCTCTAACCGGGTTCGTCTTCAAAGACACGGAAGGATAATATCCCCCTCTGAACGCCCCAAATCAAGTCGGAGTTGGACGATTGGGGAAAAAGACGATTGGGGAAAAGTACGATTGGGGAAACCGAAAAGTATTATTTTTCTTCCATGCAAATGTCGAAGTTAGGATAATCGAGGGTGCTCATTTCGAAAATGACATTCATTTTTTTGATCCTTACTTTTTTCCTTAAGTAGTACTGTAAAGTAGTAATTTTTTATTTTTTTCATAAATACTCGATTTAGGGGTTTTCGAGGGTGCTGATTTCGAAAATCAAGTAAATTTTTCCTCTAGTACTACATAGTACTATTCTGATACTATATAGTACGAAGTGCAAATATGGCTTTTGACGTTAATGGTGTTGTTTTGATGCTTAGTACTCTTCAAAAACACGTTTTAAAGACTTGGTGCTATATAGTACTGTTTGATACTATGTAGTACGAAGTAAAAATAGGCGTACTAAGCACCAGAACAACACCACGAACGCCTAAAGGCCAACTTTACACCTCGTACTACATAGTATCAGGTAGTACTATATAGCACCAAGTCTTTAAAACGTGTTTTTGAAGAGTACTAAGCATCAAAACAACACCATTAACGTCAAAAGCCATATTTTGACCTCGTACTATATAGTATCACAATAGTACTATATAGTACTAGAGGAAAAATGAACATGATTTTCGAAACCAGCACCTTCGAAATCCCCTAAATCCAGTATTTTTCGAAAATTTTAAAAAAATTAGTACTTAACAGTACTACTTAAGGAAAACTAGTAATGTTCAGCAAAAATAAACCCGATATTCGAAATCAGCACCCTCGAAACCCCCTAAATCGAGTATTTATGAAAAAAATCAAAAATTACTACTTTACAGTACTACTTAAGGAAAAAAGTAAGAATCAAAAAAATGAATGTCATTTTCGAAATGAGCACCCTCTATTATCCTAACTTCGACATTTGCATGGAAGAAAAATAATACTTTTCGGTTTCCCAATCGTCTTTTTCCCCAATCGTCCCTTTCCCCAATCGTCTTTTTCCCCAATCGTCCCAGTTCCAAATCAAGTCCCCCAAATCCCCCAAAAGCCTTGAATTCACTTCGAAATCAAGGAATACAAGAAATCCATCAAGTACAATAATTTTTTGCATACATCTTTGTAACGAAATAAATCCTGGGGTATAAATTCAGAGAATAAGTTGATGTTTTGATACCGCTCATTTAACCTCTCGCCCGAATTTCGGCGCCATGCCGGCGACGCTCATCCTTTTTTCACGTTTCTTGGCCTCGATTTTGAGTTACAGGTCGAGACGTGTATCAAAAAAATTCGCAAAATTTTTCTGATTCAGAATATGCAAGAATTAGCTGCCCAATTTTGGTGCCAAACACACAAAAAAATTAACAGGGGAAGCACCCTAAGTGCGACGCTCAGATTTTGATGAAACTTGGCACAAATTTAGAATAATTTTTTCTAAGATATATGCGAGAATCCTAGCTCGCGCTTTGCAGAAACAACCGAGGTTTTTAGATCGGAAGTCGGCGAAAATTTAGGACTTTTTGCCGAATTTCGGCACGAAAAGTTTCATGCCTATTTCTACCGTAAAGGATAATGTTTCTACAAAAAATCAAATTTTTCCGCACGAAACTGTCAAAGTTATAGCCAAAAAGCGTTTTTCTCTCTGAACACTCTCCACGTTTAGCGTGCTCTCTCGGCGGCATAAATCGTCCGATATCTCGGCGGCGCCTGCAAAGCGCGAGCTAAAACTTTCAGGAATTGATATCTAGTCCATTCCCGACGTGTGTGCAAAATTTAAAGAAAATCTGAGCGTCGCACTTGGGGTACCTCCCTTGTAAGTTTTTTTTGGCTTTCGACCTTAAAATCTTGGTAATTTCTGCAACACGCCAGCTAGGAGCTCCGTACAGTCTTTTCAAAGCCTTTCCTACATGTATAAAGGGAAAATCAAGGCAGTAAAATTCACATTCAAGCACATATTCTTTATTTTATTTGGTCCAAGTGCGTCCGGAGATCTCGACGATATTCGTCGATGTTTTCGTCCCCTTAAAGAAGAATCTCCGATACGGTTGGATGAAGTAGATCGTGGTGACGGCATTGACCAGGCTTTGAGCCACAATCAGCCATGAGGAGAATACAATTGCCCAGGGATGAAAAGAGCAGGCCGAACCGAACATTCGGATCAAGTAAGTGGGCAGGACGGCGGTAACTAAAGGGCCAACTGCCTGAAAAATATGGAAAATTGAAATTTAGTGAATTTGGGTTATTTTTATTGGATTTCAATGCAGCTTTTTTGAAAAAAATATTTTTCTCTATTTCAGCAATTTTTTGACAAAAAAAATGGAATTCGTATACCAACAAAAATATCATAGGAAATTACATCTTTCTGGCTAAAAACTGGTTTTCTATCCATCATTTGGAGTTTAAGTCATTATTGACTGAAATTTTCAAGAAAATCTCGAAAAAGTGGCCCCGGCCGTGGGCTGGGTGGAATTGCAGGGAAAGGAATCAAAAGTGGAAAGGGAAGGGAGTGTGTACGCCCATAGCCCGTTGAAAGCACGCCATCCCGTCCGATCTGGCAAGTTAAGCAACGGTGCGCTTGATTAGTACTTGGATCGGAGACGTCCTTGGAATCTCAAGTGGCGTACGCATTTTTGACTTTTTTGATTTGAATAGAGAAATCAGAACCGTATTTTAGATGGTACATCATGAATTAAAATACATTTGAATCAATATTTGTTCGACTTTTTAGTCAAACTTTCCAAAATTTTCTTGTTCAGCCACACTTTTCAGGAGCTGGAATCTCAAGCTAACCTTTAACTTGGGAAATTAATCCGAAGATAGAATGGAAGGGCCGGCTTACCTCTGTTCGACCCTTTCCTTTTTGGCTGGGGAATTTACGCTAATTCTGTGTGGTCTCTCCAAAAACACGATCTCTAATTTTTCTGTATTAGTGGCATCATCATTGAGCCAATTTTTTAGTAAAATCTCAAAAAGTAGCCCCAACCGCAGACTGGCTGGCTTACCATGATTCTCAACGCTTTCTTCACACCATTAAACGTCTTGGCCGTGCGGTAATTGGCATTTATATTCCGCAACTTCCAATGTTTTGACATTAGCCAGTCCACCAAAATACTTATCGAGTAACTGATTGTCTGAATGCCTTTAACCATGTAGTCGTATGCTTTGTAGTTCATACGGGACTAAAACAAAAATTTTGCAAAAACGAAAAAAAAATTTATTTTTTATTATTTTTTTTTGATTGTATAGAAAATGCAGGCTTACTGAATAAGTTCCCGTTACTTCCGACAACTGGACGTCCTTGAATCCGTTGTAAATCACAATTTTCCGCAGTAAAACCCGCTCCTCGTCCGTGGCATACCCCCAGGTTGTGAACATTATTGTGGTCCCGGTGACGTAGATAAGTAGGGCGGGAATCAGAGTGAAGTAAAGGTATCTGCCTCGAGGCGCTTGCCCGCTAAAAATTTTGAACAGTTTTATTTATTACACGCTACGATTAAAAAAAATCATGATTTGAAGTTGACTTTTGGCTAAAATACCATCTAAAATACAATTCTGAGATTTTCATGCAGATCAAAAAAGTCAAAAACGCGTACGCCACTTGAGATTCCGACGACAAAAGCCCCAAAATTGGGAGGGAAGAGAATTTTGCCGTAAAGTTGAATGCTTTTGGACTAATTTTTTGAATTGGCGCGGCGAGAGTGCTCATTATTTTCCCGACAGAATGATAAGAACTCTATGTTTGGACTACGTTAAGACTACGACTACTGTTTGTGCTCCATTTCCTGTTTAAAAGAAGCGTTTTAGGCTTTTGACAACCGTTAACTTACTATCTAAAAATATGGTAGCGCCACAGAAATTGGATCGGGATTATCATCCATGTGCCCACCACGAACATGCCATTTATGGTCTTGAGAACGGCCATGACATGGTAATTCGAGAAGCGAATTAGCTGATTATCATAGGCAAAGAGTACTCCAGCCACAGAGCCCGGCAGCTAAAAAACATTTTATTAATTTTAGAAAATCAACAAAAATTTTAAAAAAATTAAATATAAATAAAAACAAATAAAAAAATTTAATAAAAAAAAACTTTTAAAACAAAAAAATCAAAGAGAAGTTTAATTAAATATAAAAAAATTAAATAAAAAAAAATAAAAATGAAATTTTTTAAGTCAAAATTTAAAAAAAAAAGAAAAATAAAAAACTTAATTAAAAAAATTAAAAAAATCAACAAAAAAAACCAAAAAAAAATTAAATAAAAAAATTAAATAGTTCTTACCGATCCAATTTGCATACTGTAAGCCGAAAATATAAAATCGTAGACACAACTGAACATAATGACTTGTTTAATACTCTTTAGACTCCGCGACTGCGTCAAAATGAGGTAAAATAAAACTGCGTTGAGGAAACAACTGATCGAGCAAATGGTCAGGAGGACGGTTTTGTGAATCACTAAAATAGGGAGTTATTTTAAAATACGGCCGATACCTCCGCTGGCCCAGTCCGGGGGCCGGAAAAGGTCAGCGAGGGTCCTTTCAAACTATTTTTTCAGATTTTTGTTTTTTTTTTTTTTTTTTGACTGCTATGCCAAAAAAAGACTAGAATTTTTTAATTTTGTTCAAGCGCATTTTTGGTTAATTTAGTTTGTTTGATTTATCATTTTTTGACAAATTTTTTATCACTCACTTTGAATGTCGTAACCGGGCTCCGGCTGTGTGTCCATAAATTCAAAAATTCTGTCATATTCTTTGTTCGCAATCAACAATTTGCATTGCTCGTCAGATAAGTTCATTCTGCAAAATGGGTCAAAATAATAATTAAAAAATAATAATAAAAAAAATTATTAAAACTATTAAAAATTAAAAAATTAAATATCAAAAAATAAATTAAAATTAATGAATCAAATAAAATAAAACAAAAATTTATAACAAAAAACAAAAAATATTAAAATTTAAGGCATTATTTTAGACAATAAAAGACAAAAAAGACTCTGAGAAAAACTTGAAAACCGCCTACTCAGACTACTAGATGGTAACAAGAACAAGATTTTTAAGCTAAAAAATTTTTTTAACTTAAAAATCTTGTTGAACGTTGAACAAGAGTTCCAAGAAATTTCTTATCGACAGGGGAAGTACTCCAAGTTCGACGCTCATATTTTCTTTAAATTTTGCACACACGTCGGGAATGGACTAAATATCAATTCCTGAAAGTTTTAGCTCGCGCTTTGCAGGCGCCGCCGAGATATCGAACGATTTTTGCCGCCGAGAGAGCACGCTAATGGTGGAGAGCGGTCAGAGAGAAAAAACCGCTTTTTGGCCATAACTTTGGCAGTTTCGTGCGGAAAAATTTGATTTTTTGTAGAAACATTATCCTTTACGGTAGAAATAGGCATGAAACTTTTCGTGCCGAAATTCGGCAAAAAGTCCTAAATTTTCGCCGACTTTCGATCTAAAAAATCTCGGTTGTTTCTGCAAAACGCGAGCCAGGATTCTCGCATATGTCTTAGTAAAAATTATTCTAAATTTGTGCCAAGTTTCATCAAAATCTGAGCGTCGCACTTGGAGTACTTCCCCTGTGAGATTACTACAGTTTTCCTCAAATTTTATGCAATTTTAGAGCCCAAAATTATATTTTCAAACCAAAAAACTGACTCAAACATCGCAACAAAGTGGACATGATTGAAATCATAAAACAAAATGTTTGCAAAAGCGCCAAAATTATCGCGAACCACTTGTATCTTGACATATTTTATACCCGCAAACCCCTCAAATTGTAGTTGTCGTCAATAGGACGCGGTTCTTTGAGGGGAAACGACCAAAAAATACGAACATAGAGCCTAAGATACAAGTGAAGTGTCGCCAGTGCGACGCTCAGATTTCGATGAAATTTGAAACAAATTGGGATTGATTTCCTCTGAGAGGTAAAAGTTCCTTATTTTGGCCACAACTTACAACTTTGCGGTCGGAATTAGCCCAAATTTAGCGTGCACGCTCAATTCATCGTTGCCAATGTCCGGACAGTGGATTTAGTGAGCGAGGTACCTTCTTTTTTACGTACCACCTTACCCTTCAAAAACGGCTGCAGCCTGCGGTTTTACACTTTATACGATGAAACATGTCCAGAACTAAACTAATTGCCTCCGTATGGAACTAAATTAGCCGTCGTCGCCTTCGTAGGTACCCTTAAAACTATAGAGCTATTATGGTAATTCAGTGCCAGCTAGGTCGAAGCGTTTTTTCCTAACTTTATGGCCCAATCTTGGGCGCAGTTCGCGGAGTACCTTTGTTGTGGCCAAAATAAGGAACTTTTTCCCCTCTGAGATATACAGGGACTTACAAAAAACGTGAAGGAAAGTGGAAGGCTATAACTTCCGGCGGAGGCGCCGCGGAGACTTCGTATTTGAAATATGTATTTTTAAAAGACATAAGTTTTTGTCTACGAAATAACAAGCTTTTAAAGTGCAAACTGAGGTCGCTACGACCTTCTGAAGTAGAGGCATCTCTACCCCGAAAACCAGGTTTTTTCGGTTGAAAATGATTGAGAAATTTCGGACTTTGTCGGTTGAAAATCACCAGGAAATGTTAGATTTTTTGGGGGTTTCGATATGGGTGGTGTTGAAAAAGAGGAGGAAAGTTGTAAGACCCTGTATGAGAGACTCTTATTCGTATTTTCATAAAGTGCATGGACATTTTGTTGCGCCCCACAGTGTGCCCAAAAAACCCTAATTTTGCACGGTGAACTTGCCTCTTTTTTGAACTGTATAACGAAATATCGCAGCGACAAAACCCAGTTTTTTCTGCAGAACGCGCGCTAGGAGTCTCGCAAAAATACGACACCAACGTCGCGATGCTTCTCTAATCTTAACAAGGTTATTTTCCGTCGCTCGCAGCCTGACTGTTTTGCACAGTGCCTGCCGCAAAAATCACTCCAGCGACTCTACGAACGGACTACAGTGTCGGGCCTGAACCAGTGCGAAAAACACGTGCCATTCTGCATCCGAGAAGTATCAAAACCGCAGCAAAATACCTTCCTCTCCAAGTGAAAAAACTCAGATTTCGAAGTTTTTTTATTGGAGAGAATACTCTGCTGTGTTTTTGATACTTCCCGGATGTAAAATAGTACGTTTTATGTCACTGGATCAGATCCGCCACTGTCCGCATACACGTCAAACCGAGATAAGCTAAAACATTCCGGTGAATGGATTGGCAATTTGCCAAAAAAAAGACGCGAAAAAACGTTGTGTCGAGGAAGAAATGGGGAATCTTTGGGGCGAGAGAGTACGTTTTTGCGTGTCTTCTTTCTCTCTTTCTCTGCGAAATCAAGACGAAGTGTAAAAAACCGATAGCGAAGGGTCTATTCCGGTCACCGGACTCCTCAGTTTGACGTGCATAGTCTTCTACAATCTACAGGGTCTTTCAAGAAACGTGAAGGAAAGTTGGAGGCTATAACTTTCGGCGGAGGCGGCGCAGAGACTTGGTTTTTGGAATATGTATTTTTAAGCAACATCATTTTTTGCCTACGAAATAACAAGATTTTTAAGTGCAAACTGAGGTCGCTACAACATTTTGAAAAAGGGCTCTTTTACCCCGAAAACCAGGGTTTTTCGGTTTCAACGCGTTGGCAACATCCTTCCCTTTTTTCAACGTCAACTCTATCAAAACCTCCGAAAAAATCCGACATTTCTTGGTGATTTTCAACCGAAAAACTCTGAAATTTCTCGATTATTTTCAACCGAAAAACCCTGGGGCCTGTCCCACTAAGAAAGCGTAGCGCGAATCACGAATTGGAAGCGCGAAAAATCATGCAAAAGCGAGAGAGGTGAGAGAAAAAGCGGGCTCTCTCGGAAATCCGCGCTACGGTTTTTTTGTGCTAAATACCGAAATGTGTTTACTTTTTTGGCTGTAACTCCTTTCAATGACGTCCGATTTACATGATTTCAAAAACCATCAACAGAGAAGACACACAGCTTCCAGAAAATGTAAATTTTGTTTGCTTTAACGCGGATTAAGGCTCCCCGCCAAGACGAATTACATTTTCCTCCTCAAGAATCACGATTCCAAAATGTCGTATTTTCAAGTAAAATTTATCCTTAAACTACTCATCATAACCCCCAAAGCTCATATTGTCATTTATCAGCCCAAACTGCCCCTTCCAAGCCCAAACCGCCCATTCCCAGCCCAATTTTGATCTCCTCTTGCCATAATTTGTTTGAATCACAAAAACATTTACGTTTAAAAAAAATTTTTTTTTAAACTACTCGATTCGTCCCAAATGAATTTGTTCTTTTTGTTACGAAGATAAACTTAAATTAAAAAAAAAACGTAAATGTTTTTGTGATTCAAAGAAATTATGGCAAGGGGAGATCAAAATTGGGCTTGGCAGGGCTAATTTGGGCTGATAAAACGGCCCCAGTCCCTCTGGGAGACGAATGGAGTAATTTAAAAAAAAAATTTAAAACGTAAATGTTTTTGTGATTCAAACAAATTATGGCAAGAGGAGATCAAAATTGGGCTGGGAATGGGCGGTTTGGGCTTGGAAGGGGCAGTTTGGGCTGATAAATGACAATATGAGCTTTGGGGGTTATGATGAGTAGTTTAAGGATAAATTTTACTTGAAAATACGACATTTTGGAATCGTGATTCTTGAGGAGGAAAATGTAATTCGTCTTGGCGGGGAGCCTTAATCCGCGTTAAAGCAAACAAAATTTACATTTTCTGGAAGCTGTGTGTCTTCTCCGTTGATGGTTTTTGAAATCATGTAAATCGGACGTCATTGAAAGGAGTTACAGCCAAAAAAGTAAACACATTTCGGTATTTAGCACAAAAAAACCGTAGCGCGGATTTCCGAGAGAGCCCGCTTTTTCTCTCACCTCTCTCGCTTTTGCATGATTTTTCGCGCTTCCAATTCGTGATTCGCGCTACGCTTTCTTAGTGGGACAGGCCCCTGGTTTTCGGGGTAAAAGAGCCCTTTTTCAAAAGGTTGTAGCGACCTCAGTTTGCACTTAAAAATCTTGTTATTTCGTAGGCAAAAAATAAGGTTGCTTAAAAATACATATTCCAAAAACCAAGTCTCTGCGCCGCCTCCGCCGAAAGTTATAGCCTCCTACTTTCCTTCACGTTTCTCGAAAGACCCTGTAAATTAGGTTTATATAACTTATCTTCTTTCATTGTAAAATACAGTATAACCAAACGCTTCCAACAAAAAGAAATAATTTGCAAACATCATTGTCCCCATAAACGTACTCAAGAACTACTACACAACTAATAGTTTCATTCGTGTGACAGCGGAACTCCACTTGAATTATTGTACTTGTCGTTTCGTAAAGAAAAGGAGACATTTCCATAGTACTACAGCAGTACATTTCGTCCACCGAAATAACCTTTGTAGCAGCTGTTACGCAAACGTTGCAACAGACAGCAGATTATGGTGAGCAAAGTACACATTGTCATTGGCGATGCAAATTGAAAGGGGCGGATAATTCTGATGTGTGCTTTGTATTTTCAAATTCTGGGTTGTTCATGTGCACAGCACAGAATTCGAAAAGAAATAAGGAGAAATTGAAAAATCATATTATTCCTTGGCCATCAAAAAAACGAAATTTTGGAAAACAAATATCAGTCTGTCGGGAAAATAATGAGAAAAATGTCGCTGTTCCGATCATATCGCTGAAGTGAAAAACAATTTGTTTTTCTCCGCGACACAATTTATTTTCTCGATATCGATGCGATTTTTGACGCGGCAGAGTGATCATTATTTTCCCGACAGAATGATAAGGTGTACAAATGGTGTGACGACATTCTAATGACATGTCACAATTCATTTTGAAAATTTGAAAAAAACGTTTCATCGTATTTGTAACCTTTAATTTGATGCGGCAGAGTGCCCATTATTTTCCCGACAGACTATCATTGCTTATTAGTTTGTCGGGAAAATAATGTGGATTTGTCGCACTTTGGAATCGTCCATCTTGAGGGGGTTGATAGCCCCACTTGTCACGGCTGGAATTTTGGTGCGCGAATGCGACGAGACAAGACGTTTTGCTGCGACAAATCCACATTATTTTCCCGACAGACTGTTATCGCTGATTAGTTTGTCGGGAAAATAATGTGGATTTTTCACACTTTGAAATCGTCCATTATCCCTTGCTGACAGTAGCTATATCTTTAGATTTTGTGACGAGGCGAAACATTTTTTACTTTCCTCTTCGGCGATATGGTTTTCGCTATACGACAGAGTCCTCATAATTTTCCCGATAGACTGATATGACGCACAGATTTCACAAGGAAAGTACTTCTATGGGGTGTGGAATTACCGGTCGAGATATATATCAAAAAATTCGCAAAAATTTTCTGATTCAGAATATATATAAATTAGCTGCCTAATTTTGGTTTAATGACATGTTTTTGTCCTCAGAAGTTTTCTCGCGACACCATGCAGTCTTCATGCAGTCAAGTCTTTTTGACCGTGTTTTTACCAATAAAAAAATTTTGTTTTGTGCTAAACTAAATTCTGAAGCCTTGACAAGCCTTAAAATATCAAATTGGATTACAACTACACCTTAAAAGTAGTTTCAATGTAAAAAAGGGTTCTAGTGTGGCAAAAAGAATCGAACCCGCTCCCCTCAGATTTCCAATCTACCGCTCTAACCACTCGGCCACACCGCTCTCTTCCGAAGGAAGAGACCGAGCGCGCTTTTGTTGCCGCAGATTTTTTCCTCGAGAAAAAGATTTATTGAAAAAACTCGCTGATAGACCAAAATTAGGCAGCTAATTTATATATGTTCTGAATCAGAAAATTTTTGCGAATTTTTTGATATATATCTCGACCGGTAATTCCACACCCCATAGAAGTACTTTCCTTGTCAATAAAATTTGGCAAAAATTTGAATAATATTTTTAAGCCATATGCCAGACTTCTAGCTCATGCTTTGCGGAAGCGACCAAAATTTTTTGGTCGAAAGTTGGAAAAATATCAAAATTTTGTTTCGAATTTTGACATGCAAACTTTCACACCCACTTCTATCGTTAGGGTTCCACAAAAAAATCAATTTTTTCCGCGCGCAAAGAGATGGCCCAGTTAAAGATTAGCTTCAGATTCCAGCCCCTGAAAAGTGTGGGTGAACATAAAAATTTTGGAAAATTTGCTTAGAAAGTCAGACCAATATAATTTAAAATTTAAAAGTTTATTAAACGAACTTGTTTTGTAAAAATTTTCTTGCTAACATTCCAGCTGAAAATACGATTTTAACTTATTTATTCCATCTTTGGATTAATTGCTATTGACTAAAAAGTCGAACAAATATCATTTCAAATGTTTTTTAATCCATGAAATACCATCTAAAATACGGTTCTGATTTCTTTATTCAAAGCAAAAAAGTCAAAAATGCGTACGCCACTTGAATTCCAAGGACGTCTCCGATCCAAGTACTAATCAAGCGCACCGTTGCTTAACTTGCCAGATCGGACGGGATGGCGTGCTTTCAACGGGCTATGGGCGTACACACTCCCTTCCCTTTCCACTTTTGATTCCTTTCCCTGCAATTCCACCCAGTCCACGGCGGGGCTATTTTTTCGAGATTTTCTTCAAAATTTCAGTCAATAGTGACGTCACTAACACAGAAAAATTAGAGAGTATGCTTTTGGAGAGACCACACAGAAAAAGCGTAAATTCCCCAGCCAAAAAGGAAATGGTCGAACAGAGGTAAGCTGGCCCTTCCATTCTATCTTCGGATTAATTTCCCAAGTTAAAGGTTAGCTTGAGATTCCAGCTCCTGAAAAGTGTGGCTGAACAAGAAAATTTTGGAAAGTTTGACTAAAAAGTCGAACAAATATCAATTCAAATGTATTTTAATTCATGATATACCATGTAAAATACGGTTCTGATTTCTCTATTCAAATCAAAAAAGTCAAAAATGCGTACGCCACTTGAGATTCCAAGGACGTCTCCGATCCAAGTACTAATCAAGCGCACCGTTGCTTAACTTGCCAGATCGGACGGGATGGCGTGCTTTCAACGGGCTATGGGCGTACACACCCTTCTCTCTTTCCACTTTTGATTCCTTTCCGTCAAAATAAAAAAAGCGCCAAAAGCAGGGAAGGAAATGATTTTCTTTTTTGCAAAATTGAACGATTTTTTAGACTGATTTTGTTTTTGAAAAAAAAAATTAATTCGGGACTTCCGACAAATAGATTATATCAGTCTGTCGGGAAAATAATGAGCACTCTGTTGATCGAAATTACTTTTTTCAATTTGATTTTGGCAACACAATTCATTTTCTCAGTAGCAACGCCATTTTCGATGCAACAGAGTGCTTATTATTTTCCCGACAGACTGATATAAATAAACAAAAATTCAATTTTTGAGCCATGTATTTGAAAATTTTATTACTGTTAATAAATTATTCTACTTTTTCGAGATTTTCTTCGAAATTTCAATCATTGAAGACAAAATAACCGAAGACACATTTGATTGCTTTATTTCAATATTAGAGGCAAATGTCATACCGTTTTGAAGGTTTTTGTTCTCGAACTGACTGATACTGATGATATAAAAGTTGTTTGTTTCCCAAACAAAGCCAACAGCTTTGTGCGGAGGCTCTTGTTGAAAGCGATGTAAATCACCACGGCGGAGCCTGAAATACGAAAAAAAATATTTTTTTTCTGTTTTTCTCACCATGGTACGCCTGACAGACGAGTTGAGTGACAACGATCAACATAAAGCTTGCCCGGGTTTGATTAACATACGTAAACAGAGCACTGCACATCAAGAAAACTCCACACATGCTGGATAATTGAAGGACTGTCTGAAAAAAATAGAAAAAATCGAGATTTTTCGATAAAAATGCTTCAGAAAAATTATTTTTGCAATTTTTGGATAACAAATTTTAAGATCTACTACATTTTTCTGTATTAGTGACGTCATCAATAACTAAAATTTTCAAGAAAATCTCGAAAAAGTAGCCCCGGCCGTGGACTGGGTGGAATTGCAGGGAAAGGAATCAAAAGTGGAAAGGGAAGGGAGTGTGTACGCCCATAGCCCGTTGAAAGCACGCCATCCCGTCCGATCTGGCAAGTTAAGCAACGGTGCGCTTGATTAGTACTTGGATCGGAGACGTCCTTGGAATCTCAAGTGGCGTACGCATTTTTGACTTTTTTGATTTGAATAGAGAAATCAGAACCGTATTTTAGATGGTACATCATGAATTAAAATACATTTGAATTGATATTTGTTCGACTTTTTAGTCAAACTTTCCAAAATTTTCTTGTTCAGCCACACTTTTCAGGAGCTGGAATCTCAAGCTAACCTTTAACTTGGGAAATTAATCCGAAGATAGAATGAAAGAGCCAGCTTACCTCTGATCCACCCTTTCCTTTTTGGCTGGGGAATTTACGCTTTTTCTGTGTGGTCTCTCCAAAAACACACTCTCTAATTTTTCTGTATTAATGACGTCACTGCTAACTGATTTTTTTCAGTCAAATCATTAGGTGGTGTTATGCATATATTTCAAACCAATAAAACCTACCATTCTCTGGAAATGCGTCAATTTCTGGCTGCGATCTCCAAAGGTTTTCAGTCGATAAACTCGAACGGCCAGCTTGCAACAGATACAGACGTAGAGAAAAATCATAGCAATTAGCACTACCATGTCGTGAATCGCCACTGCGTTATCAGCGTACTAAAAAATGAGGTTAATTTTTTTCAAATTTACAGGCATGGCTATATCCTGTAATTTTGGAATATGTATACAGAGCCGGGCTTTTGCCATTTCCGGGCCCTCAGCCCAGCCCAGCCCAGCCCAGCCCAGCCCAGCCCAGCCCAGCCCAGCCCAGCCCAGCCCAGCCCAGCCCAGCCCAGCCCAGCCCAGCCCAGCCCAGCCCAGCCCAGCCTCAGCATCAATTTCTACATTGTAGAACATTTCTGCCAAAACTAAACTTTTTCCTTCTGCTAGCTTCAAAGATACAACAAAAACAAGTATCTTCTCTGATCGACTCTCCTCATTTTGCGTGCTCTCTCGCAAAAAAGATTGCGCAATATCTTTGGTTTTGCCGAAAATTGTTAGCTGAAATTTTCAAAATTTGTATCGGTCAACCTTTTTTCAATACGAAAAAAAATCCTACACGGAGTCGAACTCGGCCCAAAAAATTCCGTAGAGCCCAAGCCCGACCTTTTTTTGAAATTTCTAAGGCCCGACCCTGCCATAAAAACAATATCTGAACTCACATTTTCCGCCGACTTCTCCTCAAATATCGTCCCGGAATAGGGGTTGGTGAAGCCTGAAAAATAGCCCGGCGAAAGAATGGATGGAACCGTAAAATATCCATAGCCTAGGCCTTCGATTAATGCGATCAGAAGCCAACAATAAATTCGATATCCGCCAAACAATTTCTCCGAAACTTTTCGATTTATCAGGTCCGCTAGCCGATTCACCGCCAGGATGAGGTAGCTCAAACATATACATGACCAAATTGCTGAAAAAATAACCAAATTGTTGAAAAAATGGAAAAAATTAACAATTGAGGCTAAAAAATGTGAAGCTCAGATTTTCTTTAAATTTTGCACACATATCAACCATAGGCCATACGTCAATTCCTGAAAGTTTTAGCTCGCAATTTATACGGAGAGCCGAGATATTGAACGATCCTTACCGGCGAGACAGTACGCAAAAATGCGGAGGGCGGTCAGAGAAAAGAGAGGCTTTTAGGCCGTATCTTTGCCAGTTTCGTGCGGAAAAAATTGATTTTTTGTGAAAATGTTACTCTCTACGGTAGAACTAGCTATAAAAATTTCCATGGAAAAATTTCGCAAAAAAAATCACATTTTTTTTCAAGTTTTGACCTAAAAAATTTGGGGAAATTTTTTAAATTTTGCCCAAAAATTTCAGCATCAGTTACTAAGCCATCGCAAAATATTTCTATCAAAAATAATTTTTTTCCGTCATCAATCTTCAAAGATTCATCCAAAAGAAGTTTTTTCTCTGACCGACTCTCCTCATTTTACGTGCTCTCTCGCAAAAAGATGGCGCAATATCTCCGTTTCGGCTGAAAATTGTGAGCTGAAATTTTCAGGGATTGATCTGTGAACAATTTACATTTTATATACGAAATTTGAGGCAAAATGAAATATTACACATGGTACCCTGAAAATTTTTTACAACAAATTTTGGTAAAATACGGGATTTACTTGATTGTTAATAAAATTGGAGCCTGAGGATTTGTTATTTTATCACCTACCTCCCATTACGCAGCCAGAAATGTAATGCAAATTGGGGGAATCGCAAAAAACTTGGCCTTGCAAGGTGAAAATCCCACACAAAATGCAGATTAAAAATAACTCGATGAGATCCAATACGCCTGAAATTACATTTTATAGTCGAAAATTGAACATACCATTTTTTTTTTTTTTTTTTTTTGAGGTTACTGTAAAAATTCCTTACCAATAAAAAACATGATCTTATAACAAGAATATTTGAAAAATTGCCGGCCTGTCATCACATACAAACACAGTGAGTATAATAAAACATAAATTGCTCCAAGTCCCAAATAAATCGGAGGGATCCAATAATTCGGTTGTTTCAGATGATCAAAATACCCCTCCTTGAATAAATTACAGTTATATAGACGTTCATAATCGTGATGGCGGAAGAGATATAGCTCCATGGAAATTTACAGAGCGATATTTGGCAGAAATTTGGCGATAAATTTATATTGTAGTAGACAAACCGATTAAAATAAGGTCAAAACTTATGAATTTCGTCCTGGCCAAGTCCAAGATGTTGTGAAATCACATGATTACACTTTATGTTTTAGTGTAACGACTGCCTAAAACTTTACATGTCCATTTTTTAACAATTGTTTTATCTGTTGTTTTGTAGTTTCAAGTTAAAACTCGATCCCCTCGACAAAAGCGAACAACTCCCTACACTATTTAATATTATCTCACCCTTCATCATTAGTGTAATGACACATACAACAAATGTTTTTAAACCCACGTAGGATACCAAGTACAAGTTCAAAAAATTGTCAATAAATCAGATTTATTGGCAAAAAATCAACAAAAAAACCAAAAACACAACAAGAAAAAGATAACTGAGGATTCAGATAGCTTAGTCGAAGAGACCAAAGCCCATGTCTTCCTCCTCGGACTCCTCCTTGACCTCTTCCTTCTTCTTCTTTCCCTCGTCCTTCTTCTCCGCGGCGGGGGCAGCTCCTCCGGCGGCTGGGGCAGCTGGGGCGGATCCGGCTCCAGATGAGATGTTGCTGATCAATTCCTGCAAATAGAAAGGGTATTGCAATTGATATCAGAACAGTGAATTTAAGGATGCTTTAGATGGGAAATGTTCCAAAGTTAACAATGCACTCCAGGATTTGGCGCTGGGTACGGTTAACATACAGAGGATTCAATTTTGCACAGTTTAGGAAACCCTCAAGCCGAAAATCAACATAGGGTATGGAACATGTGCCATGGATAATATAATAAGCTCAAAAACGTTGGCAAACCCTGAATTTCAACCCAATACAAAAGAAAAAACCTAGATCATGCTTTAGTTGACCTATTTATCCACTTTTTACTTCCTAAATTTAATAAGAATCAAAAGAAAAAACAAACTTACATTGACATCAACACCCTCGAGGGCCTTGGCGTAAAGTCCAGGCCAGAAAGGCTCGATCTGGACTCCAGCGGCGGCGACGAGCTTCTGGAGCTTGTCGGCGGATATGGCGATGCCTTCGTCTTGGAGGATCAGGGCAGAGTAGATGATAGCGAGTTCTTGGGTGGAGGCCATTTCTTTCTTAAAATTAATTGACGCAAGTTGCTGTAGAAGCCTTAGCCGTTGGTGCGGGACCTGAGTCTGAAAAGAGAAGACATAATCTTAGGTCATTCGGAAGTTCCACGGGGAATTTTCGCAAGAAAGATATAAAAAATTCAAAGATTTGCACTTTTTCAGGTAAAATTAGGGTAAATCTCGTAAAATATACACTTCAAGTTTAGTGATTGTTATTCTAAAATCTCAAATCTTCATCTATGAAGCAAACAGCCAAGAAATTCACCTTGCACTAGATATAAAATCCAATCGTTTCACCAAAATTTGTCAAGTGCAACATCAAAAAGTCAAAAAATACCACAAAAACAATATAAAAACACAGTATCAACATCTGCAAAAAATCTACCTACAAATTACTGCAAAATGTACTGTTTTACAACTTTTAGCCTATTATTTTCCACAAAAATATCTTTCCTAAAAAATCTTGGCATTCCGTTTCAAATCAGGCGACCCCACTTCTCTCCTAACACGGAGAGGGCGTTTACGGTATTTGCACTTGGGAATTTTTTGGGAGGTAGAAATTTTATTTTTTTCTCGACTTTTCTTCGTTTTTGCTCGGTTTTCTCGGTAAAGTTGTCGATTTTCAGGACAAATTGTAAAATAATTTTGGTAGATTATATTATCCATGTTTTGAGCTGAAATTTTTGTTGTTACTAATGCGAAAATCTGAGTTTTATATATTATTTATCTTCTCCTTCGTGTATTTTTCCTTTTTATCGCGATTTGCCTAAAGATTTTCTCAAAATTTATATTATTTTAGGGAACAACATGACCACCTCCAAGAGAAAGACGAGAAAGCTCAGAGGTCACGTCAGTCACGGTCACGGCCGTGTTGGCAAGCACAGAAAGCATCCCGGTGGACGCGGTAACGCTGGTGGCATGCACCATCACAGAATCAACTTCGATAAGTACCATCCCGGTTACTTCGGAAAGGTAAGAGAATTTGTTTGATTTTTTGTTGAATTTAGGGGTAAAATACGGAATATCTTTCTCAGATTGAGATGAAAGGTTTTTGGCATCTTTTGAAGGTTATTTTGTTATGGGTTTTCTATAAAATTTACGATTTTCTACATTAGACTAGGTGGGCGGCCAAAACACGCCAATAATTTTGGTGTTTTGTCTATGTTTAGTCGCAAAATTGGTTCAAAAATTTGGCAAATATCTTGAGGTTCCTTTTGGAATCTTTTCTGTTCATAATTCGCATCTAAATGTCTTATTCGCACTCTTCTCGTTTCAAAAGGACTAGTATAACATCCTTATTGTTCTATATGAGTGCCAAATCGTAATGAGTCCATTTTTCGCTAACCCCAGACGCAACCATCGACTGGTGTTTGATAGTAGTCTTGGATACACTTTTACAACACAAAATAATTATAGTTTTCCATCAAATACCGTGTATATTATCCAAAACTCAAAAAAATGTTTTCAGGTCGGTATGCGAAACTTCCATCTCCACAAGAACCACTACTTCAACCCCGCCGTCAACGTCGAGAAGCTGTGGTCGCTCGTTTCGGATGAGACCCGCGAGAAGTACGCTAAGGACACCAAGAAAGCCCCAGTGATCGACGCCACCAGAGCCGGATACTTCAAGGTCCTCGGCAAAGGCCGACTCCCCAAGATCCCACTGATCGTGAAGGCTAAGGAATTCTCCCACGAAGCCGAACGCAAAATCAAGAAGGCCGGTGGAGCTTGTATTCTGGTTGCCTAAATTCGATCCCCAACTTGTTTATTGTTGATGTGTTTGATTGATAAAGTGTTTGATAAGCTAACTCTGAGGCTGATAAAGATTTTACACTGGTTTTATTCACCATGAGATGTTTTTCGACCTGGAATGGATATTTTCCATGCGGTGGTCTGGTATAATATAAATTTATTCTCTAATTGTCACTTGTATTCAGACTCAGGTCCCGTACCAACGGCTAAGGCTTCTATAGCAACTTGCGTCAATTAATTTGAAGAAAGAAATGGCCTCCACCCAAGAACTCGCTATCATCTACTCTGCCCTGATCCTCCAAGACGAAGGCATCGCCATCTCCGCCGACAAGCTCCAGAAGCTCGTCGCCGCCGCTGGAGTCCAGATCGAGCCCTTCTGGCCCGGACTTTACGCCAAGGCCCTCGAGGGTGTTGATGTCAATGTAAGTTCATTTTCGATTGATTTTTGTTAAATTTAGGGTGTAAATAATGGATAAATGGGTCAACTAAGGCATGATCTAGGTTTTTTCTTTTGGATTGAGCAGAAATTCGGGGTTTGCTAACTTTTTTGAGCTAATATTACCCATGGCACATGTTCCATACCCTATGTTGATTTTCGGCTTGAGGGTTTCCTAAACTGTGCAAAATTGAATCCTCTGTATGTTAACCGTACCCAGCGCCAAATCCTGGAGTGCATTGTTAACTTTGGAACATTTCCCATCTAAAGCATCCTTAAATTCACTGTTCTGATATAAATTGTAATATCCTTTCTATTTGCAGGAATTGATCAGCAACATCTCGTCTGGAGCCGGATCCGCCCCAGCTGCCGCTGCCCCAGCCGCCGGAGGAGCTGCCCCCGCCGAGGAGAAGAAGGACGAGGGAAAGAAGAAGAAGGAAGAGGTCAAGGAGGAGTCCGAGGAGGAAGACATGGGCTTCGGTCTCTTCGACTAAGTCAACTGAATCCTCAGGCTATTGGTTTTCCATCGACCGGCACTCTGTTATCCCTGTTAAACCTTTTTTTGTTGAGATAAAACCAAAAAACTTTAGTGGCAGTTTATTTTTTGCGTGGATAAAGTCAAATCTCTGTAGAACGAACTCTGAAATGTGCTTGTATTACAGAGATTTGGACTATGGCAGTGTTATATTTCCCTTGAAAATGTATGTTGTTGTAGTTTCTCTACTCAATATGACCAGTTTTGCTCGGTATTTCCAGGCTTCGAATTGCTATTCGGCGACAAATCTGTTCGGTCCAGGTCGGAATTCGGCGCGATCGGCTCGTTTTGCATCAAAAGTTTGGTTTTCGGGGCTAAAATTGTAAAAAATGAAGTAAATTTAGGCGAAAAAAGTATTATTTCCGCCCCAAAATCACATACCCGGCTTGAAAAAGACATGATCCTTGTCGAAATGAGCCGATTGGAAACGGCGGAGCGGTGAGCTGGCCGGCTTTCTTCGCCCGTCCGACGTGATTTCGAACAGATGAAAGTTGGCAGAGGCCGTTGTGGAGTGTGAACGGTCGGTCACGACGAAGCCATTAGGTGCTACCTGAAATTTGAGATCATAAGAAGAGGAAACGAAATAGAAATGATTATTCGACTTGAAATTTTACAAAACTTCTTGAAATTTGTTCTATTAGGTTGGGGAATAAGTCCGCAACGATTTCTTTATTGCTTCGTCCTGCAACGATTGTTTGTTGTTTGGAAAAGTTTATATATGTATTCGAAAGAGTTCTGTCTCCTCTACAAAACTGTGTTTTTAGTTTTTTTTGAAAATTTAATTTTTAATTATTTTTTGGGCTTAAAAGTGAACCATCTAGGAGGCAAAAATTTGCGTTTTCGACACCTGCTTTTTTCGCCGAGCAGCACGTGGACGCAAACGGCGGTCTTTGTATTGAATCATCATCGGGTTTGACAATGGTGTCTGTACGTCAATATAAAGCAAAATGTTGACTGTTTCCTGGAGTGGGTGGCCCCAGGGGACAGTCAAGCAAGATCCCCACCCAAAAAGGCCATGATCTGCATTTGGGGGGACTGGGAAGGCATGGTGCATTGGGACATGCCTCAAAAGAACGCCACTGTCAACAAGGAGCTCTATGATGCCCAACTACACCTCGAAAATGGGGCTATTCGACTGAAATCAAGGCCAAGTCATCTTGCTCCACGAGTCATCTTGCTCTCATGTTGCACAAGTCGTCAAAACCGCACTCCATGAGTTCGAAAGGGAGGTTATTTAGCATCCACCATACTCTCGGACCTTGCGCCAACCGATTACCACCTTTTCCGCTTTCTGTCAAACCAAATCCGAGATGAAAAATTCGATGGCGAAGAGGACCTCAAAAACCTTTTAAGCCCCAAAAATTATAAAAAATTTAATTTTCAAAAAAAAAACTAAAAACACAGTTTTGTAGAGGAGAAAAAACTGTATCAAATAATATATATAACCTTTGCCAAACAACAAACAATCCTTGCAAAACAAAACAATAAAAAGCTCTACGAACTTATTCCCCAACCTAATAGATTCAATTAACTGGATTCATACATGACTTTTTGATTATCGTATTTTACCCTAGAACAAAATTTTCTACAAAAAGTGGGAGGAAAATGGGTTAGAAAAGGCCTTTGTTTAGAAAAGTCCCTCGATTAAAAATGATTAAAATTTTAGCCCTATCAAATCCGCATTCAATTTTTAACCCCAAGTCATGTTGCTGCGAAAATTTCCAAAAAATTCCAAGAAAAATCAGCCTATTTTCGTCAAAAAATTGCCCGTTTCGAGCCCCTTTTTGTTTCCACGGAATGGGATCAAAAGTGGAAAGGGAAGGGAGTGTGTACGCCCATAGCCCGTTGAAAGCACGCCATCCCGTCCGATCTGGCAAGTTAAGCAACGGTGCGCTTGATTAGTACTTGGATCGGAGACGTCCTTGGAATCTCAAGTGGCGTACGCGTTTTTGACTTTTTTGGTTTGCATAAACAAATCAGAATCGTATTTTAGCTTATATACTAGCAAGAAAGTGACTCTAGCTCAGATTTTTAACGAATTTTTGTCATAAGAATTGCGCCTTTAGTCATTTTTTGAATTTCTTTTTTATCAGTGTTACAGTTTCAATATCATATTTTATAACTCATTTTACGACCTTTAGAAATGTTTTTCCACCCAAGAATTACCAAAATTTTGAATAATTTTTCCTAAACTTACCTTGCTTTTGAAATTTTTCACCGAGTGATTTTGTGAATTCCTCTCTGCCGTCTCTCTTCCGGAGCTGCTTTTTGTTGCTCGACTCTCTCTTCGGTCTTCTTTTGGTTCCATTTTCTCTTCCTCAAATGCTTCATTTACCCTTCCTTTCTCAATTTTGGTCGAAATTTCCTCATTTTTCGTCAAATTCTCCTCCAAAATTCGCGATTTTTTCGGTGGAACCACTGAGACCAAATTCTGGACGTCCAGCACTTCGGTCGGGATGCTTCCATTCGGTTGGCTGTGTTCGGAGCGGTCGATTGTGAGCGTATCTCGGTTCGTTGTGGGCTCAACGGACTCTGGGGGCGCCGTCGAAGGGCCGGGCCGATCCTCCGCGTGCTGCTTGCTGAAGCGAATTCGAGATTTATTTTTGGTTCAAACAGTAAAAATCAGGCATAAAAAACTTAAAAAAAGCAAAAAATAGCATTGACGAAATAAAATTTTTTTTGACTGACAAGGGAAGTACCCTAGGTATGACGCTCAGATTTTCTTTAAATTTTGCACACACATCGGGAACAGGCTAAATAACAATTTCTGAAAGTTTTAGCTCGCGCTTTGCAGGCGCCGCCGAGATATTGAACCATTTTTGCCGCCGAGAGAGTACACTAAACGCGGAGAGCGGTCAGAGAGAAAGACACTTTTTGGCTATAACTTCGCTAGTTTCGCGCGGAAAAAACTGATTTTTTGTGGAAACATTATCCTTTACGGTTGAAATAGGCATGAAACTTTTCGTGCCGAAATTCGGCAAAAAGTGTCAAATTTTCGCCGACTTTCGATCTAAAAACCTCGGTTGTTTCTGCAAAGCGCGGGCTAGGATTCCCGCATATGTTTTAGAAAAAATTGTTCTAAATTTGTGCCAAGTTTCATCAAAATCTGTACTTCCGCTGTAAATATAATTTTTAATTTTCAAAAAAAAAAAAAAAAAAAAAAATAAAAAAAAGAATAAAAAAATTAAATTTTTAGTTCCAAAAACCCTCCCAACCCCCTGCAACACTCGTTCGCTCACCTCAAACTGGCGAGGCGATGCTGGCGCTCCAGGCGTTCGCGGGCCTGGCGCTCGCGGAGCGCCTGCTCCGCCGCCTCGATGCCCTGGTTCAGCTGGTCGAAGCGGCTGTACACGCGGTCCAGCAGCCACTCCAGGCCTTCGCTGATCAGCGGGTCGATGTCGCGTCCAACGCCCTTCACCGCGCACACCCGCTCCACCCGGATGTCGGTCCGGCTCTCGATGGCCATGTTGTGCAGGTCCATGTCCTCGCTGAACTGCAGCTCGTCCACCGCGTCCGGCAGGTCCTTTTTGTTCAGCAGGAAGAGGATGGGCTTGCCCTGCAAGCATTTTGGGGTTCGATTTCGGGAGAAATTTCAGATGTTCGGCTATGTTGTAGTTGGTAAAAAAGAGGGATTTCAAGACGAAAAAGTGTGATTTTTAGCATGATAGCAATATCTAGAGACGTAGTAGATCACGTAGACCCAAATTTAAAAAAATTTTGGACCTAAAATTATATTGTACTAGGTAAAAAAAATGGTGGATTTTGCCCGAAAAAGTGTGTTTTAAAAATAGATTAATGTATTTTTAAGCATGTCAGCAATATTTAGACCATTTAGACCCAAAATTTTAACAAATTTTGGACAAAAAATTATATTGTACTAGGTAAAAAAAGATGGATTTCAAGACGAAAAAATATGATTTTAAGCACGAAATTAATATTCAGAGACCTATTAGGCCCTTCATACCAAATTTTATCCAATTTTTGACAAAAAATTATATTGTAGTAGGTAAACAAAGATGGATTTCAAGACAAAAAAATGTGATTTTAAGCACGAAATTAATATTCAGAGACCTATTAGACCCTTCATACCAAATTTTATCCAATTTTGGACAAAAAATTATATTGTAGTAGGTAAAAAAATTATTTTTTCGATAAAAATCAAAGTTTTCTCCCCGAAAATGGCCACTACAGACCTGAAAAGCCCCAAAACAAAATCTCATGCCATTTTGGAGCACAAATTATATTATACTTGGCAAAAATAAAAAAAAAAAAAATCAAAAAATTTTCGCCAAAAAGCCTCAAAAACTCTTACCATTAGCTGCCGATGGCCGCGCATTGTGCGCAGCACTTCCTTGTTTTCCTGCATCCGGCTCTGGGCCGAACTGTCCACTACGTAGACCACAGCGAAGATCTGCAAAATTGAATGGTCTCAAAAAAAAAAAAAAAAAAAAAAATGGACCGAAAAAACGCACCTCGGCATAGTAGATCTTCCAGATGTCGCGGATCCGCGGGGCGCCGCCCAGATCGAAGGCCACGATCGGCGACTTTCGGATGGCGAACTCGCCGCGGGAAAAGCCCATGGTTGAGTGCACCGAGCTGGCGTCTTCTGAAATGCTCTTCGGCCATGAAGCGCTCGAATTCGTGCGACATCAGGGCTCCCATTCTTCGATATGACTGCTATTAGGTCAATTTTTCATAAGTTTGCGAAAAAATTACAAATTTTTACCGATTTAAAAAAATGAAAATTTTTCGCGGAAAATTGTAAAATTTCGGAGAAAAATGTAAAAATTTTTTACATTTATTGTAGAATACTTCTCTATTAGCATTTTCATAAAGTGCATGGACATTTTTAAAACACGTTCTACTCCTCAAAACTCCAAGTTTTTGTCCTGAAAATTAAAAAAAAAAAAAAAAATTTTCGAATTTTCGCAATTTTTCAGCCAAAAAATCTCGATGATTTCTGCAAAATGCGAGCTAAAGTTTTCTCCTACGTCTTGGCAAATTCTGCTTTCAATTTTTGCCAAATTTCATCAAAATCTGAACATAAAAATTTTTCAAAAAATTGCACTGTGCAAATTTTGAAATTTCAAAAATTTGTAAAATACGTATAGAAAACTGGTTTTTGGTTATGCAGTTCAAATTTCAAAATTCTAATGTGGCAAAATTTAGTTTTTTACTCGATTTTTTGAGGATTTTTATTTTTACAAAAATAAAAAAAAATTTTTTTTCAAAAAATCTCGTTTTTCACTTGTCAAAACTGCTGCTCATAAGTCACTTTTCTCGCGTTTCCCACAGAATTCTCCATAATCCCCAAGAACACCCATTTCCGCATCAAAAACAATAAAAAAAAACGCGGGTCTCGAAGTGCAGGGGAGCCGTTTATGGGGAAATAAAAATTGCAAATTCGGGCCCAAATTTATTCCAAAAAACACTTCGATATGAATACGAATGCGCTTCGACTCCGGGAAAAGTTGGAATGCGAACAAAGGAAATCTGGTTACCAACAACATGTTTGTTATTTTCGCATCGAAAATCCGGAGGTTTCTTTCCGTTGCGAAATTCGAAAAATCTCGAAAAACGGGTCAATAATTAAGAAATTTGGCAAAATTGAAATTTTGTTTTTTACACTAAATATCCAAATTTTTTACACTAAATATCCATGCTAGAAAATTTTAATCTGATCTGCCAAGATACGATTGAGATATTCAAAAATTTTGGCAAACAAGAGACTATGGAAAATGAAGAGAGGCGATCAGAGAAAAAGAAAAAAGTTTTCCTGTTTCTTTTTGGTTTTGACCGGAAAAAAATATTATTTTAAACATTCTCCTCAATTCGAGCAGAATTCTAATTTTTTGTCCTGAAAATTGAAAAAATCATCGAATTTTCGCAATTCTTCTACTGTAAAAACTCGATGATTTCTGGAAAATGCGAGCTAGAAATCTGGGCTACGTCTTTGAGAATTCTGATTTCAATTTTTGTCAGGTTTCATCAAAATCTGAACATTGAAATTTTTCAAAAAATTACAGTGCGAAATCTTGAAATTTCAAAAATTTGTAAAATACGGCTGTACAAATTGGGCATGGTTTATGCAGTTCAATTAGGAAAAATTGGCAACTTTATCATTGAGATCATGACTATCACATGACTTACCTCATAGTCAAAATAAAAATACTTGAACCTCATATTTACATATAACATTTATTGACCGTGTCCGTCCATTATGGGCAGCGCCATCAAGGGCAGACAATTACGTATTCTTTACTTCTTTTCGTAAGCGGTTCAAAAATTACTTTTTAACAGTACCACTTACGAAAAGAAGCAAAGAATACATAATTGTCTGTCCATAATAGCATCTGCCCATAATGGACGGACACGGTCAATGAATGTTATATGTACATATGAGATTCAAGTATTTTTATTTCGACTGTGAGGCAGGTCATGTGTTAGTCATGATCTCAAAAATAAAGCTGCCAATTTTATACAACTCAACTGCATAAACCATGCCCAATTTGTATAGCCGTATTTTACAAGTTTTTGAAATTTCAAAATTTCGTGCAACGCAAATTTTTTCGAAAAATTTTAACGTTCAGATTTTCATGAACCTTGACTGAAATTGAGATCAAAATTTTCAAAGATGTAGGCCACATTGTAGCTCGCATATTGCAGAAATCATCGAGTTTTTACAGTAGAAGAATTGCGAAAATTCAATGATTTTTTCAATTTTCAGGACAAAAAATTAGACATCTGCTGGAATTGAGGATTCCAATATTTAAAAAGTTTCTTTCAAAAAAGAAAAACGTTTTTCTCTGACCTCGTCTCATCACTTGCCAATAGCCTCTCATTTACCAAAATTGTTGAATATCTTGGCCGTATCTTCGTATCTACATATATATCATGGTTAGAATTTTCAGGCATGAATATTCAGTGTATGAAAATAATATTTTCGAAAAAAATTTTTTTTGGTCCTCCCTTGTCATACTTCATTCCAGAAATCAGCCTGGGAAAAATCCCTGGTCTACCTTATCAAATCCCACTTCTACCTTATTGTTTTTTGGATTTCGCAACAAAATAACACCGAAAAAAGAAGCTGCGGTCAATTTCATTTACAGTCCAGTCGAATGCCCTAAAGGGCCACTTTATATGGCCACAAAAATTTTATGGTCGATCGGAAGTCACGTGCCATTTGTTATTTCACACCTCGGCGGGGCGTTTAATCACTTCAAGTGGTAAACAATGGAGAAATCAAACGCGCACCGTGCAGATGAAAATTTTTTTTCTGCACGGTGCGAAGAGATTTTTCAGATTTCTCGCGGTAGAAACGAGATTTTTTTGTTATGCCAAAGACTCACAATGAAAAATAGTCTCTTTATAACCTATTCCATCTATAACAAACAATGTTTTTAATCGAAAAAACTCAAGATTTCCAAAATCTTAATTTAACCCCAACTGATCCCAATTATAACATAGAACTCGGCCAAAATTTTTGTAAATGAGTAATCCAAAACTTACAGCCCCGCTCGCAAAGGGCTCCGTGTAATCCGAACCGCACGCAAAAACAATAAAAGGACACAAGAAAAAAAAACGTTTTATTGGCCGATAAATTTGCCATTAACCGAAGGGACAAGTTCGCTTTCAACTTTGCCTTTTTTATAGCAAACAACGAGTACAAATTTTATTTTTGCGGTTTAGAGTTGCATTTTCATCCGGGTTTTAGAATTTTTTCGAATTTTAAAAGGCTATATTCCAAGTGTAGAGTTGGGTTACGGAACTTTGCCACTTTTGTCGACAAAAGATTGCGTTACTAAACATTCTAGGTGGATTTAGAAGTCTGAAACGGGGTTCAAGGGGAAACAGGTGGGTTTTAGTAGGTCTAGAAGACAAAGTGAATAAAAGATTTACCAAAAAAGGAAAGAGATTTTCAAAAATAAACCCACAAATTTTTCAAATTTTAGGTCATTTGGCATTTTTTCAAAAACAAAAATTTTGTTACAGTAGCTCAAATGAAGCCTCAGATTATAATAAAGCCTGGTATAAATTTCGATCAGATTTTCAATATATGTACGTGGGATTTTTTAATTCGCTTTTTGCAGAAACCATCGAGATTTTTAAAAAACTGTGGAATTTACAACAAAATTCGAACTAAACATAAACATCTCGATTTTTCTGCAAAACGTGAGCTAAAAATCACCGCATACGCATTAAAAAGTCTAATCAAAATTTGCGCCAGGCTTTAATGTGACCTGACAGCTTCATTTGAGATACTGTAACAAAATTTTTGATTTTGAAAAAATGCCAAAAATCTGACCTAAAATTCAAAAAAAAAAAAAAAATCGGGGTTATTTTTGAAAATTTCTCTCCTTTTTAGGTAAATTTATTATTTCCTTTGTCTTCTAGACCTACTAAAACCCACATGTTTCCTTTTGAACCCCTTTTCAGACTTTTAAATCCACCTAGAATGTTTAGTAATGCAATCTTTTGTCCACAAAAGTGCAGGTCAAGTTCTGTAACCCAACTCTACACTTGGAATATAGCTTTTTAAAATTCGAAAAAATTCTAAAACGCAGATGAAAATGCAACTTTAAACCGCAAAAATAAACTTTTTCCTCGTTTTTTGCTATAAAAAAGGCAAAGATGAAAGAGAAACTTGTCCCTTATGCAAATTTATGGGCCAATAAAACGTTTTTTTCTTCTGTCCTTTTATTGTTTTTGCGTGCGGTTCGGATTACACGGAGCCCTTTGGGGGGCTGTAAGTTTTGGATTACTCATTTACAAAAATTTTGGCCGAGTTCTATGTTATAATTGGGATCAGTTGGGGTTAAATTAAGATTTTGGAAATCTTGGGATTTTTCGATTAAAAACATTGTTTGTTATAGATGGAATAGGTTATAAAGAGACTATTTTTCATTGTGAGTCTTTGGCATAACAAAAAAATCTCGTTTTTATCGCGAGAAATCCGAAAAATCTCTTCGCACCGTGCGGAAGAGAAATTTTCATCTGCACGGTGCGATTCTGATTTCTCCATTGTTTACCACTTGAAGTGATTAAACGCCCCGCCGAGGTGTGAAATAACAAATGGCACGTGACTTTTGATCGACCATAAAATTTTTGTGGCCATATAAAGTGGCCCTTTAGGGCATTCGACTGGACTGTAAATGAAATTGACCGCAGCTTCTTTTTTCGGTGTTATTTTGTTGCGAAAACCAAAAAACGATAAGGTAGAAGTGGGATTTGACAAGGTAGACCAGGCATTTTTCCCAGACTGAATTCTAAAATAAAGTATGACAAGGGGGGACCAAAAAAAATTTTTTTTGAAAATACTTTTTTTATTGTTTTTATACACTAAATATTCGTACATGAAAGTTTCAACCGGATCGGTGAAGCTGCGGCCGAGATATTCAACAATTTTGACAAACGAGAGACTACTGGGGCTAAATTAAGATTTCTGAAATTTTGAGATTTTTCGATAAAAAAATTTCCCTCTTTTCCTCGAACCCGCCCAAAAAATTAGAGTTAGTCCAAAGAATTTTTTTGCAACTTTCCTCCCCTTCGTATATTATTTTACCTTTTTCCCGGAAGTCCGGCGTCAGTCAACCCTTTTCCCGACAATGGGGCGTATTTCGAAAACATGCATAATTGGCGTGAAAATGCGATCACTCAAAATTTTTTAATTTATTTACAACCGCTTTTTCATCAAAAAAAAAACACATTCCATTTAGTGGCAACAAAGTGAAAAAAACATAATTTTTTGTCGTCTTTATGGCCCATAAAGTGGCCGTTTTTGGGGGCCCAAGAATATGACATTTCAACATTATCGGGCGGGTGGGCCAACTTGCCGCCGCCGCCGCTGCTTACCCAAGACGGCGTTAAAATCGCTCCCGAGGGGACGGTCCGCACGAACCGCAATTTTCACGCGCGTTTGCCTCCGAGAATGGGGCGAGGAAATCTGGAAGTGTCTTCAGGTCGAGAGTTAATCCTACAATATTTCGCGACATGTCCAGACAACCCTGTGGGTCAAACATCAGGGCTTTTGAGCGATCAAAAAAAATTTTTTTTTGGGTTTTTTAGTAATAAACCTAAAATTTTGGGAAACATAGACAGAAATATAGCAAAATATGATGAGTTCTCGATAATGAATTTTACAAAAAACCCAAAAAATCAATTTTACAAAAAAATAAATTTTGATTTTGCCACGAAAAACCGAAAAAAATAAAAAAAACCCTTCAAAAAATCAGCTTACTATTCCTTACTATACCCCAATATAGTGCTATACGATTCTGACTTGTCTATTTAACTCAAAAAAGTCAAAAATGCGTACGCCACTTGAGATTCCAAGGACGTCTCCGATCCAAGTACTAATCAAGCGCACCGTTGCTTAACTTGCCAGATCGGACGGGATGGCGTGCTTTCAACGGGCTATGGGCGTACACACCCCTCTCTCTTTCGATTGGAAAGATGGTTCCGTGAAAATGAAAGATGACCTTGAAGAAGAGGGAGACGATGAAAAACCCGCCGTTTCGTGGTGATTTTTTCGTGTATTTTTTTCTAACTGGATGCAATATACCTGATAATCTACAATAAACCCAAAATTACGCTAGATTAAACCTCAATTTTCCTTACTTTTTCCCAATTTTTAAACATTTTACGGCATTTTCAAAGAAAAAATTTCTTCAAAATGCCTTCCACAGTATTCTCAAAGGCATTTCCAGGTTTGAAATTTTTTATAAATACCCTGTTTGAACCTTGCACTTTCCAAAAAAGGAAAAAATCGGAAAAATTTTCAAAAAATGTAAACATCAATTACATTTCGTCGATAAATTTAATTGCAAAAACAAATTTTTCGCAGAAGAATGAGGGCCCACAACATCAAAAATAATCCAAAAAATATGGTCCTACCGTTCTGCAGCGCCTTCAAAATCGTCGTTTTACCCGCACCATCCAACCCGAGAAAGGCGATTGTAATCGTCTTCTTTGGCCTGAAAAGACACATAGAACACATAGTCCAGTCGAATAAAGCTTATGATTTTTGTTGTAGTGGGCATTTCTCAATTTTTGAAAGGTTTAATCCCCGAAAAAGTTGTTTTCCCTCGATTATAAAGGAAATTGGGGCTTAGCATTTCTTTCGACAGATCATAAAACAACTTTCAAGCCTACTTTCTAACATTTTCGATGGCAGAATGCGAAAATATACGTGATAAATTAAAATTTTTGGATTTTGCACGGTGCAAAGCAAATTTTTGCTCAAAAAAGTCAAAATTACTGTAATTATTGATCAAAAAGATGGCGGAATAAATAATATAACCTAGAATCTTTGCAGGAAAACCGATTTTTTCTTTAAACTCGCCAGCACTTTGCAGAATTTTATCAAATTTTAGACTGCACAGTGCGAAAACTTTTCGGTTAAAAAATCAAACATTACAGTAATGCTGCGGGAAAATTAAATTTTTATGGTCTCTACTGTCAATGCTCTTTATAGTTTTTCACGCTTTTCTCTTTAAACTCTTTCGCACTGTGTAGAATTTTATCAGATTTTAGACTGCACAGTCCAAAAAATTTTTCGGTCAAAAAATTTTAAATTACAGTAATCTTGCAGGTAAAAAAATCTTTTATGATCTCTACTATCAATGCTCTTCACACCTTTTTCACTTCTTTCCTTAAACTCTCTCGCACTGTGCAGAATTTCATCAAATTTCGGACCGCACAGTGCAAAAAACTTTTCGGTAGAAAAATGAAAAATTACAGTAATCCTAAAGGCAAAATAATTTTTTATGAGCTCTACTATCAATGCTCTCCACATTTCTTTCACTTTTTTCCTTGAACTCTCTCGCACTGTGCAGAATTTTACCAAATTTTAGGCTGCACAGTGCAAAAAATTTTTCGGTCAAAAACTCAAAAATTACAGTAATCCACCAATCAAACTTGGGTTGGTTAGTCACTAACCCCCACTCTCTTGCTTATTTCACCAAAATTTTTCTCAAAATTTCTCTGCGTTATTCAGAATTTCATCAAAAATTTTGCTGCACCGTGCGAAATTTCAAAAATTTCCCTCTCACGAAAATCAACTAAAAAATTCTGTTGTAAAAACGGATGTCACGTTTTACTCGTTCGAACTAATCGAATTACCCAATAAAAGCGACATAATGCCGAAAAAACAACCCAAGGATCAAAGAATAAAACAAAAAAACGCACTTTTTTCGTCGAAACGGCAAATTCTCTGTCCGTCGACTGAAGCCGCCAACACAATTGCCCATATGAGGTTGAGTACTCGTTATATCCAAAGTGAACTGATTTGGAGGTGAGCTTCGGCTATTTCAGGCATTCACGGACCTTGTTCATGATGAATATTTGAGGTCATCATAGTAAAAAAATGTTCTTTTTAAAGTCTGAAATTGCTAATAATTACTCATTGAGGCTCTTGGACTATATTAAAATTAATTTTAAGTTCATTGCCTTAGGGGATTTTCAAAAATTCAAGTTTGTCAAAATTTGCACCATGCACTCAAAAAAGGTCTTAATGAACAAAAAATGTGCTTGTTAAAGTCTGAAATTGTTAACAATTACTCATTGAGGCTTTTGGAGTATATCAAAAAAATTTGCACCGTGCACTCAAAAAGTATGTGGAAAAAACATCGCCTAAGCCGGGAAACCTTACAATTTCATAGAAATTATGACGGATTAGGACGAATGACATTCTTTTACGCATTAATTGTCAAAAAAAATCTCAAATTTACTCTTTTTTAAGACCTCGGAATTTTGGCAAAATTTGAGATTTTAATCTCCAAAAAAATCTCAAAAATATGTTGCAAACTATTTAACCTTCCTCATAAACTAATATAATACAAGTTCAACCCTCATTTTCCTCATTAACCCGAGGAATTCGGAGATTAAGGCAAATTTGTAAAAATAATAAAAAAATAATTGCCCAAACCGGGACCGCCTTAGGGCTTTTTCCATTCCCACGTCTCCATGCCAACAAAAGCCGGACAGCGGAAATTGAGAGGGAAGGTGGAAGAAAAGGCGCTTTCATAGCTACGCGTAGATTTAATTGTCTTTTAATTAGCATGTAGCCCAGAGTTTTGATGTAGTAACGAGAAGTGTATCATGAGGCCCCTTATTATTGCTCGCTTTTACCTTTGCCACCCAAAAAAATTTATTTGTCACGAGTTTTTGCGTGATTTTAGAAAGTGCACAGTGCGGAGGAAAAAGTCGGAAAATTCCGCACTGTGCGGGGGAAATCGAAAACAACCGATGTTTCGAAATTTCATTTTGATCTTTACTCTTTGTAATTGGCAAGTCTATAACTTACAATTCCATATTTCAAGTCATTTTGTCATCAATTTTAGAAAATGCACAGTGCAGAGGAAAAAGACGGAAAATTCCGCACTGTGCGCGGGAAATTAAAAAAATCTCGGCTTCGAAATTTCATTTTGATCTTCGCTGTTCGTATTTGACAACTTTACAACTTGCAATTCCATGTACCAAGTAATTTTTCCATCAATTTTTGAATCTGCACAGTGCAGGGAAAAAAGTCAAAAAATTCCGCACTGTGCGGGGGAAATAGCAAAAACTGTTGGCTTCGAAATTTCATTTTGAACATTACTCTTCCTAATTGACAACTTTACAACCTACAATTACAAGTTTCAAGTAATTTTCTCATCAATTTTTGAATCCGCACAGTGCACAAAATAGAATTCAATTTGTTTGCACTGTGCAGTCGATTTTTCCCAAAATTTCTTACAAGTAATTTCAAATCGCACCTTCATCACCATTAGTAACGATTACACAACTATCTTTTCCATGCAGTAACTCCATTCTTTGCCGTTCAAATATCTGCACTGTGCAATCACAAAACCTACCATTTTCCCGAAAATTTCAATCATTCTTTCTTCGAACCTTGCAAAATCTCATTTTATCTCTAAATATGTACAAAAATACGATTAGGACCTTAAAAAAACATTGAAAATCTCGAGAATACGTAAAAGTCGGATAGGAAGTTGATAAGATGAGTAGTGTGGGAATATAGGAAGGTATCGATGTGTTGTGAAGCGATCACTACGCTCTGGCTTGCTGAACAAACGCAAAAATGCAGCGACCGAGGAGGATAACACTAAAATTTATATTACACATGATGGCAGGATATTTTTGATCAAAAATAACGACCACATCAAAACTTTCAGAACGCTGGCAGTATCAGAGGAAAGACAAAGGCATTTAGGAGGTGCATTGACTATTCTTACCTCGAAAAAGTAAAAAAATCACATTGAAAAGACCAATTATATTATCCATGACGAATAACATAACGTAGACGTCTAAAGCCATAAACCCCTAATTATCTTGACCTTAAAAGAGAGCTAGACTGCTTGAAAATCTAATAAACCTTGTCTCGCAACATAAAAATCCAGAAAACGCTTATCAAAGACATTAGTTATATTCCACATGGCATACAACAAGAAAGACGACAAACCCTCGGAAAAAGCAACTCTCCCACGCTCCAAACAGTGAAAATCTCACCTCAACACCAGGACCAAGCCCGGAGGCATGAAATTCCCGCTCTTGTAGAAGCGGAACGCCATCACACCGCCCAAAACCACGGCCACACCTAAACATCAACAAGAACAAAGTGAAAGACTTACCCGCAAGCACGTAAAAGTTGCTGGTCAACGCTCCATAGCCCGCGATCACGCCGCTGATGAGTCCGGCGGCCAGTGACATTCCACTTCCGGCCTTGATGAAGCCAACAACGCCGCCGAGCAGGACCAGCACCGCGTAGGCGAGGCCAATATAATCGATATTCAGCTCCATGGAGTGCGAAAGTGGGATAAAGTGATGAAGAAGGGGGATAATCCGCTTGTTTTATCAAGTTTCTCTTCGGAAACAGCGAAAGAGAAATTGTTTTTCATCAACAAGAAAAAATGCGGTCGGCGAGCTGCGCCCGACGTTAGGGGAAATCCGACGATTTTGAAGAGAAATTGATGAATTTTGAAGAGATTAGTGAAGAATATGGAGTAAAAAACTTGTTTTATATCTATTAAGACCTATTTTGCCGTAAAATCGAAGAAATTTTAAGATTTTTATATCACTTATCATGAATAATATAAAAAAATGTCAAAAAGACTAATAAATTGTCTCTTCAGGCCCTACCATTTCTATAATCAGCTTTGTTACGCCTAAAATCGAATTTTTTATCCGATTTTCATGTCAAAATTCATTATTTTTTCAAAAAATTTCAAAATTTTTATCTGGAGTTTTCTCAATTTTTACCATGGAAAGCGGTTGCTCTGATAATAATCCCGTGCAATCCACGGAAAACACTGAAGTTGATGAGATAAGAACCGCAATTTCTCCGGCGTCGTTGACTCCACCGCAAAAGGGTAAGATCAAAAAGAGAGTTTTGTTACAGTAACCCAAACGAGTTAATTGGATTTTGATGAAACTTTGTGTAAATTTAGAACACAATTTTTTGAGTGAAATCCTAAAGTCTTAGCTCACAATTTGCAAAAATAACTGAGATTTTTAGCTTCAAAAATTAAAAAATTTCAAAACTTTTTTTGCAATTTCACCGTGAAAAATTGGCATTCTGTTCAAGCTGTGGAGTAGTGAATTTATACAAAAAATTATTTTTTTCTCACAAAGATTCACAGAGAAATCGGCGAAAAACGTGTTTTTTCTCTGACCGTCTCCTCATTTTACATGCACTCTCGAAAAAGATTCAAATATCTCGCCTGGACTAGCAAAAAAAGTGCTGAAATTTTCAGGGATTGATAAGCAAATATTGTGTGTAAAATTTGAAACCTAAAATTTGATTTTTTTTTGGAAAAAATTGGAATTTTTGAAATTTTTGGGATTTTTTAAAAATTTTAAGGGAAAATTAGCAAATTTGAGTGCAAAATTTTTGTAATAGTAGATTTTTTTGTTCGTCTAGAGGATTATTCTAAGGAGGAGTGTAAAATTTTATAAAAATTTTTCCGAAATTTTTTGAAAAATAAAAAAAAATTTGCAAAAAATTAAGTTTTTTTTTTAAAAAAAATAATTTTTCTAGAAAAGAAAGTAGATGGCTCATCAATCCAAAAACTGGCCAGTTTTCTGAAGCGTCGTCAGAAGCCCGGCTCCAAATCCGGCTCGAAGGAATCGCCGAATCGTGGGAGTAAGAAAGGCAGTGAGTCGAAAAAATCAAAAATTTTCTCGTATTTTAGCCTCAACTTCGTCCTCGTCCAAGAAACTTTTGAAGCTTTTGTCCAAAAAGAAGAAAAAAACGGCTCTAAGTCTCAAAGTAGGGGTTTTTAAGACGTTCCTTTTGTCATGGTGGCCCAGATTATTTAAATGTATTGCTCATTTTAGCCAGTCCGTCAAAAAGTCTCGGTGCAGTTTCCAGGCGAACTCCCAAAGCCTCAGGCAGCGCCGAAACGGGCTAAACTTGTAGGTTTCCCAAAAAAATTACTAACTTTCACAAAAAAACTTGCCTAATGTCGGAAAAATCGAACAAATTGATAAAAATCTTTATTTCATAAAACATTTTATGCTAAATTACTATCTAAAATACGATTATGAATTCTTTATTCAACTCAAAAAAGTCAAAAATGCGTACGCCACTTGAGATTCCAAGGACGTCTCCGATCCAAGTACTAATCAAGCGCACCGTTGCTTAACTTGCCAGATCGGACGGGATGGCGTGCTTTCAACGGGCTATGGGCGTACACGCTCCTCTCTCTTTCCACTTTTGATTCCATTCCGTGGAAAGAAAAAGGGGATCAAAATGGGTGATTTTCAGACAAAAATTGGCTGATTTTTTCTTGGAATTTTTTGAAAATTTTTGCAAAAACATGATATTTTGGGGAAAAATTGAGAGTGCATTTGCTCGGGCTAAAAACTTTTAGTAATTTTTTCTATATTTTTTTTGTTATTTTTTTGACTTTTTCCTTGAAAAAACAAAGTTATCCCTACCAAATTTTCTCCTGCAATTTTTCAGACCAAAGTCGGCACAGTGCACTTTGATCACAAGAAAATTGAAGCCCAATTGCGTCGTCAGAGCCGTCGCAAAGCCACGTGTATCCGTGCCTGGGACCAAATCACCAAGTGTGTGATCACAATCTGTCTGGCTTCCCATGTGGTTGGACTTATGGTGGTGTTGATGAGCCATGCGATCCTCTCGAGGGAGAGATTCGAATTTTTCGGATTAAAAGAGCCATGGAAGTGGCAATGGAAGGGTAATGGAAGGTCGACATTGATGGTTAGAAATGTGGGTGCATATTACGGCATTTGTAAAAATTTTGAGTCATGAGACGAAATGTCACTATTGATTTTTCGGAAAAATTTAAACTTTTCAAAAAAAAATATTATAACATATCACGCCGTATTTTAAAAAATATTCGTGCCTTTTTTTGGCCATTGAACGAAATTTCAATGATTTAAAAAAAATCAATATTGACATTTCGTCCAATTTTCAAATTTTCTATTTCAGCGAACCTACACTCAAGACGTTCTCAACTGCACTCTTCCGAAACATTTGAAACAAGGGTCTTCATTGAATTGGTCTTGTGTTACCCGGGAATGCAAAAAGATGATTCGAATCCCAGAAAAAAATCACGTTTATTATTTTGATTCAGTTGACCAGTTCATTAGAAACAAAAATTATTGAGCTTACTATGATTTATAGGCGTATTTTACCGATTTTTTTACAATTCTAGTGGATTTTGAAAAATCAATATTTTTTGTGACATTTTGCAACATACTAAAATTTTTTTAAACAATTTAAAGTCTTTTTCTAATAGTAAAATTCGTTTTTTCAACCTACATGCATTCCAAGACCATTTCCAAAAAAATCAATAATTTTTGTGACATTTCGCAACTTCCCCCAAAACCCTCAAAAATCAAACCAAACTTCCCCACAATCAACATAACTTCATTTACTTCGCTACATACGCTATTACCACCTGATATTACTGTAAAAACGACAAGTTTAACGTGGTTTTAACCTTATTTATATCTGACCTTGTAGTAGATGCCCATTTTTCGAAATATACATCATTTATGCCCGATCGGTGTCGTTTTGATCGACCGCATCGTCGTCATAGGGTCCGTCCGACACCGTGGACTGGTTCTGCTCTCCTCGGGGGTCGATTTCCGTGGCCCAGGAGAAGTTCAACATGGCGCGATGCTGGTCTCCGAGGCGGCGATGAACTCGGCCTAGTAAGAAGAAGACATGGGCCTCGTCGGGGCTGAGATTCTTCAATTCGTTTAGTTCCTTTTCCGCTTCTTTATATTGGGCCTGGTCGAAGAGAATGCGGGCTTTGTGATAACGGGACGCGATGCTGTTGGGGTCGATTTCCAAGGCTCGTCGGAGGTGTTCCATGGCCTGGAAAAATGATATTCAATCCACTTCACGTATTTTTTCAATCCAACTTCACTTTCCACAACTTTCAGAGCGCTTTGAAAAAATCAATAATTTTTGTGATATTTCGTCAAATTTCCAAAAATGGCTGCATAAGCAAATTTGGCACCCAAAAAACAAATTATTAGCTTGTATTGTAAAGAACCATTAAATACAGCTTTGCCCCGAAAATTTCACAATTCAAAAAAATCAATAATTTTTTGACATTTCGTCAAATCCATGAAAACAACCCAAAAACATTCAAAAATTCCTTCAGCGATATTCTAATCCATCCAAAATTAAATATAAAAAAGCATAACTTCAAAACAACCCCAAAAAAACACTCCAAAAAATCCAATAATTTTTGTGACATTTCGTCAACTTTTCCAAAAAGCTCTCAAAACCCTCAAAAATGTCTCCAAATCTCCCCAAACACCTACCTCGGCATTTCTCTTCAACGAATGCTCCACAATGGCCAGCTGACACAGTAATATCACGTTTCTGGGGTTGATTTTGACGGCCTTTTTGAAGACCGCCAACGAAAACTCCAATTTTTCATTTTTGAAGTGGACCAAGCCTTCGCCATAAAGAGCGCGATAGTCGTTCGGTGAGTGTATTTGGGCCTGTTTGAAGGCTTCGAGGGCGCGATTCAGTTTGTTGAGATCGATCAGTTCGTGGCCTAACAGGGAATACGCGTACCCGAAGCGGGAATCCATCTGAATGGCGCGTTCGAAGGCCTCGACGGCGGCTTCGTGGTGCTTTTGGAGGGAGAGGGAGTTTCCCACCACGCACCAGGTGATGGCGTGATCGCGGTTCGTGTTCACCAGGTCCGCCGCCAGCGCTGATAGCTGATGCTGGTTTTGGAGCTGCCACAGCGCCGTGGAGAGGGTTTCCATGCCCTGAAAATGGTAATAAAAACCAAAAAAAAAATATACACGACCTCCAGAAAGAGTTTCGAAACTGTTTGAAATTTAAAATTTCAAACTCCCGCCATTTTTGGCATTCTGTTTCAAGAGCTGAAACCCCTCAAAAATAATTGAAATGGTAAAATACGACAAAGCCAAAATTCTGCAAGCTCCAAATTTACTATTTTGAACAATAACAACCAATTTATACATCAACTTATATTATCCATGACATTTTTATAAGTTATCCATCAAAAAAATCACTCAACTTTTTTGTTCAACTACCGGTGAGTCCTCTAAATTCGATTACATTATTTAAAAACACCAAATTTACCCTTAAAATCAGCCAAAAATTCCAAAAAAATCCCAATTTTTGATTTTCAAAAAACTCAAAAATTCCGTCAAAAAATCAATGTCAATAGTCTGCAAACCTATCAAACATATATCCCAGAGGCATAATACTCTTTCATAAACCATAAATTCCAAATAAAAATCCACCAACAATTAAAAAAAATCCCAATTTTTGATTTTCCAAAAAAAGCAAAAATTCCGTCGAAAAAGCAGTGCCAACATCCTGCAAACCTATCAAAATTATATCCAAGAGCCACAACCTTCACCATAAATCCGAAATTCCTAATAAAATCCACTAAAAATTCCAAAAAAATCCCTAATTTTACTTTTCAAAAAATTCAAAAATTCCGCCAAAAAATCAGTGCTAACATCCTTCAAACCCATCAAAATTACTTCTAATCGCCATAACACTCTTTCATAAACCATAAATTCCTAACAAAATCCACCAAAATTTCCAAAAAAAACCAAATTTTACTTTTCAAAAATTCCAAAAACTCACTTCAATCCTGCTCGGGAATATTCTCCTCAGTTCCAGTAGTACCTCCGAGCACCTTGCATAGTCTCTCAACTCAAATAATACGATTCCCCGAAGCCTCAACGTGATGCTGAGCTGTTTGAAAGCCATTGAAGTCTGATTTAAAATCTGGACCGCCTCCTCGCAGCGATAGAAGCTCAGGGCGTGGACGGCTTCGCTCAGCTGTAACATGAACTCGACCACTGCGCGGTCTACATTTGGTGCTTTTTTGTTGGTCATCCGGGGCGGGCTGATACTTTGTCTGGTGGGTTGGGAGAGAGAGGTGGGTGTTCGGCGCTTTTTCACCGTGTTGATGGCGCCCGGTTGGCTAGCCGTAGGCCGGATGTGGACTGGAGAGATGGGCTGGGCAGTTTCTTTCGTCGGCGTGCGCGGGAGGTCGAGAATTCGGGTTCTGGCTCTGAAAAAATGGATTTTTGAGAGAAAAACGGGCAAAATTTTGAAAAAATCTTCAAAATTCTAACTAAAATCCCCGAAAAGTTTGTGAAAAACTCTTACAATAGTTATTTTATCATTTTTGACTTTTCGGAGACATTTTATACGATAAAAATGTTTGATCGTATAAAATGTCACCTCATCAACTTTTGGTAAAAATCAATTCTATCTACCTCTTGGACTGTAAAAATCTTATTAGTACTCGAAAAACTACTTCTGGCGACATTTTATACGACAAAAAAATTTGATCGTATAAAATGTCACCCACCAAAATTTTGATCAAAATGGTACTTCCGATCTATTTACCTCAATGTAAACCCATTTAAACTCTATTACAATCTATTTCTACTCAAAATAAAATGAATTTTTTATTCCAATTTACCTTGCAATTCTCTCCGCGTATCTCCTCAACGCCTTCACTGGACGAGCTTCATTTTCATCCGTAAGTGCTCCAAACAATTTCGTGACACTGTCACCTCCCAATTGCCCGAACTGTTTCATTGTATCAAACAAAATTGGATTCCCAACCAAGGACAAGGTATAGTGGGCTTGAGCCTGCTCCAATCGCCCAATCTCGGTGTAAACTTGAGCCAAAAGCTTGTGGGCAAAAGGCTGAGAGCTTTCGTCGAATGACTCGTGGATTTGAATATTCAAATACGACGAATTTTCTCGACGAAGGGCAGATTCGGCTTCTTCTAGTCTAAAAATGCCATGGATAATATAAAATATCTCGGCAAATGTGTCTGAAAGGCCCAACAGGGCCTTGAATAGATCGACAAATGCCGCATTCTACCTCAAACTCCAGATTCATCTTGGTTTAGCCACCTAAACATAGAAAACAATAGCAAATACTTACTTTCTCAACGTGAATGCGCATTTAGCAAAGATGAACCTCGTCATTCCGCATCGTTCATAACCTTCGCTCTTCAAGAGCTCATACGTCGCCTTTACTTTGCCCCATCGCATCAAACATTGGGCATATAAGAGGAGAGTCGAATCTGATCGTTCTGAAAAAGAGAATCAATAAGAAAAGAAATTTTCGTGTCGTATTTTACAAAGGGACTCTAGAAGATCAAAGGCAGCTTCATTCGGCAGCAAACAGTTCGAAAAACTGGAGTTTCTTTAGCAAAAATTGAGTTAGTTGGTCATGTATAATATAACGGACAAAAAGGGAAAAATGCAGTCTTCAAAAACAATAAAAAGTGATGTTTCAGCAGAAATAGAGTTTTAGCAATGTCTAAGAACTAAAAAACAGCAGTTCCAAGCCGTCTCGGAAAAGTTCTACATCAATTTATATTCTCCATAGCAGATCAATCAAAAATGGCTCGATAAGAAATGAATTTCGTTTGCTTCTTGGCAAAATCAGCATGAAAAGCAAGATCAAGCCTCAACGCATCTAATCAGCTCAAAATCTCCGCTACCTCTCGACTCTAAACCAAGAACAAACAAAAACAAACTTCTTACCCTTGGCGTAAAGAACTTCCGCCAAAATTGCTGCATTCTCATAGTCAAAATGGTTTAAACACTGTTGTATCACGTTCTAAAATATAGAAGGGTTCATAATCATCAATTTAGAAAAATAATCATGGACAAAAACAAATCTTACCTCGACAGAAAGCGGTAAAATAATATCCACACAGTCCTTCCGCTGTTCGATTGCTGCCAACATCTTGGAGGCACTGGCGTGCGATTGTATCACGCACATACGGCCAACAGAATCGAGGGCTTCGTCAATTCGGCCGAATTCTTCAGCGAAAATTCATTTTTCCGACAAAAAAGCCGAATGAAACGTAATGCCACGAGTTGTTTGTTTTCGCGGTGGGACTAAAACGGAGGGGTTGCGATTGACAGATTTTGATGGGAAATGGTCGGAAATGAATATAGCATAATTTTTAGCTGCTAAAAAATTGTATTGGAGTATGTTTGGAAACCTTTGAGGCTGCTAAATTCCTCGGCATAAGAAATATTTTAATTCATCAAAAAAAGTTGTTCGTAATGGGCGGAGATGGCTATAGATAGGTTAATTATAACTTGAATAGTATCTAAAAACTATTTTTCATCCATTACAAGCATGGTTTTTTCATAACCAGCTCTTTTATCAAATCCTTTTAGATTTTTTTTTTTCAATTTTTTGGTCCAGACGCGAAAGCCTTCAGTTATCCAAAAACCCTTAGCAAACCAAAGTCCTTTGTCCTCCAGACCACTGACTCTTTGCACTTGACAAACTTGAACTGAAAATCTGTGAATTTTGCATATTAATATGCGAAAACTCTTTATTCTCATGGTTAACAAACTTCTCTTCATAGGCGAGTAGCTAGATAGTTTTCACGTGCAGCATTGTTAGGTGTGTATTGGAGATAAGTTGAGGAAACTGATGGGCTCTATTTTTTTAGAGTAAATTGATAATAAATAGGATTTTCATAGACTTTTGTGAAATTTCGGGCTTTGATGGGTAATATAATAGAAAATTGATGTTTTGACCACCTTATTATCAATATCTGATCGAGAAAAAGTTAGGATATGATGTTATATACCCTAAATTTATTGTGTGTTAGCTTTTAATCTTCAAAAATGTTTTATCTTTCAAGATACGACAGCTTTTTTCGGAAAGTCACCGTCGGATGATGACAAATCATTTTTTTGCTACTTGAACGTTGTTTTGTATTTTAACGGTAGGCTTAACCTATAAATTAGCGTTATTTGATCTGGCAATGCGATGTATATAAAGCACTTGAAGTTGCAAGGAACCGAAACAAAACAAACAACCTCTGGTTTGGGCTTCAAGCATAGTTGAAAACTTGTATAAAACGGATAAATAAGTCCGTAATAAGTTGGGGGGAGTGGTAAAAAAATACTTTTCATATAAGAATTATGCTGTGTAGAGGCTTCTTATGAACAAAAAAGCTCTTAAATTTTCAAAAATCATGGTTTTTTGGAGAGATTTTACAATTTACGACCCTATTTTAGAGAAATTGATTAATCAACCCAGTGCTCCAAGGCTAATTGTTCGATTGCCTTCGAATTCCGCATACTTAATTAACATAGTCTATATAACAATTACTATAAATTTTATCTATCTCTTCGCAGGGAGAGCCGAGATATTCAACGGTCTTTGTGGCCGAGAGAGTGCGCGAAAGGCGGAGTGCGGTCAGAGAAAAAACACTTTTTTCCCATATCTTCGCCAGTCTAATGAGGAAAAAATTGATTTTTTGTGGGAATATTACCTTTTTGGACTTCCATAAAAGTTGAAATTTAGAAAAAATGTAGTATTTTAAACAAAGATGCTTACATATCAGTCTGTCGGGAAAATAATGAGCTGATCTCAAGTGAAAAGCAATTTCATTTTCTCCGCGACACAATTCATTTTCTCGGCGGCGACCACAATTTTCGCTGCGACAGAGTACTCATTATTTTCCCGACAGACTGATATCCTATCTCTTTCAATATTTGTGGACTTAAAATCGTATCAAAAAATTGTTGCCCTCGACCTCAATTCCTCCGTTCCGCTTTGCATTGTATTCAAATCGAAAAAGTCTTTAATCTGATTCCATTGATAATTCGTTCGCTGAGAGCCCATAAAACGTTTATTCGAATTCAAATCCCCCATCTCTCGCGTTGCACACCTCTCACATTTAACCTTGTTTTTTGCTCAAAATGTGGCTCCATTTCTATCCCCAATTTTGTGTTGCAGCCGGGGATAAACCTGTCTGAATTTTGTTGACAATGTGATTTAAAAAAAAGTAAAAAGTAGTTGTATTGTTTTTATAGGCAATATTTTTTTCGAAACTGAAAAAATGTATTTGTGTTTTGAATATTTTGTTTTTGCGCGTTTCAAAATTTACAAATCAAATATTCATTTTTTCAAGCCTTCATTGTCAATTTGAAAAAAACGGATTACTCTGCAAATCATTTCACAGCTCTTGGTCTCCAAAATCCGCCAAAATGACCCACAAGCCCCGTGCGGAATGGGGCAATCAGTATCAGTTCATCTTGACCTCCATCTCCTACGCCGTTGGCCTCGGAAACATCTGGCGCTTCCCGGCGTTGGTCTATGAGCAAAAAGGAGGTAACAAACAATTCAAGGCTTGAGATTCTTCCATTTTAGGCGCCTTCCTTATCCCATATTTCATTTGCTCGTTCGTGGTGGGCTTCCCAATCTTGTACATGGAGCTGAGTCTGGGGCAGTTCGCGAAAGCCGGCCCAGCCGTTTGTTATGGCCGGATACGACCGATTTTACAGGGTAAAATTGGTTTTCAGCCTAGAATTTCCTTATTTGGTTGAAAACTTGAATTTCTGGCAGTTTTGGAAAATGTAACGTAATGTCAAAAAAAAATATTGATTTATTGATTTTTTTACATTTAGCTAAATTTTTTGTGGTTTTTGATGAGCTTTTTGATTTATCAAAGCGCAAAATAAAATTTCTAGCATTTTTGCTAGTTGTAACGAAATGTCAAAAAATTTATTGATTTTTAGACTTTTGACATTTCGTTAGATTTTTTGCGGTTTTTAGAAAGCTTTTTGATTTATTTTAATAACGCAAAAAATTCAGTTTTCGAGTTTTTTTGCTGGTTGTAACGAAATGTCACAAAAATTATTGATTTTTAAATTTTTGACATTTCGTTCAATTGTTTGAAAAACTTGCAAAAAAATCTTTTGGTGTGATGATAAATGTATCAACATGATTTTTACCACCTTTCAGGTCTTGGGTGGGCAATGGTGATGCTCTCTTTATTGGTTAGTATCTACTACAATATGATTGTTGCCTGGTCCTTAATCTACATTTTTATGGTCGTTACGGGACAGTCGTGGAAGTGGTCAAGCTGCGAAAATGATTTTAATACAATTTGTAAGTCGAAAAACCTCGCTTTGAAAAAATTTAAAAATTAAAATTTTTTAATTTCCGTATTTCAGATTGCTCCTCAGGGCTTGAAGACGCCCGATGCACAAACGAAATGTCCTCAGTTGTTGGACATTCGGTGCAGGCATTCTACTTCAACGGAACTTGTCATTTGAGTTCGGATATTTCGGCGAGACGGGCTCAAGCTGGACTGTTTGCCATGAGAGGAGCAGTTAGTCCCGCTGAGGAATTTTTTGAGTAAGAAAAATGATTTTTTCTTTCAAAAAATCGCCATAAAATTTAAAAATTTTATTAGAAATATCAAATTTCATAAAAAAAACAGGTTAGACTAAAAAAAGTCGAACAAATACGAATTTAAATTCAAAAAATTGTTCAAAAACTTGAATTTTTTGCTGTAATACCATTCAAAATACGGTTCTGATTTGTTTATTCAAATCAAACAAGTCAAAAATGCGTACGCCACTTGAGATTCCAAGGACGTCTCCGATCCAAGTACTAATCAAGCGCACCGCACGTCAATCCAGCGCATTTCCTGAACCGTTTCGAAACTTCGTACCGTTTTCATTGGTTTAAAAGAGAGACGAAATGTCGCGAAATTATCGGCACTTTTTCTCGCCCGAAATAAATAATTGCTTTTTCTCGAAAAGGAAGAAGAAAGATAAGAAAATGCGTTTTATCGGATTTTGAACGAATCACCAAAAAAGGGGCGGGAAATTTTTTCTTCTATTTTGGATTGACGTGCACCGTTGCTTAACTTGCCAGATCGGACGGGATGGCGTGCTTTCAACGGGCTATGGGCGTACACACACCCTTCCCTTTCCACTTTTGATTCCTTTCCCTGCAATTCCATCCAGTCCACGGCAGGGGCTGCTTTTTCGAGATTTTCTTGAAAGTTCCAATCAATAGTGACGTCACTAATAAAGAAAAAATAGAGACCATTTTTTTTGGAGAGACCAAAATTTTGGTGAGACTAGGACCAATGTCAATGTGGTTGATTATCAGTCTGTCGGGAAAATAATGTGGATTCGTCGCGGTTTGGAATCGCCCATTGCTTTGCAATGGCTAAACGGAGCTGGAGATTTGGTGATTGCACCTTTTTCTTAAATTGTGAATATAAAACAGGCTCAAAAATACGCAAAATGGTGATTTTTCGCATTGAAAATCTCGATTTTTTCTTGATTTTTTTAAAAATTTTTTTGGTTAAATGAGATTTTTCATCAAAAAAAATGGTCTTTTTCGCATTTCAGAAATTTTATTTTGGAGCGCAACCCGACTTTGGACGGCTTGGGTGGGCTGAATTGGAAGCTATTGCTCGCGTATTTCATTGCATGGACAATTACCACGTTGTCATTGTCGAAGGGCGTAAAACTGATTGGAAAGTTGGCGTATTTCACCTCCACAGTGCCTTATATTATCATCGTGATCTTGTTTGTTCGGAGTGTGACGTTGGATGGAGCCTACATTGGGATGGATTTTTATTTGTTCAGCCCGGATTTGAGCACTTTGCTGAATTTGAGTGTAAGTTGAAAAAAATAAGAAAAATAGAAAAATTCAAAAATCCTTGGCCAAAGCTTGGCAAATTGTCGATTAGAACTTTTTCAAGACATAGTTCAGATTTTTCGCTCACGGAATTTAGAAAATTTTAAAAATTTTTACGAAAAAAATAAAAAAAAATACTTTTTATTTTCGAAATAAAAATTTTTGCGCTCAGATTTTCTTCCAACTTTGCGTACACATAATGCATAGGCCATATATTAATTCCTGAAAATTTTAGCTCGCCCTTTGCAGTCTCAGCCGAGATATTGAACGCACTTTGCGACCGAGAGAGTACGCGAAACGCTGAGAGCGGTCAGAGAAAAAACAGACTTTTTGGCTGTATCTTTACCAGTTTCGCCCGGAAAAAATTGATTTTTTCTGGAAACATTACTCTCTACAGTAGAAATATGTACGAAACTTTTTATGACAAAATTCGCGAAAAAATGTCGTATTTTTGCCAAACTTTGACCTGAAAATCTTGGTTGTGTTTTGCAAAGCGCGAGCTGAAAATCATGTACATATATGACTTGGAAAAAATTATTCAAAATTTATTTCCGACATTTTTTGCCCGTGCTTTACCGAAATCAACGAAATTTTTTTGTTAAAATTGAAAAAAAAATATTTTTTTTTTTAATTTTGTAAATAAACATTTGGTGCTATTACATCTGAGATGTACAATAATTCTACCAAAAATCAAAATTTTCCCCGTAAAATTCGAAGAGATACCGCCGAAAAACTTTATTTTTTTCTCTTACCACTCTCCTCATTCTTTGTGCTCTCTCACAAAAATTTTCCTAAAACTTTGTAAAACAATACGAAATAGGTTCTAAACAAGCCACAATTCATTCCCATAGAAAATTCCGGAATTTTTCAGACCTGGCGAGCCGCGGCCACACATGTTTCCTACAGTTTATCGGTTGGCTTTGGTGGGATTTTATCGCTTGCCAGTTATAATGTAAAGACCCATAATTGTTATCGAGACGCGTTTTTGGTCACCGTAGCGGACGCTATAATGTCGTTATTTGGTGGAACAGCAGTGTTCAGTGTCCTTGGATTCATGTCCCATCAATTGGATCTGCCGATCTCGGAGGTTGGTCATGAAATAATATCCGATAAAATTATTTATCGAAAAAGCCCTAAAAGTTATTTCTCGGACGACAAAATGAGCTAAAATACGATTTTTATTGTCTAGTAAATTCAAAAAACGAGAGATTTTTCCAAAAAATACAATCAGTCATGACGTCATTTATACAGAAAAATTAGAGATCATGCTTTTGGAGAGACCACACAGAAAAAGCGTAAATTCCCCAGCCAAAAAGGAAAGGGCGGATCAGAGGTAAGCTGGCTCTTTCATTCTATCTTCGGATTAATTTCCCAAGTTAAAGGTTAGCTTGAGATTCCAGCTCCTGAAAAGTGTGGCTGAAAAGAAAATTTTGGAAAGTTTGACTAAAAAGTCGAACAAATATCAATTCAAATGTATTTTAATTCATGATATACCATCTGAAATACTGTTCTGATTTCTTCATTCAAATCAAAAGAGCCAAAAATGCGTACGCCACTTGAGATTCCAAGGACGTCTCCGATCCAAGTACTAATCAAGCGCACCGTTGCTTAACTTGCCAGATCGGACGGGATGGCGTGCTTTCAACGGGCTATGGGCGTACACACTCCCTTCTCTTTCCACCTTTGATTCCATTCCGTGGAAAGAAAAGGGGGCTCAAAAAGGAAAGAAATGCAATTTTTACAGCAAAATGTTTTGATTTTTTCTCGGATTTTTTTTGAAATTTATGAGAAAATATTTGAGAGTCAAATAAGCTCAAATTTTTTTCATTATTTTTTTGAAATTCTTTTAAAAAATTGATGAAATTTATTTTTTAATTCACAGCTCAAGACATTTTTTAAAATACGACAGCTAAAAAAACATTATTTTTTTCAATCAAGACTTTTAAGGTAGTCCAATCCGGAACTGGTCTGGCGTTCGTCGCCTATCCCGAAGCATTGGCTCGAATGCCGTGGAGCGGGCTTTGGTCGTTCTTATTTTTCGTCATGATCTGGATCCTCGGCGTTTCGACGCAGTTCGGCTATGGCGAGGTTTTGGTGACGGCGTTGAGTGATCAGTTCCCATTCGTGGCGCGACACAAGTTCCCCACGGCCATTGTGGGCTGTTTTACGCTGTTCTGTTGTGGCCTTGTTATGTGTACGAGGAGTGGGATTTATTTTTTCAACATTTTCAACGACTACAGCTCATCATTTTCGCTGGAGATTGTGCTATGCCTGGAGGCATTATTATTGTGTCATATTTATGGTAAGCAAAATTTTTGATGTTGATTTTTATATGAAAAAATTTTTGTTTTATCATGGGGAGTTTTTTGGTTTTAAGTCGAAAAATTGAGAAATTTTTGAGAAAAGTATCAAAAAGTATCCATGATCACTTTTGAAGTCATCAAAATGTATCCATCATAACTTTTGAAGCTATTTGACAAAACGAAATTTTAAAGAATCTTGAAATTGAAAAAAAATCAAGAAGTATCCATGATAACTTTTGAGGTCATAAAAAATATCCATGATCACTTTTGAGGTAATTTGACGGAATGTTTTTTAATTCTAGAGATTTTAAAAAAAGTATCAAAAAGTATCCATAATCACTTTTGAATTCATAAAAAGGTATCCATGATCACTTTTTAAGCCAGAAAAAGGTATCCATGAACACTTTTTAAGTCAGAAAAAGGTATCCGTGATCGCTTTTGAAGTAGCTTGCCCAAAAATTTTTTTCAATATTGAAATTTTGAGAAAAGTATCAAAAAGTATCCATGATCACTTTTGTAGTTAGAAAAAGGTATCCATGATCGCTTTTGAAGTAGCTTGCCCAAAAATTTTTTTTCAATATTGAAATTTTGAGAGAAGTATCAAAAAGTATCACTGATCACTTTTGAAGTCATAAAAAAGTATCCATGATCACTTTTGAAGTAAGTCATTTGACAAAAATGTTATTTTTGAGATATAGGCGCAATATTTGTGTCTAAAATACGATTTCCTTTCATCTTTTGTTTGTATAAAAATTGCTTTCAGGATATTCAAATTACAAGCTGGATTTGGAAGAGATGTTTGGAAAAGCAAAAACCAAACTTGGAAAGGTTTTTGGACCTACGGGAATTTGGATCAGCATTGTATGGAAATACTTGGCACCTCTGTTGGCCATAGTAAGTGAAAAATGCAAAAAAAGGTCCAAAAAAATTTCCTCTTTTTCAGGTGATTTTCATCTTCAGTTTGTTGACCCAGATCCAGACCGATCTCACCTACGGGAAAGGAGCCCGTTTATACCGACTGCCGCGCTGGTGCATTGGCTTTGGTTGGTGCATTTCGGTGCTACCGCTGACCTTCCTCCCAATCTTTGCGGTCTACAATTTCTACAAATTCAAGAAGCGCAATTTGCCAATCGCCGAACTGTTCAAAGTCCAGCCCAAATGGCCATCAGCAAATCGCCATAGGGAAGCGGATGGGGTGGAAAGGACTTCGCTGTAATTATTATTGTATTTTAATTTTAAGTTTTATAAATAATTTTGCTATTTTTTGAATTTAACAAAATAAAAAAAAATAAATAATTTTTTTTTTAATTTTTAAATATTTTTTTCCTGCTTTTTCAAGGCTAGGAGAAATAAGATTTCGGCCTGAAAAATTTTTTTAAAAAGAAAAATTGCATGTAAAAAAACAAAAATAAAAAAATGCATTTCTAATATGACTCAAAATTTCCCCAAGACATACATATCAGCCCGCGATTGCCAATTTTGAGTCATTCTCAAATTAGCGAGACATTTTTCCGGGCTTCTGAAAAATAACTTTTCCGCCGTTTTTTTTTATTTAAATTTTGATTAATTTTTAATTAAAGAAATTTGAATATCTATACTCATAATTGTGATGAAAAATATGAGAAGAAACTTTCAACTTTTGCTTTAATATTTTAAAAAATTTTTTTTATCATTTATGCAAATTTTCGAAAATTAAAAAGTTTTCAAAAAATTTGAATGTTAAAATTAAAAAAAAAAACAATTTTGAAGTCTTTATATTGTTGTAGTCAAAATTTACTTTGTCGTTTTTAAAATTTTACTGTTTGAATATTTAATTTTTGTAACTTACATATAAAAATACTAATTAATTTTTTAACTAATAAATTTGAATATTTAAATTATCTAAACATGAAACAATTTGCTCTTGCGATTTTTTTCAATCTTGTATAATTCATGCAAATTTTCAAAAATAAAAGTTTGAATATTCAAATTTTCAAAAATTCTAAATTTTAATGTCTTCCTCTTCTTGTAGTCAAAATTGGCTCTGACATTTTCAAATTCTACTATTTGCATACTTAATTTTGTAATTTGAATATTCAAATTTCCCTCAAATCCAATAAAACTTCCAAACCTGTACCCACTGATCCTAGCCAACAACTACTTTGTATATTAAACCCCGAAATGTTTTATTTACCTTTTCGATTTCCCATTCCCTTTCTGCCGGCGCCGGCGTCTTGATCCACGTTATATAACGTGTAGGTGCAATAAAAAGGGCTCGGGGGCCGGATCGCGGCCGCCCCGAGGGCATCCGTCTCTTCCGCCCGTCCCGACGCCCGGAGGGCGTGCAGAGAAGCAGAGAGTGGGAAGAATATTCTTGGCAAGCCCTGAGGCGTCGGTTTTTTTTCGATTTCACCCCAAAAAGTTTTTGAATTTTGATTTTTATAGCGAAAATTGACACTTTTTGGGAGAATTGCCTGAGGCAATTTTGTGTAAAAATCAAAAATCATGAAAGTTTTTGGATTTGGAAAAGGTTGAAGGGCTTTTTTGAACGGAAAATTCTAGTTTTTTCGGGCTTTTTGATTTTTTTGGCCCTTGTTTTACAAGAAAACGGGTCAATTATAAGGTCTTTAATCTTCTTTAAAGCTTGCACTTCCATCAACATTTTTTGCGATCTACTTTTTTTGAATTTTTGTTTACAATTCGCTCCTGTGTTAATGGTTTTAGTGGCATAAAAAGTTTGAATTTTACTTATTGACAAAAAATTTCGAAAAATAAATTGCCCCAGGCACAATGCGTATAATTTCTTAAAATTCTGTCTGCTTGATCCTTCTAGGCCATAAATCCATAACGGAAGTTTCTGGAGCTGTTTATGAATATCTGGCCGAGTTTTTCAACGATTTTTGTGGACAGCAAAGTCTGAAAAAATATAATTTCAATGTTTTCATTTCAAAAAAGTGATTCTCCGAATTTTCGGCTTCTAAGATCACTGAGATTTTTAAGCAAAAATTTTTAGCAAAAATGCATACACTTTTGTGAATTTTGGCATGAAAAGTTTCATGTCGTTTTCTACCGTGTAATTTTTTCCACACGAAGCTGGAAAAGTTATAGTCAAAATTTTTTTTGCTCTCTGACGCTCTCCGCATTTCGCCTACTAATTTTCAAAGTACTCCAAGTTCGATACTCAGTGTTTGATTGATGCTGGCACAAATTTACCGAGGTTTTTTGGTAGATAGTTTTGTTAAAGTTTCGCACTTTTTTGTAAATTTTTTGATAAAAAGTTTCATGTTTATTTCTACTGTAGAGAGTGATTTTTCCACAAAAAATCAGTTTTTCCGCGCAAAACTGGCAAAGAAATGGCCAAAAACTTTATTGCTCTCTGCCACCAAAGTTTTGGACTTTTTTCTACTGTAGAAGGTGATTTTTCCACAAAAAAATGGCTTTTTTCCGCGCGCAACTCTCAAAGATACGGCCAAAAAGTCTTTTTTTCTCACCGCTCTCCACATTTCGCATACTCTCTCGGCGGCAAAGACCGTTCAATATCTCGGCTCTCTCTGCAAAGCGCGAGCTAAAACTTTCAGGAATTGATATATGGCCCAAACCAAATGTATGTGCAAAGTTTAAAGAAAATGTGTGCGACGCACAATGAGCACTTCCCCTCTAAACCGCATTGAAATTTCGCCCCTTCAACCCGTTTAAATTAGTGCCAGCGGGCTCGTAAAGCATCTCACGCGCATTTTATTACTTTGTAAATTGAACGGGTTAAATTTGCCATAGTATTTACTAGTTAACTTCAATTTTTTTGTTTTTTATTTAAAAAAATTATTGTTTTTCCAAAATATTTCAATTTTCCGGCGTCTGGCCACTTGTTTTTCGCTCTCATTCAATTTTCCGGTCAATTTTTTGCGCAATCAATATAAATTGACATATTTTATGGGCCATTTCAGAGAAATGAAGGCTGCTGGACGGTTAGGAGAGAGTTTGCCGAAAAATGCGAAAGCAGCGATGAGAATGTCGTATTTTACCTTGTTGAAATTATTGAAAAATTAATGCTTTAGCTTTTTTCTTCCGAATAAGAAATTCGATTTTTGATGCGGCATAGCGCTCATTATTATCATTATTATATCAGATAGCAAAACAAGGCTCCAAAAGACAAAACGGCACTGTGCAAATGGCGTTTTTGGTTCATAACGCACTCAAAGCATTTTCTTCGCAATTTCCGCTGTAGCGTCCGAAAATTGCACTATGAAAATTTTTAGGACTTTTTGCCCCGAGTACTAGTCCATTTCGTGTTTATTGAGCGTTCTATTAGGTGGATTCATAATTATCCGGCGCTTTTATTGGCGCGTTCTTTGTTAGTTAAAATTCGCGTTTTGTTATCTTTTTTTTATAAAAATAATCTTCTCTATATAGCTAATAAAATCCGTGTCGAAAACCGTACTCACATTTGCCATATTATGCTCTACCACTTTGAGAAAAGTTGGCAGTCAGCACAGTCATTTCGCGATCTCAACGAACTTTTCGGCGAAGGAAAAAAAATCGCCAGGTGTTTCGCCCAAAGGAATACCAAAAGACGTCCACTGTAAGAAGGCTATATAGTGTGTGTGGTGGGACAGAAGGACGGAATCATCCACAGGGAAATCGTGTCTTTTTTTGGTGCTTTGCCGAAAAGTTTGTTGAGATCGCGAAATGACTGTGCTGACTGTCAACTTTTCTCGAAGTGGTAGATCATAATACGGCAAATATGAGTACGGTTTTCGACACGGATTTTATTAACTATATAGAGAAGATTATTTTTATAAAAAAAAGATAACAAAACGCGAATTTTAACTAACAAAAAACGCGCCAATAAAACCGCCGGATAATTATGAATCCACCTAATAAATGAGTGTGCGTCCGCTCCCGAGGCCTAAAACGAACGAGATGATTCATATTTGCCCGCTACAAGATACAAAATATATACCTTGTTTATAGTCGTATTTTAGGATACTTTTCATTCCTTAAACCGGGATGGCCACAGCGTTGGCCACCCTCCCAAACGGGGTACCGCCGCAGAATGGGGTAGACCCGCCCAAAGATGTGATTCCGTTAAAGATTTATACGGCTTCCATTACTGCTAATCCCGAGGTAATCCTTTTTTCTTGAAATTTTACATATTTTAATTTGATGTCAACCCTCGTATTTTACAATAATTTTCTTTCAGATTCGAAAAAATATGCAAAAATCGATGATGATTTTGGAAGGGATGGGCGTACCCTACAGAGCAATTGACGTGACGATCCCGGGAAACGAAGCAGAGCGCGATTTTATGCGAGAAAAGGCGACCAAGCCCGGGATGAATGGCCCTCCAATGCCGCCGCAGTTCTTCTTCAACGAAGAGTACCTGGGGGTACGTTGAAAAGGAGTTTATTTTTTATCCTGTTATCAGTCTGCCGGACAAATAATGAGCACAATTTTCGCTTTGGTGACTGTGTGGCTGAAGTGAAAAGCAATTTGATTTTGCTGCGACACGATTTATTTTCTCGGCGGCGATCACAATTTTTGATGCAACAGTGCTCATTATTTTCCCGACAGGTTATTTACGTAATAGTATTTTTTCCAACGTCCGGATTTGTTGAATATATTTGCATTTTATTCTTCAGAATTACGATGACTTTGAGTTCTCCGTGGAATGCAATGTTATGGAAGAATGGCTTCGATTAATTCCTCCGGCGGTAAGTTATAAAAGTGTTACAAATTTCGCTAACAAAATTAATTGGGGGTATTTTACAACTTCTGAATTTTTATTTTCCCAACAAGTTCGTTCGCAAAATCGCTGGATTAATTTTTGGCACTTGCACTGTGCAGAAGTCGGGGTGCGGGCGGCGCCCGAAAAAAGCCTATTACACGGTGCAATGTGAAATTTTATCTTCGCACAGTGCATGTCGCGAAAGCCACTCTGGCGACTTTACGAACGGACTAATCGAGAGTCAAATAAAACACAGAAAATTCAAAAATCTCATTGATACTTTTTCACACATTTTATCGACATCCTTTTATTATCTCATCTTTCAATTAGCTAAAAGAAAAATTATATATTTTTCCCAAAAAGTGCGGTACATGTCGCGAAAATTACAATAGCGAAAGGACTAGTATGATAACAAACCTTTATTGAGCATGCTTTTTTAATTAATTCTTTGTTTTTTCAGCCTCCAAAAGTCGAAAAACCCCCAGCTCCTCCAGATGAAGAAGAAGATGTAAGTTGAAAAAAATCGTTTTTTTAATTGATCCTTAACGTTTAGGAAGATGAAGACTATGAAGATGAAGACTACGAAGACGAAGATTGGGAATATGAGGATGAAGATGAAGAAGAAGAGGAGGAGGATGAAGAAGACGAGGTCGAAGAGCCTGAAGTAAAACCAAAGAAAGCAAAATTGGATGATAAAGACGTGAAGAAAACTGCAGATAAAACGAAAGCAAGTGCCGATAAAGATAAGAAGACTTCTGAGAAAGCCAAAAGCAGTAGCGATAAGACTAAATCAGCTGCAGATAAGACTAAAACCAGTGCTGATAAAGCAAAATCATCATCGACAGACAAGGCAAAGACGAGCTCCGACAAAGAGAAGACAAAATCGTCAGCGGACAAAGTCAAGACGACAACGGATAAAGAAAAGAAACCGTCCAGTAGCGACAAGACGAAGGAGTCAGGCGATAAGAAGGCGAGTTCCAGCGACAAAACAAAATCATCGACCGATAAGGCCAAGGCAAGTGCAGATAAAGAAAAGACAAAGTCGTCTGCTGATAAAACAAAGCCTACTGACAAAACCAAGACGTCTTCTTCGACAGAGAAGAAGTCCAGCTCAGCGACGGATAAAAAACCATCTGCAAGCGCCGATAAAACCAAGACTTCCAGCTCAACCGAGAAAAAGACTTCTAGTACAGACAAGACGAAGACTTCAGCTGAAAAGAAACCATCTTCAAGCACGGATAAAACGAAGACATCGAGTTCAGCAGAGAAGAAGAGCAGTTCGAGCACGGACAAGACCAAAACGAGCTCATCGACGGAGAAGAAACCCTCAAGTACAGCTGAGAAAAAGAGTAGTTCTAGCGGTAAGTAATGATTTTAAAACTTTCTTGTCTGCTCTGCGTCACGTTATAAAGTCAAAAACATATGGATCAAATAACCAATAAGAGAATTACTCTCAAGTGCGACGCTTAGATTTTGATGAAACTTGGCACAAACTTAGATTTAACATTTTCGAAGACATATGAGAGTCTCCTGGCTCGCGCCTTGCACAAACGACCGAGATTTTTAAAAGAGAGTTTTTTACAAATCGAAGGATGGCCCGGACATTTCGAAAAAACGACCGACCCAGAATCTTTTGATATTTTGCATAGTTGTTGTACCATGATAGCTAAACGTCAGCACGAATTTTTAGTTTCGGAAATTACCGTATACGGGGGTTACGGTAGGTACAATTTTTAGAAAGATTGGGTTCGTATGTAAAAACCTTAAGGAGGAAAGGCACAAAACCTCGCCGTTTTACGTTTTTGACCATGGGGAACATTTTCATAATTGACAACTTTGCCGTAGGATGTTGCCTTCGACTACTTTGAAAAATACCAAGGTACCATATTGAATGTAACTTTTTTGCAGAGAACTTGTCTCAACTTTTGAAACCTCTCAAAAATACGTTGACATGTATGGAACAATATATCAAAAATTTAGAAAAATAAAAGGGGGGGTTTTGGAGTTACGGTACTTTGAATGTTGCCGGTACGGTATATCAAAAAATTATTTTTTTTAAATCGGTGTAAAAGACCCGCAAAAATTGCCAAAAGACGTTTTCGACCATGGCGAACATTTTTGTAATTGACACTTTTTTTGTAGGATGTAGTCTTCGCCTACTTCGAAAATGACCCAGATACCATGTGTAATGTAACTTTTCGGCATTCTACTTGTCTCAACTTTTGAAACCTCTCAAAAATACGTTGACACGTATGGAACAACATATCAAAAATTTAGAAAAATAAAAGGGGGGGTTTTGGAGTTACGGTACTTTGAATGTTGCCGGTACGGTATATCAAAAAATCATTTTTTTCGAAATGGGTGTAGAAGACCCGCAAACATTGCTAAAATACGTTTTCGACCATGGCGAACATTTTTGTAATTGACAGTTTTGTTCTAGGATGCAGCCTTCGACCGGTTTGAGAAATGTCAAGATACCATGTTCAATATAACTTTCCGGCATTCAACTTGTCTCAACTTTTGAAACCTTTCAAAAACACCTTGACATATGTGTAACAACATATCAAAAATTTAGGAAAATAAAAGGGGGGGGTTTTGGAGTTATAGCACTTTGAATGTTGGACATACAGTACACCTCGATTTATTCTCGGCTTAACTTTACGTAGATTATTTTAAAAACAAAATGTAATGTTTTATCTATGTTGTACGACCCTCACAAACTATTTTCACAAAAAAAATCAAAAAAACTAGACCTAAGCATACTGTAACATATCGTGCGCAGATGACTGGTTACTGTAACAGCAAGATCAGAGATTTCTTAATTTTTTTGTAACAATTGACACGGTTTAGAGACGTGTGTGCCATACGACGGTGGAATCTATCAATATCGGATGTCAGCATCACAGAAAAAGTTTGGTGTACTGTATTTCCAACATTCAAAGTGCTATAACTCCAAAACCCCCCCTTTTATTTTCCTAAATTTTTGATATGTTGTTACACATATGTCAAGGTGTTTTTGAAAGGTTTCAAAAGTTGAGACAAGTTGAATGCCGGAAAGTTATATTGAACATGGTATCTTGACATTTCTCAAACCGGTCGAAGGCTGCATCCTAGAACAAAACTGTCAATTACAAAAATGTTCCCCATGGTTGGAAACGTATATTGGCAATGTTTGTGGGTCTTCTACACCCATTTCGAAAAAAATGATTTTTTGATATACCGTACCGGCAACATTCAAAGTACCGTAACTCCAAAACCCCCCCTTTTATTTTTCTAAATTTTTGATATGTTGTTCCATACGTGTCAACGTATTTTTGAGAGGTTTCAAAAGTTGAGACAAGTAGAATGCCGAAAAGTTACATTACACATGGTATCTGGGTCATTTTCGAAGTAGGCGAAGACTACATCCTACAAAAAAAGTGTCAATTACAAAAATGTTCGCCATGGTCGAAAACGTCTTTTGGCAATTTTTGCGGGTCTTCTACACCGATTTAAAAAAAAAAAATAATTTTTTGATATACCGTACCGGCAACATTCAAAGTACCGTAACTCCAAAACCCCCCCTTTTATTTTTCTAAATTTTTGATATGTTGTTCCATACATGTCAACGTATTTTTGAGAGGTTTCAAAAGTTGAGACAAGTTCTCTGCAAAAAAGTTACATTCAATATGGTACCTTGGTATTTTTCAAAGTAGTCGAAGGCAACATCCTACGGCAAAGTTGTCAATTATGAAAATGTTCCCCATGGTCAAAAACGTAAAACGGCGAGGCTTTGTGCCTTTACTCCTTAAGGTTTTCACATACGAACCCAATCTTTCTAAAAATTGTACCTACCGTAACCCCCGTATACGGTAATTTCCGAAACTAAAAATTCGTTCTGACGTTCAGCTATCATAGCACATCAACTATGCAAAATATCAAAAGATTCTGAGTCGGTCGTTTTTTCGAAATGTCCGGCCCTTGTTATGAGAAGCTTCAATCTGTAAAAAACTCTCTTTTAAACTGGAATTTGGCAAAAATGTGTTTTTTGGCGAATTTTGGCGTAAAGGTGTCATGCCTATTTCTACCGTAAAGTGTAATATTTCCACAAAAATTTTTTTTTTCGCTCAGAACTGGCATAGATATTGCTAAGTGTTTCCTCTCCGACTGCACTTCGCGTTTTACGTACTCTCTCTGCCGCGAAGATCGTAAAAACCCTGTAAAAACTATTACTCCATACTTACTTACATCTTCTTTTTCAGCAGAGAAAAAACCATCCAGCACTGCCGAAAAGAAACCTTCTTCAACAGAGAAGAAGGCCACGACGGAAAAGAAGAAAACCGATGCTGATAAAACAAAAACCGCTGAAAAGAAGGCCGATGATAAAAAGGTTGAAGAGAAGAAGGTAAAAACTCCGGAAGAAAAGAAGAAAGCCGAAGAGGCCAAGAAAAAGAAGGAAGAAGAGAAGAAAAAGGCCGAGGAGAAGAAAAAGAAAGAAGAAGAGGCTAAAACGAAGAAAGAAGAAGAGGAGAAAAAGAAGAAAGAAGAGGAGGAAAAGAAGAGGAAAGAGGAAGAAGAGAAGAAAAAGAAAGAACAAGCCAAGAAGGATGAAGAGGTCGATGATGAAGAAGAATATGAAGATGAAGAGTGGGAGGATGAAGATGAAGACGACGAAGTGGCTGCTGCAATGAGGGCTATTGCTGAGAAACGAGCAAAAGAGAAGGAGCGGATGAATGCGTTGTTGGGGCTGGGTCCAAGTTTAACGGCGAAGAAAACAGAAGATGACAAGAAGAAGAAAGAGGAGGAAGAAAAGAAGGCGAAAGAAGCAGAAGATAAAAAGAAGAAGGATGCTGAAGCCAAGAAAAAGAAGGAAGAAGAAGATAAGAAGAAGAAAAAGGAGGAAGAAGACAAAAAGAAAAAAGATGAGGAAGCCAAGAAGAAAAAGGAGGAGGAAGACAAAAAGAAGAAAGAAGCCGAGGCTAAAAAGAAAAGGGAAGAAGAAGAGGCTAAGAAAAAGAAGGATGAGGAAGCCAAAAAGAAAAAAGAAGAGGAGGCAAAGAAAGCAAAGGAGGCAGAGGCTAAAAAGAAGAAGGAAGAAGAAGCCAAGAAAAAGAAGGAAGAAGAAGAAGCCAAGAAAAAGAAAGAAGCTGAAGCGAAGAAGAAGGAAGAAGAGAAGAAGAAAGAAGAAGCCAAAAAAGACGAAGAAGTTGACGATGAAGAGGAATACGAAGATGAAGAATGGGAAGATGAGGACGAAGATGATGAAGTAGCCGCCGCAATGCGAGCTATTGCCGAAAAACGGGCAAAGGAACAGGAGCGAATGAATGCGTTATTAGGAATCGGAGTTAAGAAGGACGATAAGAAAAAGGAGGAAGAGGAGGCAAAGAAGAAGAAAGAAGCTGAAGAAAAGAAGAAGAAAGAGGAAGAGGCTAAGAAGAAGAAAGAAGCAGAGGAGAAAAAGAAGAAGGAGGAAGAAGAAGCTAAGAAAAGGAAAGAAAAAGAAGCCAAGAAAAAGAAAGAAGAAGAAGCCAAGAAAAAGAAGGAAGAGGAAGAAAAGAAGAAAACAGAAGAAGCCAAGAAGAAAACGGAGTCATCAAAGGATAAATTGTCAACCATAACAACTAAGGCAAGATCGCGATCAACAAGTAAAGTCAGGTCGAAAGAAGGCGAAAAGACCGACAAAGCGGAGGTCAAGACAACCTCAAAACTTTCACCATCAACGGCGGAAAAGTCCCGAGAACGATCGGTGTCAAAGACGAGAGACAGTGCAACGAAACCTGATGACAAAGAGAAGAAGACTTCAACGACAGAGAAAAAAGTTAGCTCCAGTAAGACCTCCTCAGCAGAAAAGAAACCTAGTTCGACAAGTTCGGCGGAGAAGAAGGCATCAAGTAGTACGGAGAAGAAGCCATCAAGTGCTACAAAAACAAGTGCTAGCGCGGAGAAACCGCCGAGTTCAACAGAAAAGAAAGCTAGTTCCACTACAGCCGACAAGAAGCCTAGTTCTTCAAGTACAGCGGAGAAGAAGCCGTCAAGTAGCAGCAAAACGGGTAGTAGCACTGAGAAAAAGTCTTCCTCATTGACAGAGAAGAAAGTTTCTTCAACGTCAGGGAAAACACCGTTGACTGAAAAGAAGCCTTCAAGCAGTAGTAAGGAGAAGACGTCTAGTACCGCGACATCCAGCGAAAAGAAGGCAACGTCAAGCAGCTCCAAAGAAAAAGCAGCTTCAGCGAGCGTCAGTAAAGAGAAAAGTCCCGCGGTAGTTAAAGAAAAAACAAGTACTACTAAAGAGAAGACCAGCAGCTCGACAGAGAAGAAGGTAGCTAGCAGCAAGGATAAGGCGGCTTCTTCCACTGAAAAGAAAGCTGAAACCAAAGATAAGAGCGATGAAAAGAAGCCCTCAACAAAAGAAAAGACCGCTGAGAAGAAAGCTGAAGCATCGTCGACGGAAAAGAAGAGCTCATCGACGAAAATATCGCCGGATGAACCGAAGAAACGGTCCGCCAGCAAAACTAGAGATAAGTCTGCGACCCGGAAGGTGGTGAAGAAGGAAGACAAGACAGAGGAGAAGACGGAGGAAAAGAAAAAAGATACTGATGACAAGAAGAAGAAAGATGATGACGATAAGAAGAAGAGAGAAAAGGAAGAGGAAGCTAAGAAAAAGAAGGAGGAAGAAGCCAAGAAAAAGAAGGAAGAAGAGGCCAAGAAAAAGAAAGAAGAAGAGGCTAAAAAGAAGAAGGAAGAAGAAGCGAAGAAAAAGAAGGAAGAAGAAGCTAAGAAGAAGAAGGAAGAGGAAGCCAAGAAAAAGAAGGAAGAAGAAGAAAAGAAGAAAAAAGAGGAAGAAGCCAAGAAAAAGAAAGAAGAAGAAGCCAAAAAAGACGAAGAGCTAGACGATGAAGAGGAATACGAGGATGAAGAATGGGAAGATGAGGACGAAGACGACGAAGTTGCCGCAGCAATGCGAGCAATTGCTGAGAAACGAGCTAAAGAGCGGGAAGCCATGGCCAAGCTCCTGGAACGGAGGTTTTAGAAAGCACATTGCTGAACTGCATGGTTTTACATAGTTTATTAGCCTATATCAATTTTAGAGCGGTTTAGGTTGTAATCAGTAGAAGGAAAATGTTTTGTCGGACTAGCTCGCTGTTCTTTTGTATATTGATCTTATTCTAGTCAAAGTTTTTGTAATTCTGTAGTTTTTCAAACAAAAAATCAAAAAATAATATCTCCAAACGGGTTGGTATGATACGATAGTTGTATAATAATGCTTTTTCTCTTGTTCACTTTTCCTTTTTTTGTCATCATTTTGGTTGTATTTACAATTTTTTCCCACTGCCATATTTGTTGTAAACTCAATAAATGTTATACATATGAGATTCGAGTGTTTTGATTTTGGCTATGGAGTAAGTCATGTGTTAGTCATGATTTCAAAAATAATCCACTTGAGTGCGCTTCCTCGAAATTCTTCGCACTCCAAGAGCCACCTTGATTGTTTGCGTTTTGCTTCAAGCACTTTTCTTGGCCAATTTCGTGAACTGAATCAACAATAAGTTTACACGTTTCGGAAGCTTAAACGTATCTTGACGGGGTTTGTATATAGCATTGTTTTTAACTGGATATTTGTACTGCTAGTCCATTCGGAAAGCCGCTGAAGGAATTTCTGCAATCTGTGCGAAACCTAAAGTTTACTTTTAACTGTGCAATTTTCAGTTTTTCGCACTGCGCAATAGGCTTTTTTTGGGATGTAGCTCGCACTCCGACTTTTCTTGCATAGTGCAAGTCACAGAAATCACTCCAGCGACTTCATAAAATAACACTCATTATATGGTAGCTCTATTTTTGAAGATGGAATAACTCGCTCGTGGAGGTGGAATTCGACGGAAAGAAATCAAAAGTGGAAAGGAAAAGGAGTGTGTACGCCCATAGCCCGTTGAAAGCACGCCATCCCGTCCGATCTGGCAAGTTAAGCAACGGTGCGCTTGATTAGTACTTGGATCGGAGACGTCCTTGGAATCTCAAGTGGCGTACGCATTTTTGACTTTTTTGATTTAAATAAAGAAATCAGAACCGTATTTTAGATGGTATATCATGAATTAAAATACATTTGAATCGATATTTGTTCGACTTTTTAGTCAAACTTTCCAAAATTTTCTTGTTCAGCCACACTTTTCAGGAGCTGGAATCTCAAGCTAACCTTTAACTTGGGAAATTAATCCGAAGATAGACTGAAAGAGCCAGCTTACCTCTGATCCACCCTTTCCTTTTTGGCTGGGGAATTTACGCTAATTCTGTGTGGTCTCTCCAAAAAACATTCTCTTCAATTTTTCTGTTTTAGTGACGTCATAATTGACTGAAATTTTTTATGAACTCTCAAAAAAGTGGCCCCGGGCGTGGACTGGCTGGTCTGGAACTTGTCTCATTTTCATACTATACTATTATATACGTAATAATCCAGAGTGAAAAGCTCTACATAAATTCCAAAGTGAATTTTCTCAAGTGTCCGCCTACTCCGAAAAAAAGATAAAAATTTGTTCGCGCATTTCGAGAAAAAAGCGCGGCCCGGCTTTATTTTCCTCGAGTTCGCTCTCGCTGATCTTGACCTTTACTGATCCTCTTCCAGCTCTTTCCCCCGTGATCCATTTCAACCCTTCTTTCTTCCGCACGTTCCAATGCTCAAAAATTAGAGTTTTTGTGGGGGTTTTGGGAGCGGAATCTCAAATTCATTGGAAGGTTGATCCGAGCGTTGCGCAAGTCCGATTTTTGAGATTTTCTTGAGCCGAGCCCGGAGTTATGTTATATAAGATGGGATTTTAGAAAGTAAAGGCGATGATATCGGTCTGTCGGGAAAATAATGAGCATTCTGTGGCATCGAAAATCACATTGCCGGTGAGAAAATGAATTGTGTCGCGGGAAAACCAAATTGCTTTTCACTTCAGCGACGGGATTGGCGAGCGGCAGAGTGCTCATTATTTTCCCGACAGACTGATAAAGGTTATATGTGTAATATGAGATTTTTGAGATTTCGTAGATGCACAAGCAGGTTATGCCCAATATTTCTAAATGCTTTGGGCTTTGATTTTTACGAAATTTGGCGCAAACTGACAAGGGAAGTCTCCCCAAATGCGACGCTCAGATTTTCTTTAAATTTTGCTCACACGTCGGTCATGAACCAAGTATCCATTTCTGAAAGCTTTAGCTCGCGCTTTGCAAGAACCACCGAGATATTGAACGATCTTTAACGCGGAGAACGGTCAGAGAGAAAAAACCCTTTTTGATGATAACTTTGCTAGTTTCGTGCGGAAAAAAATGATTTTTTGCAGAAGCATTACCCTATATGGTAGAAACAGAAATGAAGCTTTTCGTGCCGAAATTCGGCAAAAAGTGTCAAATTTTCGCCAAATTTCAATCTAAAAATCTCGGTTGTTTCTGCAAAGTGCGAGCTAGGATTCTCGCATATAATTTAGAAGAAATTATTCTAAATTTGTGCCAAGTTTCATCAAAATCTGAGGTCGCACTTAGAGTGCTTCCCCTGTGAGACTATATTTTTGGCCTGTATTGTTGAATTTTTCATAATTTCAGCCGGCCCCAGACTAGCACAAAATGCCACAACCCTACAAGTCGGTGCCCATCACAATACACCAAAGCGCGACCCCGAGCATGATTGTGAACGCCAAGAAATTGTTGAGCGATCAGCCGCAACTCATCGACTGTCCCAGATGCAAGGTAAGAGTTTCGGGTTTTTAAAATCCCACGTAAAGTAATAGAAATAATAAGGTTGATCACGTCCGAAGATATTTATTTTATCTTTTTATATTTTTATATTATATTTTATCACCTTTTTTGAGGCATATTATTTGTACTACTGCAATAATATCCAGATAAAACTAAAAAAAATCTTTTTTCTAGCATGTTGTTGTCTTTTCTTTGCTAGATAGCAAAGGTTAGGAACAAGTAAAGTTAGAAAAAATGGTCGTATTGTAAGTTACAGTGGGGGACCTGATCCAGTGGCAAAAAACGTTCCATTTTTGCAAGTATCAAGAATGTGGCAAAATGCTTCCCTCTCCAAGTGAAAAAACTTCGTTTTGAAGGCCCTTTCCGTCACAAAAAGAGCGGGCGCGCATTTGAAATCGGTGATCTTTCTCTTCGAGAGGGAAGCATTTTGCCACATTTTTGATACTTCCCGGATGCAAAATGGTGCATTTTTTTGCCACTGGATCAGGTCCCCTATAAAAGCATTTTTTTAAACACGACAGTTCAGGTTTTAGTGTGATTAAAACTATAAAAAAATAAATAAAAAAAAAATAAAAAAAAAATAAAAAAATATCTACTTTTCGTTCAGAATCACGGAGACACCGTTTTGGTCTACAAGAATGGACTTTGCACTTGGCTCACTTTTATTGGAATTCTATTGGCTTCCGTCTTGGTCATCCCTCTCTTCTTCTTATGGGTTCCATTTGTCATCGACGCCTTCAGGGATGTGGAGCAGTAAGTGAATTAGAGGGTCTCTTCGTAACTTCTGGACTGTTATCAGTCTGTCGGGAAAATAATCAGCACAATAGCGCTGCGCCGATCGCGTCGCTGAAGTGAGAAGCGTTTTCGTTTTGCCGAGATACAATCCATTTTCTCGGCGGCAATTGCGATATGCGAGAGAGTGCTCATTAATTTCCCGACAGACTGATACTTGCACTTTTAACCAGAGATTGCCACGGCCAAATTTGCGGCACCGGTTCTTCGCTCCCAGAGCCGGAGCCGAGGCCAAATTTGCGCCTCAGGCTCGTTTTTTGACTGTGTATGTAAATGTGCGCTATTGAGCTTTTGTGGCTTTATTAGAAAACATGAAACGATCTTGAAAATAATCAAAAACATTACGAAAAATTACACGAACTGAACACCTCCTTTCCAGTATTTTTCAAGTGATTGGTTGAACAGGGTCACGAAATTTTTACTTTTTTTGAACGCTGAGAAGCCTGGCTCCGACTTTGGGCTCGGGAGCCGGAGCCAAGAGCCGTCACACGTCAAGATTTTGCGCTCAAAGGGTTATCTGTCAACACGAAAGTTGGCATTCTGTTTCCGCTTATGGAAGTGTCCAAAAAATCCGTCTCAATGACGGTTTTTTTGGACGAGGTCAGAGGAAAGGCGAAATATTGCGCAAAATGAAGAGATTTTCTATCTCGAAACTGGCTCATTTGATTTTTTCGTTTTAGGCTCAAAAAATCCGCCTTGTTCCAGACTATGTTTCCACGCAACTTCAAATAGGGGCGAGGGAAAATCTTAGAGAAATCCTCGAAATCGCAGCATTTTTTAGGCGTTGTTAGTTTAGGCTTCACACAGATAGAAGACGACCGATTGTTTATATGAAATATATATGTTCAGGTTAAGAAGGAGCCCAGCTTCAAATTTATGTATGCAATAACCCCATTCTACCCCATCTTCATCGTGTAGTCAGGTTATCTTTGGAGCAAAAAATTATTCTTTCGCCGAAACAGAATGCCAAGAATTTTTCATTGCTTGAGCGCTTTCGTTTTATTTTTTCTTGACGTGCGTCATCTCTGCTATTTCGAATTTTTCAGCAATTCATTTCCCCCTTTCCACTGATGTTTTACATTTTCAGTCACTGTTCCAACTGCAACGCTTGGGTGGGAACATATCGACGAATTGGCCGCAGCACGTGATCGACGTGATCAGTAGCTCCTCACTTATTTTCTCGACTCTCTATTGAGAATGACTTATTGTAATTTTTCGCAATTTCACTTTTCTTTATTACATGTCTTTGGGTCTCATTCCGAAATTCCGAAATAAAAGATAAAAAGAGATCGTTGGGTGCGCATTCGTATACATTTTACAAAATTTTCTTTCATCTGAATGAAGTGCTTTTCGCTGATTTTATTAGCATTTTCATAAAGTGCATGGACATTTGTCGCACTCCGAACCGTGCACAAAACCCTTCTTATTATTTTCCCGACAGCCTGATATCTTCTCTAGTGCAATATCAGTTGAGGTAAGTCCAGATAAGAAAAGTTTCACACAAAAATAATCTGTCGGGAAAATAATGACCACATTCTCGCTACAGTAAAAATAAGTAAGATTCTTTTTCATGCCAAGGTTCGCAAAAAAAGTTGACATTTTCCCTGAAATTTCGCTCTAAAATTCTAACGATAAGTCGTTTCTGCAAAGCCCGGGCTAGGAGTCACGTATATCTCTTAGAAAATTTTATTCTAAATTTGTGCCAAGTTTCGTCAAAATCCGTACGTCGAACTTTATGCACAAAAAACTTTGGTCTGTCGGGAAAATAATGACCACTTCTCGCTGCGCTGATCGTGTCGCAGACGTGAAAAAATAGATTTTGTCGTGACACAATTCATTTTATCAGCGGCGATGCGATTTTCGATGCGACCGAGTGCTCATTATTTTCCCGCCAGACTAATAATCAAGAGAGAAATATCTTGTCAGACTTTTAGTATTTTCATAAAGTGCATGGACATTTTTTTGCTTTCGCACAGTGCATTTTCAACCTTTTCTTATGATCATTATTTTCCCGACAGACTGATAGTATTATATTTTACAATTTTTTTACATCTGAAAAAAAAATTTTTTCTGTTTCCATGCCGCGAAATTCGAGTCCAATCCATTTATGGCCCGGAACTTTTTCCCCGTCTCAAATTTTACCGCTGATTGCGCAAACATTTTCTCTTTTTTGATCTGCCAAAACGGTTGCGCAACAAAACGCTTTCTGAATCTGACACTGTGGGGGCAATTAACGCGTTATACGGCCCGCCGCTTTATCCCGAAAATTTCGAGGGCGGCGAGTTGGCAAAGGACGGGCCGGGAGATCAGCCAAGGTAAACCGTTTAATGGAGGCTCATCGCCAGCAAAGCGGATAACGGGAATTGAGATTTAATCGGGAAATTGGCAAAATAAATAAAGAATTGGCGAGTGCAGAGGCCTGGGGATACTGTAATTTTTCAAAGATTTTTCGAACAAATATTATTTCAAATGTTCATGATATACCATCTAAAATACGGTTCTGATTTCTCTATTCAAATCAAAAAAGTCAAAAACGCGTACGCCACTTGAGATTCCAAGGACGTCTCCGATCCAAGTACTAATCAAGCGCACCGTTGCTTAACTTGCCAGATCGGACGGGATGGCGTGCTTTCAACGGGCTATGGGCGTACACGCTCCTTTCCCTTTCCACTTTTGATTCCTTTCCCTGCAATTCCACCCAGTCCACGGTCGGGGCTACTTTTTCGAGATTTTCTTGAAAATTTCTCAACCCTCGTGTTCGGCCCGCGGAACTTGATAAGATCAGCGAGTATAAGGTTTTACGACAGGAATATTTGGGAGCTGCTTGTAAACATTATTTACTTCTCCTTTAGATGGTCAAATAGTTCTAACAAGTTTTTTCATTAAGGACAAGCAGAATAATATACAAACCATTTAGATGTTATTTTCAAAAATCGAAAAATGTTCGCAAAAAGTTTAAAAAACCCAAGAACCCCGGACCAATCAACATCAGCACCCATGACCCTCGCCGCACCGTAGTAATTAGCCCCCTCGTTACAATAACATCTATTGTCTCATGAGGAGATTAGCTCGTAAACCCGTCAATTATGACAGCTCGGACATGCTTAAACTCTGTCCCAAAGTTTGCGCAAGTTTTGCATAATTTTTTGCGCAAATGAACAGGTGTCAAAAAGTCGTTGGAGAACTTTTGGAGCAGGCGCTTTCGCCGCTTACAGCGATCAGCTGGGAAGTTTTTTTGGGAGTTCGCACAGCGATTGTGCAACGGATGGAGTTGGGAACGGCCACCTGCGGAGATGCTGGCGGAACTGAAGCCACAGTAGAAAGAAGTCCGTCCAAGAGCTTTGAAGGGAAGTATCCAAGTGCGACACTCAAATTTTGAGAGAAAAAACGACAGATTTTAACAATTTTTCATTATAAAAACCACAAAATTTTTGCAAAACGCAAGCTAAAGATCTCAAATGCCTCTTACAGGTCGGCTGCGCCAGCAAAACGCCGGCTAAGGTTCTCAGAAACTGATGTGGACCACGTACAACGTGTATGCAAAGTTTAAGGAAAACAAGAACATCTGTAGGTACTTCCCTTATCAGTAAAACGAAAAATTACCGTGAAACGGCGGTTTTTCGATCGTCTCCCTCTTCTTCAAGGTCATCTTCCATTTTTACGTATTATCTTTCGAATGGAAAGGGAAGAGGGTGTGTACGCCCATAGCCCGTTGAAAGCACGCCATCCCGTCCGATCTGGCAAGTTAAGCAACGGTGCGCTTGATTAGTACTTGGATCGGAGACGTCCTTGGAATCTCAAGTGGCGTACGCATTTTTGACTTTTTTGGTTTGATTAGACAATTCAGAATCGTATTGTAGCTGAATTTTTAATAACAAAATGACTCGAAAACAAGGTTTTTGATAAATTTTTGACACAAGAATTTCTCTTTTTTTGTAATTTTTTTATAGTGTGAACCGTTACAATCTTGTATTTTACAACTCCTTTTCTGGCAAAAAATTATTGCACTTTCCTTTCGAAGAAGTTTTCCACAAAAGAACTATATATTTGTGCCAAGTTAGATTGAAATCTGAGCGTCGCACTTGGAGTACTCCCCCTGCAAAGCACATTTGGGATTCTTGCATTTTTCCAAAAGTCATGGTGATTTTTACTTTGAAATTTTGTCAAAATCTTCTTTTTTTTAAAATACGTATTTTACAATATTGACTTCTCTGTCTCACCCTTTATTAGCCCCCCCAAATTCCAAGGTCAACATGTCCTCTCAATAAACGATGTCCTCAGCGCGGCCACATCAAAGCGCCGCTTTCTTGACTCAATGTCAGATTATTGTTCCACAGGTGTCAACGGGACGGGTCTTCCGCTGATTTTATGGCTAATCCGGAAGAGGAATTAGTCAAAAAAAAAAGAAGGCTCGATGGAGTCCAGCTGACAAGAGAAGTAGCCCAAGTGCGACGCTCAGATTTTATTTATACTTTACACACAGTTTTGGTATAGGCCACATATCAATTAATAAAAATTTTCGTTTGTGATTTACAGCTGTAGCCGAAATATTCAGTTATAATTTGAAGTCGAGAGAGTACACGAAATGAGGAGAGCGGCAGAGAAAAAACTTTTTGGTCGTGTTTTTGCTAGTTTCGTGCGGAAAAAAATGATTTTTCTTTGCGGAAACATGGCTCTCTTTGGCAGAAATAGGTAAGGGAGTAAGCGAAATGAGGAGAGCGGTCAGAGAAAAAAGAGACTTTTTTGGCCGTATCTTTGCCAATTTTGCGCGGAAAAAATTGATTTTTTGTGGAAACATCACTCTCTACAATAGAAATAGCCATGAAACTTTTCAGCCCAAAATTTGCAAAAAAATATCACATTTTTGCCAACTTTCGATCAAAAAATCTCGGTCATTTCTTCAAAATGTGAGGTAGAAATCTCGCATATACCTTGGAAAAAATTGCTCCAAATTTGTGCCAAGTTTTATCAAAATCCAAGGGTCGCTTTTGGAGCATTTAGATAAAAAAAATGAAAAATTAAATTTTCAGAAAAAAATTTTTTTTAACTTTTACAATTTTTATAAAAAATTTTGTTCTACTAGTCGCGACATAAAGTCCTGACACATTTTGCACCGTGCATTCTTCTTTCATTTCGTCCGCACTGTGCATCTTTTCGCATTTGTCGCCGCGATTTCCCGTTTTTGCACTAGCGACATCCACTTTTGCGCGCGACGAACCCGAATTTGGGGGCGCGACGTCCAAACCCCGAACTTTCGCACGGTGCAAAATGTGTCAGGACTTTATGGCGCGACTAGTATGATGATTTTTAGCGACTACAAGAAAGGATTCCACCTGTCTGCGGGTCCCCTTTCCCTTCCCATTATCCCATTTATTTGCCCAATTTTACCCAACTCTCCTCCCCAAACCCGGCAATTTTCTCTTCAAAGTGCGAAAAAAGATTTCGTTTTTTTCGCTTTTTTTTCTTGAAGAGAAATGGGATTACTCAAGTGGATTGCGTACGGTAATCTTATCGTCGTCGGCTTTACTGTGTGTGCTTTTTTCGAATTTTATTTTTTTTTGAGTGAAAATTGAAATTTTTTAAAAAAATTGGAGCTGCACAGTGCAAAAAATAAAAAAAATTTTTGTTCAGATGTTAATAAAACATGGTAAAAAATTTTGAGAATGATTTTTTAAGAAATATTTGAGATTTTCAGCTTTTACTTTCAAGAAAAATTCAAGATTTTAAGCTCAAAACTTTTCAAAAATTTTTTAAAATTTTGAAATTTTCAAAATGAAAAAAATGCCAATCTGTTAAACTCTACAAGTAAACAGTTTGTACCAAAAATCATTTTTTTCCGAACAAAATTCAAAATGATACAGATAAAAAACATTTTTTTGTCTACCGCCTCCCTATCTTCCATTATCTCTCACCTGCAAAGATCGGTGAATATCTCGGCTCAATTTGCAACTAATGAGCTCAAATTTTCAGCGATGAAACTCGGCTATGAAGACAACATTTTGGCAAATTTTCAAAAAAATCGGTACATTTCACACTCAGCTCTACCATTTTGAACTTACACTACCACCAAAAATTTTTTTTTGGCCAAGTGCAAAGTTTATGCACAAAACTTTGATTACAAGTTATGCAAAATGTCCGTGAAGGTCATCTGAACTCTTCAACCCCCACTTCCAACCTATCATCCATCTTTGTCCAACGGAAAATACGTGTTTTGGGTTGCGCAACGCCTAATAAGCAGTGCGAGGGGCTCGGGATAAGGGCGTTAATTAGTGATTATCGTCGAGAAAACAAGAGTGATGAGCGGAAATGGCATGGTTGGAGATTAGATGGTTGAAGAATGCTGATCGCCATTTGCAAAGTTATGTTTTTTTGTCAAATTTATTTGTAAACTATGTTTTGGAAAAAAAAATTTCATGCAGTAGAACGGCGTATTTTACATGAAAAATGTTGCTAAAGACATTGATATTCATTTTTAACCAGAAAATTTCCGAAATTTAGCCCAACGAAAAATTTGACGAAATGTCACAAAAATTATTGGAAATTTTTTCTCGCTAAAAATCGCTAAAATTTTACTGAAAATATCTGAGGGAAACGAGGAATACGATTTTATGAGCTCCAAAAAACCCGTATTTTACCTATCAAAAAGTTTTATTTTTCAAAACAAATTAAAATTAAAAAAAAATTTTTTGTCATCATCAAAGAAAAATTTGTATTTTAAAATACAAATGTGTCCACAGCGCACAATTCTGTTATTTTTGAACCAAGAATTTTCGAAAATTCATTAAAATTTCGACTTTCTTGATATTGATATCTAAAACAATATCAAATGTTTGTAAATCTCCTGAAACGCAATAAAATCTCAAAATATCTTTCAAATGCAATTGGAAACAATTATTATTTCATCAAAAAACCTCCCGAAAACAAGGCATTTGGGCCATTTCCATTGATTGGCCGCCGAAAAGGACCTACCGTATAGGCTCCGCCCACCGCTCTTCGCGACGCCCCGCCCACCCAAGAAGGAAGGCAATAAACAATGGGATTGCCGTTATTTACACAAGATTCCGCTGGTATTACCGGTCGTAATGACAGGTTCCGCCGAGCCTGGGATTTGGCCGCAGCGCCCTGGGGGGTTACGGTGGTTTGGCCGAGGGTTACGGTAACGGATTTTTCGAGATTTTTGGGGCAAATTTCGGAGAATTGGAAAAAACAAAGCTTAAGAAAGATTTTTCAGAGTTTTTAAGACTTCAAAATTGAAATGGCCGGGCGTATTTTACCAATAAATCTGAATAAATACAAGTTTTGATGATTTTTCCGCAATTTTTAGTTAAAAATCTCAAATTTTTATGTCTTTCAAAATTTTTTCGACTGAATTCAGACTATATTTTAAAGAACACACTCTGGCATACTTTTTAACTGTAACAAGAGTGAATATAGATGCAGATTTTGCCAAGAAAAAATCAAAAAAAAGTGGAAAATGTCGTAATTTTGGATAGTTGTTCGAATATTTCGTATTTTACAATTTAAATATTGTTTTTATTGCTTAGACATCATTTTAACGCTTCTAGGAGCCCTCCAACATCTTTTATTTGAGATTAAATTTCATTTTTTTCCAAATTTTTTATTGGGATTTTTTGATTTTTTGTAAAAAATTTTTTTTATGGCCCAAAGAAATTGCCAGAAAAGAATTGTCGTATTCTACAATGCAAATTCCGGCTTATTTTTGCAGCTATTCGCTCTTAAATACAACTTTTTTAACTGTATTTCCTTATTTTTCCCTCAAATTTCCGTCAAAAAATCGCAAAAACAGACTGCACTGCCGCGTTGCCCCCACCATTTCCTGGTAGCCGCCTGGGGCTGCTAATTACCACCCATCTTCCGAATTCCAGCCCACAATTACACCGGGAAAGGCTGGGCCACGAGTGAGATAATTACAGCCGGAGATTACTTTGTGATTTCCATTCGTTGTAATGGTATGTTTATGAAGACTTGAGTCGGTGCCGAGCAAGGTTCAGATTTCGAAAATACGTATTGTGTTGTAATGTATTATTAGTGGGAAAATTTTGGGCATGTAAATTTTTGACGCTGCACAGTGCAATTTTTGATTCTGCACAGTGCGATTTTTGATTCTGCACAGTGCAATTTTTGACTCTGCACAGTGCAAAAATCCAAAAAATCCAAAATTTTTTTTGTCTCAGATTTTGATGAAACTTACGTTAATTCAAGATTATAATGTTCTTACGCATTGTTGAAATTTTTAGCTCCCAATTTGCAGAAACGACCGAGATTTTTAGGTCAAAAGTTGGGAAAAATTTGACACTTTTTTTGCGAATTTTTGCCATGAAAAGTTTCATGGCTATTTCTACAATAAAGAGTAATCTTTCCACAAAAAATCAATTTTTTCCCTACAAAACTGGCAAAGATATGGCCAAAAAAGTGTTTTTTCTCTGACCGCACTCCGCGCTTTGCGTACTCTCTATTTTTTTTGTTTTTCTGACGATCCCTCTATTTTTTGTAATTAAAAATTATATTGTAAAATACGAATGTCACACCATTAAATTTGCGTCTCATTCTTTAAAATGTTCTTCCAAAAAAATAAAAAATAAAAATTTTCTGTAAATTGCGGTCTAGAAATCTCAAAAAATCCATGTTTTTTTCTTGAAAGTGCTAGCTAAAAATCTGCCAAATGTCCTAGAAAATTTTTCATCTCAATTTGCATCAAGTTTCATCAAAATCTCAGCTCAAAATTTTTTGGATGTTTTTGCACTGTGCGGTCTCTAAATTTTCACTTTTGCAAATAATTTCATATAATTCAATTATGCGTATTTTAAAAACTCGAACCTTGCTCAATACCGACTCCAGCCTCGATAAACATACAATTACAACGAATGTAACCTAAAAAGTAATCTCTGGGTTGTAATTGTCAGCTTTGAAACTATACATACTTGTGGCCCAGCCTTTACTATAATGGAATTTACTCCTTTTAAGATCATTCTGAACAACTTCTTTTTTGCTCAAATTTTTGATTTTAGCGCAGTTACACCTCTACATATACTTATAATGAAACCTGTCTATAAAGAGCAATTTTCGAGGCCCTAATAGCCAATTATCTTGGCCAGTATCGCGCGAGAAAAAAATAGATTTTTTGTGGACACATCACTCTCTACGGTAGACATATATGTGTTACTTTTCATGCCAAAATTCGCAAAAAAGTGAGAAATTTTTGCCAACTTTCAACTTAAAAATCTTTTTTGCAAAGCGCAGCTAAGAATCTCCCATCAGTTTTGGAAAAAAATAACCTAGATTGGCGCCAGCTTCTCTCAAAATCTCCAAGTATTACTTTCCCTGTTATCAGTCTGTCGGGAAAATAATGAACACAATTTCAACGCCGATCGTGTCGCTGAGGTGAAAGGCAATTTGATTTTGCCGCCACAAAATCCATTTTCTCAGCGGCGATCACAATTTTCGATGCGACAGAATGCTCATTATTTTCCCGACAGACTGATAAAGATCTTTTATACAAAAACTATTATACAAAAAACCGTTCCTCTCTTTCCTGGAAGTCGTTGAAAAAGATCGTTTCCCTATACGAATCCACATTATTTTCCCGACGGACAAATACTGGTGGCTTTCAGCCAATTTTGAGACAAAACCTCTCACTTAGACTGTCGGGAAAATAATGAGCACAATGTCGATGCCGATCGTATCGCTGAAGTAAAAAGAAATTTGATTTTCTCCGCGACACAATTCATTTTCTCTGCGGCGATCACAATTTTCGATGCGACATTGTGCTCATTATTTTCCCGACAAACTGATATATATATTTTTGTGCAATTTCCCGCTTACCGTACCGCTTTTTTCACCTTGAACTTTCTCCCCTCCGCCTTTTGAAATATGAGATATTTGCTCATCTTCACCTTCAGCCCTCTCCCCTCCCCCCACACGCCATCCATCAACCTGTCCGATCCGCCGCCCCCCATGCAGAACTACACGAACGGAGCGGCCTCCGCCGCTCCGCCGGAGAACCTCAAAAACTACGCGTTCATGATGAACGCGTACGGCTACAACCCGTGGATGACGCCCTGGCTGCAGAGCACCGTGCACGGGCCCTACGAAAGCGCCGCCGTGATGGATGCGGCGGAGAACAATGTGATCAGCAACAGCAGCCTCAGCAGTAATAGTAGCGGAGGTGAGTGGAGTTTTTGGGGTCGTTTTTCAATGTTTTTTAAATAGGTTGAAATATTAGTCTGTCGGGAAAATAATGAGCCCTCTGTTGCATCGAAAATCGCATCGCCGTCGAGAAAATGAATTGTGTCGCGACGAAATCAAATTATTTTTCACTTCAGCGACACGATAGGCGCAGCGACAGTATGCTCATTATTTTCCCGACAGACTGAAAAATGAAAAACATTTTTCTGAAAATATCAGTCTGTCGGGAAAATAACGCTGGATCGTCGTCGGAATCGCCCATCATCGCTTTGCGACTGCAAGCCGCGGCTTGGGATTTGGTGCGCGATAGCGGCGAGGCGAGCCACTTGGCTGCGACGACCCGCCGTTATTTTCCCGACAGACTGATAGGCTTGTAGAATATTTCCCGAGGCCAAAAATCTTGAAAATTTGACTAGGCCTCGAATTTGCTTGCACTCGAAAAAAAAGATTTGTCACTGCGAAAAAGAGGAATCGCGCGCGACGTAAAGCAAAAAAAGAAAACAAACATGTATTGTGCAAATTATCACGACTTTTTCCCCAAGTAAAGTATACTTGCTACATGCTGGTAGCCCTCAAAATTTTTCGGCCGAAAAACGCTTTGACAGAGGAAGTACTCCGAGTTCAACGCTCCGATTTTGATGAAACTTGGCGCAAATTTAGAATAGTTTTCTAATGATGCAATACAATTCATTTTCTCGGCGGCGACCACAATTTTCGATCCGACAGAGTGCTCATTATTTTCCCGACAGACTGATAAAAAGCGATAAAATTTCGCAGAAGTAATGCTCGTATTTTACCCACAGATGTCTTATATTTTGTTGTGGAGCCTCAAAAGCCTCCACAATTCCCACAGAAATTAGCATAAACCAAGTCATATAAAAGCTATGTCTCGTCACCAATATTAAGACTTAATCTCATTTTCTTTTCCTTTGTGCGGTGGTTCAATAAAACCCTATTCTAACTTGTGTCTAATTCCTTCTACCTATCTACATTTGACGCAACACTTCATGGGGGCTGAGCCGGGGATTGGGTTAGATCTTACACTCGATGCACTTTCAGACCCCCCAACATCATCCCAGAACTCGCCTCCACTCAAGTCATCGATTGACTTGACGAACCTAACATTCGCCGGAAACTCGTCCGCATCGCTCTACAACAACTACCTGAACCCGGAGATTAATTGTAGGTCATTTAAAGCACGTTGAAATTACTAATCTAAATTGCTGGAGTGACTTCGGCGACATGCACTGTGCGAAAACGAAAGTTCACTTTGCGCTGTGCAATTTCTAGCTTTTTGCACCGTGCAATATGCTTTTTTGGGCTGTCGCTCGCACCCTGACTTTCATCGCACAGTGCAAACGCCAAAAATCACTGCAGCGACTTCCCGGATGGACCAGTATGTGCTAGAATTTAATTTCGACAACAACGCCGTAAAAGGTACACGTCAAATCAAAACGAGGAAAATACTTCTACGGGGTATGGAGTTACAGTTCGAGTCATACATCAAAAAAATCGTAAATTTTTTTTGATTCAGAATATGTAAAAGTCAGCTGCCTAATTTTGGTTTATAAGGGTGAAAAAATCCTCAGAATTTTTAACGCAACATCACGCAAATGCCTTTTTGACAAAGTTTTCACCAATTCAAAAGCTTTGTTTTGAGCTTGTAAAGTGAACCCTGGCATCTTGACAAGCTTTAAAATCTTAAGTCTGATTGATCCTACGCCTTAAGAGTAGTTCCAATATAAAAAACGGGAATTTGTGTGGTGTTGCGAGAAAAGTTCAGAGGATTTTTTCACCCTTACAAACCAAAATTAGGCAGCTAACTTTTCCACATTCTGAATAAGAAAAATTTTGCGATTTTTTGATATATGACTCGACCTGTAACTCCATACATACCCCATAGAAGTATTTTCCTCGTAAGGCAAAGAGAGAGGGAATTCTTCAAGTTGGCTGATGTCAGAGGGCGCCGAGGTGTAAATTTGGCGAAAATTTTAGTTATAGCAAGCCTTGGTTTTCTTGACCCTGAGCTTCTTTAAGCATAGAAAAGACCAAAACTTGCCCCCAAAAACGATACCCATAAGTTTTATCTCAACTTATTGCAGTAATACATGTAAAATCCATCAAAATATGTGGTAAACTATTCTAGGACTTGACCAATCGTGCTATTTTTATTAATTAAGCCTTCTCCTAGCCTCCCCCATGCTTACAATGGAGGAGATTTCTTGAATTTTTGTGGCTTGCAGCGCCCAAAAATTTCGTTACAGTAACCCAATTAGCCTTTTTTTGTCCAAAAACTCGGGATTTTACGTAATGTCGGATCGAATTAATCCCGACGCAAAACTGACGAATTAGGTAACTGAAGCGATTTACCCCGCAAACCCCCCAATTTGCACCCCCAAAATCGGCGCACACACCTGCCCTCCTTGTATATTATTCTAAGCGATTAGCAGACGATTGCGCAATTTGCAAAGCAAAAAAATGTCAAATCACACACATCGTATTTTACCCCAAAATTTCAGCCCTCTTCAACCAAACAATAAATCCCGTTCCGCTGCTGGCGAGCGCATTGCCAGCGGCAACGGCCGCCGCGCCCGGACGAATGCTCGGCCGGTCGACAAGAGCGGCGGCGTCTAGCCGGCCGTCCACAGCGAGGGCGTGCGAATGCCCCAATTGCCTGGAATTTCAACGGAGAGGTAAGGATTTAGAACTTTTACTTTGTAGTTTTCACAAAAAATACGTTTATTAAACGGTGGTAAAACAGGGGACGATGATGCCACGACGTATTTTACATTAGAATTTACAATCTTAGAATCGAAAAGTTTCAAAAAACATTAGACAGTAAAAATATTCCTCCTATATGATAAAAATAAAATTTGCGTCAAATGACTTCAAAAGTGATCATGGATACTTTTTGATACTTTTCTCAAAGTTTCTAAATTTTTCGCTTTAAAACCGCAAAACATCATCAAAAAATCCTTTTTTTTTACTTTTATAAAAAATTGGTGAAAATTGCAAGAAAAAAATCGAAAAATCTCGTTTCAAAATCGCCTTTACCCTTTTTGATTCACGTTTTCTTCCCACAGAAAAAAATCAAAAGTGGAAAGAGAAGCGAGTGTGTACGCCCATAGCCCGTTGAAAGCACGCCATCCCGTCCGATCTGGCAAGTTAAGCAACGGTGCGCTTGATTAGTACTTGGATCGGAGACGTCCTTGGAATCTCAAGTGGCGTACGCATTTTTGACTTTTTTGATTTGAATAGAGAAATCAGAACCGTATTTTAGATGGTACATCATGAATTCAAATACATTTGAATTGGTATTTGTTCGACATTTTAGTCAAACTTTCCAAAATTTTCTTGTTCAGCCACACTTTTCTCACTTTTCAGGAGCTGGAATCTCAAGCTAACCTTTAACTTGGGAAATTAATCCGAAGATAGAATGAAAGAGCCAGCTTACCTCTGATCCACCCTTTCCTTTTTGGCTGGGGAATTTACGCTATTTCTGTGTGGTCTCTCCAAAAACACAATCTCTAATTTTTCTGTATTAGTGACGTCATTACTAATTGATTTTTAGTAAAAGAAAGTCAATTCTGCTTTCCAAAAAATCACCTTTTCTTTGCTACCGTAACCCCATTGCCATTTCTCATCCAATCTTCTTGAAGAGTTGTCAAAAACGGCGCCGCAATTTTTCAAATTCTCGCGTATTCAAATAAAAGCGGAAAGGACAATTGGGCTCTTTCTGTTTTTTTTTCACACCGGCTTCTGAACGCCTTTTTTGATGGTGTGGAAATGATTTCGAATAAATCAACGCGGCGCCCATTCAAATTGGGTAATTTGGGCGAGGCCTTTTTGTGGAACGGCGGGAAATCCGGCAAGAATTTTCAAAGCAACGATCATGTGTGAGAAAAAATAATTCAATCGAAATAAATTTTTCAAATTGAACAAAGTTGCACGTATTTTTTTAAAAAAAATCTTTGAGATTTTCCCTCGAAATCTTGTTGATTATGCGGTCAGAAAAATTAGAGATCATGTTTTTGGAGAGACCACACAGAAATAGCGTAAATTCCCCAGCCAAAAAGGAAAGGGTGGATCAGAGGTAAGCTGGCTCTTTCATTATATCTTCGGATTAATTTCCCAAGTTAAAGGTTAGCTTGAGAGTCCAGCTCCTGAAAAGTGTGGCTGAACAAGAAAATTTTGGAAAGTTTGACTAAAAAGTCGAACAAATATCAATTCAAACGTATTTTAATTCATGATATACCATCTAAAATACGGTTCTGATTTCTTTATTCAAATCAAAAAAGTAAAAAATGCGTACGCCACTTGAGATTCCAAGGACGTCTCCGATCCAAGTACTAATCAAGCGCACCGTTGCTTAACTTGCCAGATCGGACGGGATGGCGTGCTTTCAACGGGCTATGGGCGTACACACTCCTTTCCCTTTCCACTTTTGATTCGGTTTCGTGGAAATGAAAAAAGGGATTGAATATATCAGAAACTTATCATTTGAGTATTTCAAAAATAAAAAAAAAAAACAATTTTTATACTGTCTGAAGATAAATACGTTATCTATTATAATATTATTATTTATTCCTAGTCAAAAAAACCATTCAATTTTTCAGGCGTTCCATCCAACGTGAAGAACGAAAAGCACAATTGTCATATCCCCGGATGCCATAAAGTCTACGCCCGAAGCTCGCATTTGAAGGCGCATCTGCGTTGGCACACGAATGCCCGTCCACCGCCGCGGCGGACAATAGCCGAGTAACTGGAAATTACCGAGGATTGAAAGGCATGAGTACAACTCTTAAGATGCGTTATGATTATTATACATTATGTAATCTTACTATCATTTAAAACTAAAAATTTTTATCTTATCCAATCTCGATTTCAAAAAATTTTTTTTAGATTTGTTGTAGTAAATTTGAGATTTTTACCGGTTGGAGGTGTGTTTTGTTGTAACTATTTTTTATGTTGTATGAATTGGAAATTGTATGTATAGCTATGAGTAATCAAATAAAAATTTTTTAAATTGAATTTCGGACCTTTTTCTTGGAAGTGCTTACTGTTTTGTTATTGTAAAAAATTGAAAAAAATCTCACGGAAAGGCGAGATTTTATCAGTTTGATCTGATATTCTTCACGTATTTTCTGGGACTGGACAGACATCTTTTTACAAAACAAGAAACGAGAAATTGCGTGTGTTTCATTTCCTAATATACATATTTTTTGTATGTATGAGAAAACAACATTTATTAGTACTGGGAGACAGGTCCGGGGACTGAACTGGAAGATTGAAAGAGATAGGAGTGTGTACGCCCATAGCCCGTTGAAAGCACGCCATCCCGTCCGATCTGGCAAGTTAAGCAACGGTGCGCTTGATTAGTACTTGGATCGGAGACGTCCTTGGAATCTCAAGTGGCGTACGCGTTTTTGACTTTTTTGATTTGAATAAAGAAATCAGAACCGTATTTTAGATGGTATATCATGAATTAAAATACGTTTGAATTGATATTTGTTCGACTTTTTAGTCAAACTTTCCAAAATTTTCTTTTTCAGCCACACTTTTCAGGAGCTGGAATCTCAAGCTAACCTTTAACTTGGGAAATTAATCCGAAGATATAATGAAAGAGCCAGCTTACCTCAGATCCACCCTTTCCTTTTTGGCTGGGGAGGGGAATTTACACTAATTCTGTGGGGACTCTCCAATAACATGATCTCTAATTTTTCTGTATTAGTGACGTCATTATTGACAGAAATTTTAAACAATATCTCGAAAAGTTGCCCCCGGCTGTGGGCTGGCTGGCCAGAATATCCATGATGTATTCCCTCGCTTTATCAATTTCAATGACGTCATAATTATTTCAAAACTTGAATTGCACTAGTAATTTAGAGATGAATTTCATTTAGATTATCAAATGTTTTTTGAAATTTCGAAACAAAATTTGTCCAACGCATCTTTTTGATAAATTCATAAAAATAAAATGCTCCAGGAACAAAGAAAGAAACGATATAAACCACGGGTGTTTATCAGCCCGATAAACATCAAAAGTTTGAGAATCTTTTGGGCTTCTCGAAAGAATTTTGCAGTTATTTTTGAATTGAAAAATAAATATTTAATAATTATATCCGTAAATTCTTTATTTTTCAATTCCTCAAAGTGTGACTAATCCCTATTGTCCCATTCTTCTTTGTGAAAAGATTTGCGTTTTAATTTTGGGAGTGACAAATCGAAAAATTCAATGTTAGAAACGATTGAAATTCATTTTTTTTTGAATTTGAAATTTGTTTGTTCACCTTTTTAATTTCACCAAAGATACGTAATTAGTGGAGCTAAAAAGTGAGAGATCTTAAATTATCGATAGTTTCCATCCCTTGCAATTCCATCCAGTCCAGATTTTCTTGAAAATTTCAGTTAATAGTGACGTCACTAATACAGAAAAATTAGAGATCATGTTTTTGGAGAGACCACACAGAAATAGCGTAAATTCCCCAGCCAAAAAGGAAAGGGCGGATCAGAGGTAAGCTGGCTCTTTCATTCTATCTTCGGATTAATTTCCCAAGTTAAAGGTTAGCTTGAGATTCCAGCTCCTGAAAAGTGTGGCTGAACAAGAAAATTTTGGAAAGTTTGACTGAAAAGTCGAACAAATATCAATTCCAATGCATTTTAATTCATGATATTCCATCTAAAATACGGTTCTGATTTCTTTATTTAAATCAAAAAAGGCAAAAATGCGTACGCCACTTGAGATTCCAAGGACGTCTCCGATCCAAGTACTAATCAAGCGCACCGTTGCTTAACTTGCCAGATCGGACGGGATGGCGTGCTTTCAACGGGCTATGGGCGTACACACTCCCTTCCCTTTCCACTTTTGGGTTCAGCCCGCGGAACTTGATAAGATCAGCGAGCATAAGGTTTTACGAGAGGATTCTTTGCGAGTTGCTTGTAAACATTATTTCCTCGTTCATGAGACCGTCAAATAGTTCTAATCAGTCTTTTTCATTAAAAAAAACTTAATTTATCGACTTTTTGGAGCCTCAAGTACCTGCAAATTTGATGACATTTTACGAAATTGTGTTTTTTGGGTGCTCATATAATTTGCCATTCTTTTGTAGAGCAAACATCAAACTTTAGGCCACAAACTCGGTTTCCTACACTTTTCGGATTCACCAATGCGCTGCCCTTTTTGTCTCCTGGAGACAAGCATTCGGTGCTCAGAGTACTTCCCGCGTGGAAACAGAAAACAACAAGCCTTGTTGACAAAAGTCATGCTTTTACAAGGTTGTGGTTTGTGTTCGAGCTAAAAGGGAGGGTTGCCGTGGTGCACGGCTCAGATTTCCATGAAACTCGGCACAAACATGGACTAGAATTTTCGAAGGCATACCCGAAATTTTTACCTGGTGTATTTCAAAGGCCATCGAGATTTTTTGGTTAAAAGTCGGTGAAAAAAGCAATTTCTTTACGACTTACGGTTTGAAAAACGTTGCCGAGTACAATTTCCAATCAAAAATTATGTTTTTATGATTGAAATCTGTGAAGATTAACGTAAAACATCCTTTTGTTTGGCCAACTCTCCCCATTTTGAGTACTCTCATTTTTCAAAGAGAGTATACAAAATGAGGAGAGATGGTCAGACAAAAAATGTTTTTACGTTAATCTTCGCAAATTTCAATCATAAAAATAACATGTCAGGTTGGAAATTGTGCTCGGTAACAGATTGGGATTTTTCAACCCCGAAATCACAAGAAAATTCGGGGATTTCAGGGGAAACATCCCAAGTGTGACGCTCAAATTTTGATGCAACTTGGCACAAATTTTTAGGATAATATTTTTTAAAACATACTGCGAGACTCCTAGCTGGCGCTTTGCAGAAACAACTGGAAATTTGTTAGTTGAAATTTGGAAAAAACCTGAAACTTTTTTTTGCGAATTTTCTGATGAAAAGCTTCATGCCTATTTCTACCGTAGAGGGTAATGTTTCCACAAAAAATTAATTTTTTTCGCACAAAGCTGGCAAAGATATCACAAAAAATTTATTTTTTTCACACAAAACTGGCAAAGATATGGCCAGAAAAGTGGTTTTCTCCCTGACCGCTTTCCGTGTTTCGCGTACTCTCTCGGCCGCAAAGATCGTTGAATATTTCGGCTCTCTCTGCAAAGCGCGAGCTAAAACTTTCAGGAATAGGTATGTGGGGTGTGCCAGAAATGTGTGAGAAATTAAAACAAAATTTGAACGTCGCACTACCCTTCAAAACATAAAAATTTTGATGATTTCTACACAGTGCGCCCTAGAAAATTCTAATCCAACTTTGCGGTAATTTCACCAAAATTAAACCCTTCTTTTATTTCTATATTTGTTAACATGAAAACAGAGTTTTTTTTTTGGGATTTCGCGAAACTTCGCTATGTAAACGGTTCCGAACAAGTTCGACGAAAAATTTCTTTCGAAAGCCCGCGTTCGAAGCGAGGGATTTTATCTTTTTTTTGGGAAAGGTCACAGTCGCCATTGACAACATTTCCGTGACTTTTGGGGGTTCTGCAGCATAACAATTGAATGCGTTTCGGAAAAAAAGTTTGTCCGGGATTCGGAGTGGCCGTTCGGAGCGGTCATTTATTTTGGGATTTTTTTAAGGAAAAACTTTTTTATAAAGTCCAAAAATGATGTCATCAAATACTGCTGGGCGTATTTCATCCTCTAAATAAAAATTCTCTCGATTTTTTGAAGGCTTCTTTTCTGATCTACATGATTTTTTTTGTAATTTTTTCAAAAAAAATTTCTCCAATTCGCCCCTTAAATTCGGAAATTGAACTATTAACAGTAAGTTGCGCTTCTAACTTGAGAACGTTTTCAATTCTTTGGGTTCCGTTATTTGATAAATCGTCTCGTTCGCAGAGCGAGACTAAATTCATCTCCGACAAAACCCCGATTGATCCCTTCAATTGGAAAAGAGCAAAGTGTGTACGCCCATAGCCCGTTGAAAGCACGCCATCCCGTCCGATCTGGCAAGTTAAGCAACGGTGCGCTTGATTAGTACTTGGATCGGAGACGTCCTTGGAATCTCAAGTGGCGTACGCATTTTTCATTTTTTTGGTTTGAATATATAGATAGATCTTTAGATCAGAATCGTATTTTACATGGTATTGTAGGAAAAAATTGAATTGAAATACATTTTTTTCTACTTTTTTGTTTCAATAAGAACTGAAATCAAGATTTTTTTGCCATTGTAGACTTTTTTAGTGACATTTTATTTGTAAAATACGCTTCACAAAAAAATGCTATCCCATTTTGAGCAAAAGTATTCATTTTTTTCATCCCCCAAAATTATTTTTCTAATCACAATCTTTTTAAAAAGTATTTTTATTGCAAAAAACACTGAGCTTGCAATGTTTTGAAACTACAGAGCGTTTGTGGCGTACTTAACATAAAATTATTTTCACTTTCCCTTCAAAATCAAATATTCAAAGCTCCGCGAAAACCGTGTGCAACTTCATTGGACGTGCACTTTTTTATATCGGCTGATATCGCTATATTTATTTTTTTCGCGTCTTTTTTATAAACCCGGAGTGCACTCTTCCCTATTCTCGCGATGTTTGGCATTCCGCAACAGCAGAGAAAAAATTAATTCCGTTTGGAAAAACGGAAATTCTCTGCATATTTTTATTTAGTTTTCTTTAGGTTTAGAGCTCTCTTAGTGACGCGTAGTAACTTAATATTGCCGTTTGGATCTCATGGCGGTAAGTTTTTCGATTTTTTTATTTTTTTATTTAGAATCGAAAAAGCTCAAAAAACGGGTAAAATATTTTTTTTCGTATTTTCGGCTAAGAATGGACGGGATTTTCCAAGATCTTTATGGTAAAATACGGGACAATCCTTCGAAAATTTATTTTTGCAAACAAAAAAAATCTAGAAAATTTACTGGGGAAGTGCTCCAAGTGCGACGCTCAGATTTTCTTTAAAATTTTCACACACTTTGAGCATAGGCCACATATAAATTCCTGAAAATTTTAGCTCGCGCTTTGCAGGGGCAGCCGAGATATTGAACGACCTTTCCGGCCGAGAGAGTACGCGAAACGCGGAGAGCGGTCAGAAAAAACACTTTTTGGCCATAACTTCGCTAGTTTTGTGCGGAAAAAATTGATTTTTTGAGGAAACATTACTCTCCACAGTAGAAATAGCCATGAAACTTTTCATGACAAAATTCGGAAAAAAGTGTTACATTTTTGCCAACTCTCGAACTAAAAATCTCGATCATTTCTGCAAAGCGCGAGCTAGTAATCTCGTATATTTCTTAAAAAATATTATTCTAAATTTATGCAAAGTTTTGATCAAAATCTGAGCGTCGCAATTGGAGCACTTCCTCTGTAAATTTTCTCGATTTTTTGCTTGGAAAAATAAATTTTCGAAGAATTGGCCCGTATTTTACCCTAAAGATTTTGAAAAAATCCCTCAATTTACAATCTCAATAGCCTTTCTGAGACTCAAAATGCATCTCAAAAGGCAATTGAATTTCTCATTTTGCCCCAACCACCCAAAAAACCCCAAATTTTCAGACCGACAACGATCGGCCGTTGCTATTCACACTCAACGGAAGGCTTTATGATGTCCGAAAGTTCGCCGACAAACACCCTGGCGGCAAGAAAATCCTCGAAAAGACCTCCGGCGGAGATGTTTCCGAGTTCATGAGCGGTCAACAGCGAGTCATGGGGGTGAAACATGTCCACTCACAGGCCGCCTATGACATTTTGGAGCGATACGCTGTAAATCACAGTATCGAGGTGAGATTTTTATTTCATTTTTTGGGTTTTGAGATCAGAATTAGCGAGTTCGAAGACGATTTTTTTGACAGGGTTTTGCAAAATTAAATCTCGCGCTCGTATTTTACCTTATTTTAGGTATAAAAAGGAGATTCTTTGGAAATTTTGACCGTATTTTAGCGATTTTTAATAAATTTTTGTTGTAGTTTAGCGATTTTCAATAAAATTTTATCGTATTTTAGCCTTTTTTCACAACTCATTTTTCAAAAAAAAAAAAAAAAAAAATTTTTTTTAATCTCAACTTTCCAGAAAGACAAGTTGATCGACGAGAACACCCCGGTTTTACTCAAAGTCGGCCATCTTGGCGATAAATACTGGAATTGGATCCATCAGCCCTACGAAGGCAGCCTAAGGCTGTTTGAATCGAATTTCTTGGAAATGTTAACCCGAACCGCTTGGTGGGTGGTGCCCTTAGTTTGGATGCCCGTTGTTTTGGGATTTGGCGCGTTTGGCTTGTCAGCTTTGGTCGCCCAATACGGTAGGTTACTGCATTTTTTAGAAAAACAAAAAATTTTTTTTGGAATTCGCACCGTGCAAACTTTGTTTTTTGGAAACCGCACAGTGCAAATTTTAGTTTTTTTGGAAGTCGCACAGTGCAAATTTTATTTTTTGGAAACCACACAGTGCAGAGGTAACTTTTTTTGAAAACCGCACGATGCAAAATTTATTTTTTGAAAACCGCACCGTGCAAAAAAAATTTTTTTTGGAAGTCGCACAGTGCAAAGATAATTTCTTGGAAGTCGCACGGTGCAAATTTTATTTTTTGAAAATCGCACCGTGCAAATTTTCAAAAAAATCTGCACTGTGCAATTTCCCACAAACTTTTCGCACTGTGCAAAAAAATCGCAAATTGCAAAACCCATTGCATTATAACTCTATTTTTTAGGACTGTTAAAAGGCGCCCTTCTCGCTGGCCTCCTCTTTATCCTTGGTACTTTGGCCTGGACATTGCTCGAATATTTTTTGCATCGTTTCGTTTTTCATTGGAAGCCGGATCCAGACTCGTACAATCAAATCCTACTCCATTTTCTCGCTCACGGCCTGCATCACAAGACCCCGATGGACGGGGATCGGCTGGTTTTCCCGCCGGTACCGGCGCTCATGATCGTCGCCGTCTTCTACGCATTTTACGTAAATCTGCTCCCATTCGACATTTTCTGCTGCTTCGCGAGCGGAAAACTGTTTGGCTATGTTGTTTATGACCTGTGCCACTACTACTTGCATCATGGATCACCCACGCCGCGCAGCGACATGCATTTCCGCAAGGTCTACCATCACAACCACCACTTCAAAGATTTTGATGCCGGCTATGGAATTTCGACAATGTTGTGGGATGTGGTCTTCGACACAGTTGGTACAGGACCTCTCTGAGGTCACAACACCATTCACTCGATCATCCCCCACCTTTCCCAAGTTTTACGTCAGGTTTTCCAGAAAGATATACCTATTTACCCAAAGCATAATGTCAAGTGGTATATCCCAAGGCAAAACCGCTTCTTGCTTAAATTTTTACCTTACTTAGTTCCTTTACTCTCCAATCTTTCATATCTTTCCGATTTCTCATCGCATTTCCAACGTTTTTCACGCATTTTCCGACCTTATCTTAGCCCATCTTTGATTTCCAAATAGCTAATCTTTTTGCCTATCCCTCGCTCAATTCAAACCCACCACAAACTTATCAAACGCATTCCTTCGTCTTACTTGCTCGGCATTGTCTAAATATTCGTTTCGAAAGTGATACCCATTCCCATCTAGTGTAATATCGAATTTATGAAAACCCCAAGCCAGTCCTCAGAAATCAACAGTAGACAGTTATAAAAGTACGAAAATTGAATAAAGTATGTCTTAAAAGCGTTGGTGCATTCTTTGGAGATGAAATCGTCCTTGTTATACCTAAAAATCAAGAAAATTTTATAAAATTTTACATTGTGATGGTCGCAATGAGAGTAAGTTGATGAAAACGTTGAATTCTGGCCAGAACATACCTAAAATACGGAGCAAATTGTCTTCCGCGGCTCTGTTGGCGCCATTTTGGTATTCAAAGAGGCGAAATGCAAAATTCCAGAAAATCCGTCATGATGACCGCCGTAGATTGGCTAAAATACGGTATAATTTGAACTATTTGCATTTATTAGGGTCTATTTGTCATGACAATCTCCAAATCTACTAAATAATTTCCTCAAATGGGTCGAAACGACAAGAAAAAATAAGTCGCTATGACGCAGTTTCTGGACGTCCGAAAAATTTTTGCGAAAAATAAAATTTCGAGGGAAGTTTCAGAGTTGTTGGCTTCGAATCGTGTAGAGGACAAAAGCCAACAGTTAGATGGACATATCCCAGACAGATATTCCAGCCCATTTCCTAGAAGACGAGGATGCAGTTATTAGAGGTAAAGTTATATATTGTTTCCGTTATTTTCTTGGTTTAGTGTCCACTGCCGTCTTCGAGGACTTTCATCAGAGCTTCAGCAATGGAGAATACACCCTCATGCACATGCTGAACGAGTGTCGAGGGGTAAGGAAGTGGATTTAATGGGATATTGCACTTGGTCTTGTTGATGGGGAAATAATGTTGAGAAAAGGGGGAATTTTGATTTTTATGGGTGGAGAAGGTTGTCAATTTGCTTTTGGGTTCTTGCAAGTCGTTCATGAAAATTTTCCATTGATTAGACTACTTATTCGAAGAATTTTGGCGTCGACTTTCTTTGACGGCTACGGCAATATACTTTTGGCTATAACGTTTGCCACAGTTGATCTTAACAGGTGAAACTTCGGATATAGCTAGACGGAGGCATTATGTAGATACTCAAATAACAAAATCTGACTTTCCATCCATATTCTTTACAATTCACCTTATTTTATAGTGACGTCCTTTCTGATCTCTAAATTTTTATAATTTTCTTTGTAAATTGACTTGAAACTCATGGGAAATCGCTGAAAATTCTGTGGTCTAATAGTAACGCCAAAATTTCAGACGTTGGAAAGTGGTGTCTCAGCTCTGCGACAGATTGCCAATGGAATTCGCCACAAAAACGCTCAACTCACAAGAACAGCGAATGTTCTTGCCTTTGAACATGATCTCTTCAAACTTCTCTGCGATTCGGATGATTTGGACAAGCAGATCGAAGCTTCGCCCTATGTAAGCTACTTTTTTATCCTTTTTTGCTTTGTTTTTAGGTCACCTAAAGTAATATAAAAAAATATTATTGTAGCTGCCCAGCCATCTTCATAAGATTCTCAAAGACGACAAGGAATTTAGACAGATCTACAGTCTAATTAAATGGTGTGAGTATCGGAGTAGCGATTGTCCCAAAGGATTTACATCAATTTTGGGGAGATCAGTTGATGTTAACCTTGAAAAAATCAGGTATGTTTTTTGAATTCTTTGTTTTCTTTGAAGTTTAGGTACTGCTGATGTCGAATGAAGTCAATTTTCTTGGGTTTGAGTTGTAAAATCGAGAATTTCGACGATTTTTGTCAGTTTCAGCCTAAAATAAGGTAATTTAGAGCGGATTTGCGGAGTTGGACGGCAACAAAAGATCTGGATCTCATCTTCTCGGATAAGAATCCACTGAGAGGCCAGTTTGAACAGAGCGCCGTCTTATTATACCAACTGATGATTGGATTTATCCGCGCCGGAAGGGTCTCATTAGCTGTTGAAGAAGCCGAAAAAGCCGGTTGCCACAATATTGCCGCCCTCCTGGACACTCGATCTGTCCTTTACGAGCTGGAACTGTCCACCGAGGATGGTGATCATCAAGATTTTGGGTTTGTGGAGGTCCGAAAGGCCATGAAATTGGCCGCGCAAGGACTGTTGTCCAATACGGAGAGTTCAACACGCGAAGAACAACGACTTTTCTGGGCAATCTTGGCCATGGATCAACGCGAGCTCTTGAGTCGAGCGAACAATCAAGAGGACCGCCTTTGGGTCTTGTTGAATTGCGCGTTGGAGAAGATTTTCGAAGACAAAACTGACAACGAATTCTCGGTTGGACTCAAAAAACATCAAGGAAATGTGTTGAACAATGTTAGAGAGATCTTTGAGGCCCTGATTGGGGATGATGAAGAAACTGGAGCGTAAGTTTTTGAGATTTTTTGGAGCTTTTTCGGATTTTAGGAGCTGATGTCAAGTGTAATATAAATATTTCGACAAAAGATGGAAGAATGTTGTGGAAATGGCAGATAGAGAAGGTTTATGAAATATATAGAAATTTTAGAATGAAGAACTTGTTTTCTGGCCAGAAATTATATTGTTTTAGACATCAGAATGCGCAATTTTGAGAATCGAAAATTTACTTCAGAAATTATTGAAATTAAAGCTTTTTTGGGTTATTATGCAGAAAATTGACTAAGTTGAGTTTCTAAACCTTCAAATTTCAGTGAAACCGACGTGGAATTCAAAATAATCGCTTATGTTGCACTTGAAGACCCCGAAAAACTCAGCGCCGTCCTCCGCCAAGAACTGGTCAAGGATTTGGAAATGCACACCGCCCGATTCTACGCGCACTTGGCGCTCCTCATGTTGGCGAAGGGAAAACCGCTGGATGAGGACGTTGTGGACACGGTCTTGATCAAATTTGTCGACGTACTTTCCCAGCTGGGCCTCATCAAATTATGCCCGTTTTATCTTGGTTATTGCACACGGAAATTGGCGGAAGACAGGTTGTTGAAGTTGCTCAGGACTATTCAGAATGATGAGGAGAGAGAGTCGGTTCTGGCACATGCAGAACAATATCAATTCAGGTAAAATTTTGGCGATTTTAAAGGATTTTTGCGATTTTTTTGAATTTTTGAACGGTTTGATAGTCTAAAATAATATAGAATTATGTTTTTGGGGTCGATTTTTGTTCTAGAGTTTGTTTGGGGTTCAATTTTGGCATAAAAATTAAGTTTCCTCCGAGAGGATCGAACCTGCGCCGATTTGAGTGATAGCCCAAAACACTACCACTAGACTATTTCGACACATGGGCCCAAAATCCCGTAAAATCTTCGGAAATAGGCGAAAACATAAAAATTGTGTGTAAAATGATTTTGTAAACTATGTTTACCTCATTTCAGCCCATCAGCCCTCTGCACGGCCATCTACGGCCAAGCAAAACAAGCTCTTCGCTCGGCCGAGGGCTCTCACCTAGATCAAGCACTGCTCGAAGCCAGCCGAGCCTGGAACTGGCTGGGACTGTGTGGCGAACTGGCAATAGAGGCATTGTTGGAAGCCAACTTTTTGTATCGAAAAATGTTCGTCCATAACCGACGAGCCGCCGCCTTTGATTTGTTCCAAGCAGTGCCTCCGGAATTGGCTGAACTGGCCCAGAAATATTATCAAGAACAGCAAGAGGGAAGTGGAGATGCGGAAGGTGGGATTTGAAATGAATTTTTGGAGGGTTTAGAGAGGGTTGGGGAATTTGGCAGGGTTTTATATTGGTTTAGGCGATTTTTGATGATTTTTTGGGGGAAACGGGGAAATATTGTCTTCAAAAGGGTTTCGGTATTGTTGAGAAGCTTTCCAGGAGTTTTTGATAGAGAATTGGGGATTTTTAGGAGAATTTTTTTATATTACTTTAGGTGATTTTGGATTTTTTTTTTGAAAATTTTTATTATTTGATGTCTAAATAATAGAAATTTTGGTAGCTGAGAGTGAAAGAAGACCTTTGAAGTCATAATGAGACTTTTTAATGATATATTTTTACCAGATTTGCTCAAAATTTATATTATTTTAGGCGGTCTTACCTTATTTTCGACAAATTTTCCCTTAAAATAGCCTTTTTCTTCCAGCAGAACTCCCGGTTTACCTCAAAAAAGCAATCGCAGAGTACGAGGGATATCAACGCTACTTCCATGTGGTCGAATTGTACAACCAATGGGAGCAAACAGCCAGAAAACCGCCGCCGCCACTGCCCGCTGAAATCGCGGAAGAAAAATGGGCAAGGCTCGATTTGCGCAGACGCACCGAGTTTGAAATCACGGTCCACGAAGCGAGACAGGCCAGGGAACGGTATGAAAATATTTTGGAACAGCAGAAGGCAAGCGTCGTGGAGCTGACGGAGGAACTCCTGAAGAACGCCGAGGGCTGGCTGTGGCTCGCTGATGAGGAATCTATTGATGAAATTGAACCAGACAGAGCTGTTTTGGTAGGTTGGAGAGGGTTGTGAAATTTGAGGAAGATCTGGGGAGATTTGAGAAAGTTCTGGCCAAAAAGGGAACTGTGACGATTGGGGAAACCGAAAAGTATTGGAAAACACCTGTTTTTACCTAAGATTTTACCTAAGAACATTCAAAAAGTTGGGAAAAAACATTATTTTAGGTAAAAGAAAGTGATGATAATATAAAATTTATTGCTCTAAAATTTCGCAGATCCATATAGAAATGCTGTAAAACACCTATTCTGGCTTGTTCTATCAAAAAACATCCAAAACTCAAAAATATTTTGCTTAAGACAACTAAAATGCCAAATTTTTTTTGATTAATCCCATGGATAACATAATTTCCTTTTTATGTCCCATAATCTGTCCCAAAATAGACGCTATTCACTAAAACCGTATGAAAAACACCAAAAAAAGTCAAAAATTTAAGTCCAAAATGCCAAGTATAATATACCTTTTTGGCGGAGTTGGACGATCAGGGAGAAGTACGATTGGGGAAACCGAAAAATATTATTTTTCTTTGATGCAAGTGTCGAGATCAGGATAATCTAAGGTGCTGATTTCGAAAAAGTTTTTTTGATTCTTACTTTTTTCCATAAGTAGTACTGTAAAGTAGTAATTTTTTGATTTTTTTCATGAATATCGATTTGGGGGTTTTCGATGGTGCTGATTTTAAATCAGAAAAAATGAATACGATTTTTGAAATCAACACCGTCGAAACCCCCTAAATCGAGTATTCATGAAAAAAATCAAAAAATTACTACTTTACAGTACTACTTAACGAAAAAAGTAAAGATCAAAAAAAATAATGAATGTTATTTTCGAAATCAGTACCCTCGATTATCCTAAATTCGACGCTTGCATCGAAGAAAAATAATACTTTTCGGTTTCCCCAATCGTACTTTCCCCGATCGTCTAACTCCGCCAAAAAGGTGTATTATACTTTACATTTTGGACTAAAATTGATTTTTTTGTGTTTTTCAGACGGTTTTAGTGGATAAAGTTTGTTTTGGGACAGATTATGGGACGTAAAAAGGAAATTATGTTATCCATGGGATTAATCAAAAATAATTTGGGATTTTAATTGTCTTAAGCAAAATATTTTTGAGTTTTGGATGTGTTTGGATAGAATAAGCCTGAATAGCTGTTTTACAGAATTTTTACGTGGATCTACGAAATTTTAAAACAATAAATTTTATATTATCATCACTTTTTTACCTAAAATAATGTTTTTTCCCAATTTTTTGAATGTTCTTAGGTAAAATCAGATGGTTTCCCAGATGACAAAAGACTGTAGTTTGTGCTGAAACAGGTTTTGTTTCAGGAACTTCAAGAACGCAACGAGGAAATCCGAAAAATCCGTTCGAACTACCTGTTCGAAGTAATCACTGCCCTAATTAATGTCCACCGAACCTCAAAAGACGACATGTCCGTCCTAAATGTGGCTAGACTGATTGTCGATCCCAAGTTTGATATTTATACAGTAAGTTTGGGTTAAAATTTGTAAAATTTTTTGAAAAAATTGAGATTTTTTGGAAAATTTTTTGATTTTTTTCGATTTTTTCGGTAATTACAACAAAATTACAGAGTAAAATAATGTAAAAATTCATTTTAAACCATTTTCAGCTCCTACCAAAGTCCGATCTCCGCAAAATCCTCCAAAACATTTCGAAAAGCGGCGCCGCCCTTCTCCATTGATCCGAAACATTTGTTTCCCCCTCCGGACATGACTGTTAAATTCTTGAAAATTTCACTTTAATTAACAGAACAATAAATTAAGAGTATTATAAACGCTTTTTCACATCGAATTTGGACTTTAGACTTCGTCAAAATCGATTTTTTACCTTATTTTAGGTGATTTTTACGATTTTTTTGATTTTTTAAATAATTTTTAATGGTTTTTGTGGTATTTTTTGATTTTTTATCAATTTTTAGGGCTTGTAGAGAAATTCTGAGGGCATTTTAGCTTTGTAGAGATGAGATTTGATATTAAAAATAGCAGATTTTGATATTACTTTAGGTCGTTTTCGACTTTTTTGTTGCTTTCTTTATGTAAAAGCTGATTTTTGATCATTATTTTGAAGAATAAGCCAACACAAGGTCCTTTCCGCAATTTTACAGCAGGTTTTCTGTCAACTTGCCACCAAAAAAACGGAATGGGCGTCCCTTTTCTTTATCAGTTGACCTCCATTTCTTTTTGCCTTTAAACCACAAACAAAGTGGACTTCGACCCAGAAAAGCCCGCCACATGATTCGAACAGACAGAAAATCTCGCATCGCCTACCGAACGTGTACCTTGGACAGTTTTTTGCAGAGATTTGGGAGCAGTTTTTGGGCTGGGTATTAGGTGGTGTTAGATGAAAAAAATGGATTTTGTGGGGGAGGTTGGATATTTAGTGGGTTGATTTGGATTAGAAAGGATTCAAGACAGCATTGTGGTTTGGTGTAGAGGGATTTGGAGGGTTATGAAACGATTTTTGTTGATATTTTAGCTCTATATTACTTTAGGTGAAAGGATATTTTTTGATGTCAAAAGTAAGGTGAAAGTCTAGGTTTGTGGGGTGAGAAACAACGCTGGTGGTCTAACAGGGTCAGACATATAACAGGACAGCTTTTTTAAAGCTTTCTATTGCTTGAAATTTGAGATTTTTTGAAAATCCAGGGGATTTTTTGAATTTTTTTTTGCGATTTGATGAAGAGTGTGGGGTAAAATACGAACAAAATAGTTTCCTGCATGTTTTTTATTAGTTTTTGAATGCTCGAAAAAGAATTTTTCTTTCTTTTCTCTAGTGGGATCGAACCCAGGACCATTTGACCGAAAATCGAAGTCATTGCCACTAAACCACAGCGACACGCACAGTTTCTTTTTGCCAAATTTAGAATAAACAAGCTGTTTTTATAGCACGCTGCCCAAATTTCGATGCAGACTGCAACATAAAATTTTTTTGACATTGTACTTGACATCTTGCCCCCTTCAGAATATTCGATCTATAACAACATAAAAAAGTTAATGATTAATTTTAAAAAGATTGTTTTCATGTTATTTTGGATGTTCTGTGGTGATTTGCAGAGCAAAAAGCGCTGAATGACCAAAGAAATGATCAGGATCGAATTTTTGAGCCGCATGTTTGTTATCAAAAACAAAATTTACTTTGTAAGAAAAACTGTTTTACTATTTTTTTTTTTTTGAAATTGACTTTTTGATGATGTTTGTGAGATGTTGTGTTCCGTACGAAATTTTTTTTGACTTGTTTTTTTATAACAAAAAAAAATTTTTTTGGAATGTTTTATTTTTGTCCTTTTCGGATTTTCGGCCGATTTTTAGATGTTTCTCAAAGTTTTCGACACTTTTTTATCGCGATTTATAATTTACATGAGGGTAGGAGTAATAAAATATAGGAAATTTCAGGTAAATCCCTGGTTTTTCTCGATTTCCATCTTGTTTTTTGACTTCTCCAGCAGCTGATCTAAAACAATGTCCAGAGCGAAAGGTAGGACCATTTTTATTTTGTTTCTCTTGATTTTAGGCAAGAATAAGGGGGTAGGAAGGTATATCAGCATGAATCGGCGCAAGATTTTATCAATTTTCTCGGTTTTTTGAGCTCAAGACATCAGATGTCAAGTGCAATATAAACATCGTTAAAAATGGATTCTAAATTGCATGTGTTTCAGATATCTTCATTGTCAGTGCCAAGAGAACGGCTTTTGGAACATTCGGCGGAAAGCTGAAGGGTAAAAATGCCACGGAACTCGCTGAAATCGCCGCTCGAGGAGCTCTGAACGCCGCTTCAATCGACCCACAGCACATTGATCACGTTATTATTGGTGAGTTGAGCTGTCGAAATAGCTTCGATATGAATCTTTCTTAAATTTAAGAAAAGAAATTTGAGGTTTTATTGGAATTTCGGCGAAAATTTTAGATTTTTTCCCAGCTAGCACCTAAAATAAGGTATTTTTTAAAATTTTGTTCAAAATATTGATGTGAGAGAAGTGTAAATGGTTTAGAAAGCCAGGAAATTTATGGTAAACGTTATAGGAAATGTTATGCAGTCGTCAAAATGCGCCGCCTACCTGTCCCGGCATGTTCTCCTTCGAGTTGGTATCCCAATCGAAAAACCCGCCGTTACTATCAACAGACTGTGTGGATCCGGCTTCGAAGCCATCACGCAAGCTGCTCAGGTATGTCTTCTATCTTATTAAAGTGTAAAACCGGATGTTAAAAAGTTTTTGACTTTAGCTTTGACCGATATTACTTTAGGTGGAGTAATATCAAAAAAGTTGGATTTTTTGTGATTTTGGTTAAGTTATGGAGGTGTAGAGGTAGACAGATGTATGAAACGGTAGAATGCATAAGTTTGACAGTTTATTTTCAGCAAATCCTCGCCGGAGACTCGGAAGTTGTACTTGCCGGAGGTACCGAAAACATGAGTCAGGGTCCATACGTTGTCCGCCAGGGTCGTTTTGGCATCCCGCTGGGTGCAAATGTGGAGGTAAGAGGGGTTTAAAATATTACTGAAGCTTTTCTTGCCCTTATTTTCTTCATGAATACCACTTTTTGTGAGGAATTGATCCTTTTCACCGTATTTTACAAATAAATTACTGATGGTTTCAGTTCGAAGACGTCTTATGGGCCGCTCTCACCGATCAGTACACCAAAATTCCGATGGGACTGACGGCAGAAAAGTTGGGCGCAAAATACGGAGTAACGAGACAAGAGGTTGATACCTTCGCCCTGGGCTCGCAGACTCGATGGAAGCTCGGTAAGTGACGTTTGTGAGCTCTAAAGAGTTTTTTTGGTTGAAAGGAAAGTCAAGATTTTTGTTTTGGTCAAGCGGGAGTCGAACTTGGGCCAATTTTTTTCTGGGATGGCAGAAATTTTTGCCACTGCACTATTGAGGTACATCTCTTGATTATGTCAAAAAACGAGAAAAAAATTAATTTGACGGAAAATTTGGGTATTTTGAGACCGATCTTGGAAAAGTTTAGAGCTGACTTGCCTAGTGTACTATAAATTTTTTTTTCGGTTTTTCGCGATTTTTTGTTGATAATCGTTCTCGGTTATAGCCAACAACGCCGGATACTTCAAAGCCGAGATTGAGCCGCTCAAACTGAAGACCAGAAAAGGAGAGGAAACCTTCGAAGTTGATGAACATCCCAGGGAAACCACTGCCGAATCTCTGGCCAAACTCCCCCCAGTATTCCAAAAAGACGGCCTCGTCACTGCTGGAAATGCCTCGGGAATCTCGGACGGAGCCGCCGCAGCCGTTGTGGCCAGCGCCGAAGCCGTTCAGAAGTACAAACTGCAGCCCTTGGCCCGTTTGGTCGACTGGAGAGCGGTCGGATGCGACCCGACCATCATGGGCATCGGACCGGTCGGAGCGGTGGAGTGGATCCTCAAGAAGCACAAATTGACCTTTGACAATATCGACTTGGTTGAGGTAGGATTTAGCGCAGTTTTGAGAAATATTTTTTTTTTGATGGGAGGGTTGGTCAAGGAGAATATAAAATTTGATCGAAAAAGCATGATTTTTTGATTAATTCAGAATTCTTTTTGATTGATATTGATGGAAAAACGTATATCCATCTTTTTCGATTCGTATTTTACCAAAATTTTTATTTCGAAAAATTTCTTTTGTTGACGATTTTTTAATTTTTAGGTCAATGAAGCCTTTGCCGCCCAAGTTTTATCAGTCCAAAAGGCCCTCAAGATCCCTAATGAGAAGTTGAACGTGAACGGAGGAGCTATTGCCCTTGGCCATCCTCTGGGAGCCTCTGGAGCCAGAATTACCGCCCATTTGTGCCATGAATTACATCGCCGCAACGGCAAATACGCCATCGGATCGGCTTGTATTGGCGGCGGCCAAGGAATCGCCGTCCTCCTGGAGAAGGTCTAAGCATTTTGTTCAACGCGATATATTTGGTTGTATTCGTAGAATAAATCTATTACAATTCCTGATGTCTAATATAAATTTTGGCGGAAATGTGTGGCAATTTGAAGTTTTTGGGGGTAAAATGAATATGTGGAGTTCTGTAGACTCTGGAGAACCATAGTAAATTTGCTGAGAACTGTGAAAGCGTATTTTACAAAACACGGATGACTCTGTGGGGTCCCACCACGAAAATATTGCAATGCCAAAATTTCTTGGCATTACGTTATTCGTAATATTTTTAGTCAGGAAATTTGTTTTTTTTTTTGAGAAATTCCCTGGAGAAAGAAACGGCCAAGATTAGTCCATGTTTTTGGAAATTTTGCTTTTGATTTGGACAGATTTATATATTGCACTTGACATCAGGAAGTCTAGAGATAAAAAAGCCGCCAAATTAGTCAAAAACAATGGTTATTTCAACTTCAGGCGACCTCCTTGTCACCTAAAGTCAAAAGAAACAAGTAAAAGCCGGCTCATCGTTAGCTTTGGAAATTGTTTTAGATCCATGGCTGGAGAAAGTGATGGATAAGATAAAAATGGCGGAAAATGAGGAGTTGATCAGAAAAATTTTATATTTTTTTACTCTTGCTTCCACGCAAATTGTAAATCACTAGAAAAAATGTCCATAGCGTAGAGAAGCAGTCTGAATTCGGTCGAAAAAAATTAAAAAATAGCGTGTCCTTACACTTATAAGGTCAGTTTTTGTTTTTGGTAACAACACGTCTATGGACAACACCTCAGAGATCATTAATTTGGTCATTCAGCACTTTTTGTTCGAGAGATCAAAGCAATAATCGTCCAACACTATATGAAAAAGTAACCGCAACTTTTCGTTTGGGGCAGGCCGAATATCGGGCCAATATTTATATCCAGTGTTGCAAAATTGGTTGACTAGCTGGCCAAAGGGGTTACTCTGTGTTCATTCACACCGTAGGATAGATAGGTTGCTCATGACCAAGCTCGTGACCTATGTCGTGACCAAGGTCAAGGTGGTTGCCCAAAATTACCCGAAACGGTCTCAATTTCAAAGTCTTGACCATCATAATAAATCATTGAGACCGTTTTCGGGTAATTTTGAGCAACCACCTTGACCTTGGTCACGACCTAGGTCGCGAGCTTGGTCATGAGCAACCTATCTATCCTACGATGTGAATGAACACAGAGTAACCCCCTTGGCGCCAAGGCTTTGGCTAGCTAGTAAACCAATTTTGCAACACTGGATATAAATATTGGCCCGATACCCGATCTGCCTCAAAAATGAAGGGTAGCCGAAGTAAGCGTTATAAGTTATCTTCAATTTTTTTACATTATCATGACTAGATGATCTAGAGGCGGGATCTCAAGTACAGAATCACAAATATGTTGTTTATTGTGGTTTGAATCGGAACACACACCACGAAAAAAGACTGTTTATTCCAAATTTGTGCAACACTACCATCACTATCCATAATATTCCATGTTATGGAAAACGTGGTTGCTTCTGCACAAATTTGGATTATATAGTCTTTTTTCGTAGTTTGTGCTTCGATTCAAGCCACAATACAGAACATGTTTGTGATTTTGCACTTGTGGGTCCCTCCTTTAGATCGTTTAGTCATGATAAGGTAAAAAAAGTTGAAGGTTTATTATAGTGGTTACCTTTCGTGTAGTTTTGGATGTTCAATGGTGATTTCCCGAGCAAAAAGCGCTGAATGACCAAAGGGATTGATCGAGTTAAATTCTTTAGACTTGGTTGTTGTCTGGAACAAAAAGTTGACCTTACAAACAAGACCGCTCTATTTTTTTAGAAATTTTGATCGAATTTTGGGGTTTTTCTCAAAATTATTCACATTTTTTCTAGTGATTTGCCATTTACGTGGCTGTTCGAGAAGTAAAATGTAAAAAGTTTCAGATCCATCCCTTGATCTCACCCATTTCTATCTTATCCTTCAACTTCTCCAGCAGCTGTAATAAAACAATGTCCAGAGGCAGAGGTAAGCCAACTTTTACTTTTTTATTTTGATTTTAGGTAAGAAAAGATCTCTCTGAAGTCATAGCGACAAATTTAACGATTCGTTTTGGTTAATTTTTGCGAGATTTTGAGCTGGAGACATCTGATGTCAAGTTCAATATAAAAATTTTTGATTTTCAATGTGAAAGGGTTTCTTTCTAGATGTCTTCATTGTCAGTGCCAAGAGAACGGCATTTGGAACGTTTGGCGGAAAGCTGAAGGGTAAGAATGCTACGGAACTCGCTGAATTGGCCGCTCGGGCAGCTCTGAACGCCGCTTCAATCGACCCACAGCACATTGATCACGTTATTTTTGGTGAGTTCCGCTGTCGAAATGACTGGTTTATTATTTGTTTTCATATTTAGACGGGATGCGCTGATTTTGAAGGGATTACGATGAAAGTTTGAGATTTTTTGGATTGAAATGCCTAAAACAAGGTATTTTTTAAAATTTTGTTCAAAATATTGATGCAAGAGGAGTGTAAATGGTTTATAATGCAAGGAAATTTATTGACAGCGTTTTAGGAAATGTTGTTCAGTCATCGAAATGCGCCGCCTACCTGTCGCGACATGTTCTCCTTAGAGTTGGTATCCCAATCGAAAAACCCGCCGTTACTATCAACAGACTATGTGGATCTGGCTTCGAAGCTATCACTCAAGGTGCTCAGGTATGTTTGCTATCTTATTATAGTCAAAAACTAGAAGTTTGAAAGGTTTTGATTCCAAATTTGACCGATATTACTTTAGGTAGAGTAATATCAAAAAAGTTGGATTTTTCAGTGTTTTTAGTTAAGTTATGGAGGTGTACAGGTAGCTAGGTGTATAAAACGGTAGAATGCATAATTTTGACCATTTATTTTTAGCAAATCATCGCCGGAGACTCTGAAGTTGTACTTGCCGGAGGTACCGAAAACATGAGTCAACATCCGTACGTTGTCCGTCAGGGCCGTTTTGGCATCCCGCTAGGTGCAAATGTGGAGGTAAGGGTTTTAAATATTTCATCAAGAATTTTTTTCCCGGTTATTTTCTTCATGAATACTATTTTTTGTGCAAAATTGACCCATTTACCGTATTTTACAAATATAAAACTGACGATTTTAGTTCGAAGACGTTTTATGGAGCCTTCTCACCGACCAGTACACTAAGATTCCGATGGGTTTGACTGCAGAAAAGTTGGGCGCAAAATACGGAGTAACGAGACAGGAGACTGATGCCTTCGCCCTGGCCTCGCAGACTCGCTGGAAACATGGTAAGAAGTGTTTTTTGTGATTACTAGGGAATAAAAAAGTTTTTGGATACGAGAAAACTAAAAAATTTTGTTTTTGTCTAGGTGGGCTCGAACCTGCGCCAAAATTTTTTTGCCATAATTTTTTACCACTGCGCTATGGGTGTACATGGGCGAATATTTTTGTGAAGTGATGGGGAATGGGATCTAATGGTTAATTAGAGGGTGCAGAAGTGACTTTGGACATTTTTTGGGATTTTTTGAGCTAGTGTAATATAATTTTTTTTCTGATTTTCGAAAAAATTTCTCTAATTCCTTTCTGTTTTAGCCAACAACGCCGGATACTTCAAAGCCGAGATTGAGCCGCTCAAACTGAAGACCAGAAAAGGAGAGGAAACCTTCGAAGTTGATGAACATCCCAGGGAAACCACTGCCGAATCTCTGGCCAAACTCCCCCCAGTTTTCCAAAAAGACGGCCTCGTCACTGCTGGAAATGCCTCGGGAATCTCGGACGGAGCCGCCGCAGCCGTTGTGGCCAGCGCCGAAGCCGTTCAGAAGTACAAACTGCAGCCCTTGGCCCGTTTGGTCGACTGGAGAGCGGTCGGATGCGACCCGACCATCATGGGCATCGGACCGGTCGGAGCGGTGGAATGGATCCTCAAGAAGCACAAATTGACCTTTGACAATATCGACTTGGTTGAGGTAGGATTTAGGCCAATTTTGAGAGTTTTTTTTTGAGGGGAGGGTTGGTCATGGAGAATATAAAATTTGATGGAAACAGTATGATTTTTGGTTGATTTGAGGTTTTATTAGGTGTAGAATAGAAAAAAAGTAGGAAAATGTATTTTACCTGTTAATAAATTCATTTGTGGGATGCCTATTTGAATTTTAATCTAAATTTTGCCATAAATTTCCAAAATTTGGCTAAAAAATGGGAATTTCAGATAAATTTTGGAATTTTTTTGGATGGATATGTGCAGAGAATTCTTAAACTGCCTTTATAAAGTCATTTTTCCCAAAATTTTGAGTTTTATTTAAAAAAATTGATTTTTTTTGTGAATTTTTGTCAATTTTAATAAAAAATTTTTTATTTCCAGGTCAATGAAGCCTTCGCCCCTCAAGTTCTGGCTGTCCAAAAAGCCCTCAATATCCCCAGTGAGAAGTTGAATGTGAATGGAGGAGCTATTGCACTTGGCCATCCGTTGGCAGCCTCTGGAGCCAGAATTACCGCCCATTTGTGCCATGAATTACATCGCCGCAACGGCAAATACGCCATCGGATCGGCTTGTATTGGTGGCGGTCAAGGGATTGCGGTCCTCCTGGAGAAGGTCTGAGCATGTTGTTCAATGTGATCTATTTGGTCGTGTTCGTAGAATAAAGCTATTACAATTCCTGATGTATAGTATAAAGTTTGTCGAAAAAATGAAGTAAATGGAAGTTTCTGAGTGTAAAATGAATAACTAAGGCCGACATTAAGTCTAAATTAGCAGAAAAAATATAAATAAATGGTGTGTATTACGTATTTTACAAACATCGCCATCCTACTTAAGTCCCACCACGAAAATATTGCAATGCCAAAATTCCTTGGCATTATGTTTATTTCCAATATTTTTGGTCGGAAAACGTTCCTGAAGGATCTCAGCTGCAGAATAGCACGTATTTTAGAAGTTGCTGGTTGTTCTCACCTAGTCTTGTAAGTATTTCTTTTTTTGTTGATTTTTAGGGTCAAGACATCTAAAGTAATATAAATTTCTTTATTTTTGTCCATGTTTGATCGAGAAATGGAAAGTAAAATATCTTTAGACCACCCTGGAGCGCTCCAAGCTCCTTTCCGGCGTCGCGAAGTTTGTTTACTTCGAAATCGCCGCAATTGGCGGCTGCTACGGAGTTTTTGTGTTGTGCCGAAGAAACGAGCCGGTTCGACGCTTCCTTCACGACAATTTCCCGCGAACATTGGAGCTGTATTACAAGTCAGAGGACTTAATATCAGGTGGAAGGCATTTTGGGCAACAACGGAAACATTTGGACCGAAAATTGTGGTCCGGGGAGGAGAAGGAGCCGGAAGTGGTTTAGAGGCTGAAATTGAACTGGAACCGGAATATTAGTAAGGTGAGTGGATGTTAGAAGATGAATAAGGGATTTTTACGTCTTTTGCAAAGTGTTTTAGATTGTTTAAGGCTCAGGTATTATTTTAGAGACCTTTTTTATATTGTAGTAGGTACAAAAAAAAATTGTCAAAAAACTGTCTAAATCAAGATTGTAGATGTCCGGTTGGTGTTTAGAAAACTATTTTCTTCCTATTCTTTTATTTTTTCATCAAAAAATCGGTTTATATAATATTCCTCTATCGGGAATCGAACTTGCGACCCAATTTTTCCCAGCTCACTGCCACTACGCCATGTATGCAAAATTTCCAAAAACCCCAAACTTTTTTCCAGGTGTCGTATTTCACCCCTTTTTTCTTTCAGCCCTCCAAAAATGGGATTTTTTGGCAGGCTATGGAGCCGTTTCCTCAACCATCGTATCACTCAACACCAATCCAAATATTATCAAAAATTCGCCGCTTGTGTTGTCATATCCGCCACATACTACTGGTATTTGACGATCAAGGAGAATCGTGACGTTCGCCGACCAATGTCTGAGCTGTCTTTCCAGAAATACGTCGAACTTCGGAAGGAATTGGGCAAGGACGTCTGATTTTCTCAAATTTTAGGTCATTATTATGTTATAGCAAAGTTTTCTGTTGACTATTAGTTTGTTCGATGACTAATAAAGCTATTTTTGTTGATTTTGATATTTGAAAATTGCTTTTGACAAGGTTTTGAGCCTAAAATATCAAAAAATCTCATGGATAATATAATTTAATGAATTTTTGTGGTCTAAAATGCGGTCAGAAGGCCTTGAAATGGAGTTTTGAACTATTTAAGAGTCAAATTTTTGATTTTCTCCATTTTTGAGATGGTGTGTCTGGATGGCTTAGTGGTAGTGAGTTAGCCAAAAATTCGGCGCAGGTTCGATCCCGGTTGGATGAAAAGTGATAAAATCGTGTGAAAACTTTTTTTTCATGGCTGTGTTTGATTTTACATTCAATTTCAGCTTCTGAATTTTCGTATTTTACCTAAATTTCCGCGTTTTTCCATAAAAATCAAGCTAAAGGTCAATTTGTAGATGTCAGGACCTTTCCAACGAGTTCCCCCTGCCCCAACGCCCCCTCTAAAAGGCTCATTTCCACTGGATCACGACAGTCAGTGTCGTGGGGAGATGTATGAGTACATGAGATGCCTGAATTCACAAAAATCAATGGGAGCGGAATGTAAACCCTTGGCCAAGCTCTATCTCCAATGCCGAATGGACAAGGGTCTCATGGAATCGGACGAATGGAGCCGATTGGGATTCAAAGAAGACGATTTGAAGAGAGCGGATGAATTGAGCAAGAAGCCCTGAGAAAATTTATATTATCCATGATGGTCAAAAGAAATAGTTTTTTTGGTTGTTTGCTGGTGGTAATAAGAGCTTTAGGCGGTTGAATTACGAAGTTTATGAATTGTTTTTTCTTGTTGTTGATTTTGGAATTGAAATTTGGAGGGATTTGAATAAAAAATAATAAAAATAATATTGGACTTGATGTGTAATATAATTGAATTTTTGAGGATGTTTTTGATATTTAGACGCCCTTGAATGCGTCCGAAATGATGTAGCATTTCATAATCTTCATGGCAGTCTCAATAAATTCAAAAAAATTTGAAAAAATTTGCATAAAATTTGCAAAAATCTCAAAAATCCCACAAATTCTTGAGAAATTCAAAATTTCTCAAATTCAAATCAATCCCATCCACCGACCGGTCAATTTCCGACGCTGTTATTCGATTGACTCCAATGTCAGCGCTTCAGCTAGTCGTTCTAGCGATCTTCGTCGTTGTGTCAACGCTTTTCGGTCACGAAAATGGAACAATTCTGAGTGAACAGAATGCCGAGGGAGAACCCGGTTGCGATGAGAGCTGTAAACCAAAAATTGATCGGAATAAGATGTAAGAAGGGAATGGTACTCTTTGAGATCGTTGATTTGAGATTTGGCACATTTTATACGATTAAACATGTTTGATCGTATAAGACGTCTCCTAAGCCTTCAAGGCCTTCAAACGCGGAATTTTGCGTTTATGTAGGTCAAGAATGCTATTAGAGACATGAGGGTTATAAAAATTACGCGTTTCTTATTCGGATCTTGGCTTTGGTGACATTTTATACGATATAATTTTTTATCGTATAAAATGTCTCTTTTATGAAAATTTTAGTGTCAAGTGTACTATCCGTATTTTATAAACGCTTATTTAATGGAATCGACACGATTTTTGCCATTTTAACAAAATGTCACAAAGTTTTTGCAAAAATCAATAATTTTTGTGACATTTCGTCAAATTGCCAAAATGCCCCGAAAATTGTGGCGGTTGTTATTGGAATTGTTCTATTTCAAGTAATCTTTGATTTTCAGTCACTTGGACAACACAGAATGCATGGAATTCCGCTTGGCAACCAAAATGATCCGAACTCAAAACTTTGGCTTCGAAATTAAAGGCGATTTGAACCACAGAGGAACTAATGTGTAAGATAAAATCCTACATTATGTCTCCAAGACTTTTGGAGACTAAATTTTACACTCGAAATTCCCATTGTTTAGGGTGCAATTCTTCTTCGGAGAGAATGAAACGATGGGCATGAGGGTGACTGTAAACAGTTCTGGAACGCTCATTGAGGATCGTAAGTGAGAAATATTGATTGATAGCGCTATTGGGGCAGAAATTTACAATTCACAACTCTCGCGAGAAATTTTTGCGTGAGCCAGGAATCGAACCTGCAACCTTTAGATTTCTAGTCTAACCCACTACCACCAGACTAAACTGACACTGGTGCTGAAATTTCAGGAAATCGAGCCCTGAGTGCCAACGTTGTGAAATAAGTGTCTAGAAAGTTATACAAAGTCATATTTATAGCATAAAATTCACTTTATCGTTGTGATTGCCAGTTTTCCGCTGATCTTTTAAAAATTTTTAAAAATCTTCAGCCGAATACGTGTCTCAGCTCAAGTTCAACTCTGAGATAACAGAATACAGATTCGATAAGACGAAAATCAAGATCTCGGGCGCCGGCGGACAACTCGACCGACCGGCCGAACTGAACCTTAATGCGCCGCTGGGCGAAAAAGTAGAAGGTAGCGAAAGAGAGGTGAATATCACGGTGGTGTTCGACAAAATTGAGCCTCGTAACTTCTTGGTGGTCCAATTTGTAAGTCAAGTTCGAAATGAGACCGATTTACCAATGCGGTGACATTTTATACGACGAAACTTCTTGTCGTATAAAATGTCGCCTAGCTGGAAATTTTAGCGTTTAAAGTAACCGCAAGACATTTATTAGTAACTTCTAGACAAAAAATGCAGTATGAAATTTTTTGGCGCCATTTTATACGATAAAAAATTTAATATATCAATTTTGATTTTTTTTTAATTTTTATAGCCTATAGAGTAATTTCCATCGTTTTTAGTTTGAGGGAATCACTCTGAACGCGGTTGCATACCCAAGCTTCGATGACCATGGAGCAGGAAGTCATATAAAAAAGCCCAAGCACTATACTGGAAGTCCGCAATCTTCGTGGAAAATGCCCTTGATCTTTATTTGCGGGTCCTTGTAAGAACTTTTTAGTTACTTCAAGTTACTTTGTAGGACATCTAGTTTTCCCATGCATGGGTATGAAACCGGCTTTGACCGTTTAAGCATATTTTAGAGCAGCTTTTTATATTACACTAGATTGAAGGTAAAGTTGATGGAGAAGGTGTCTAAAATAATGTCGTAAATGACCTTAGTTGGTCTCAAACAGTGTGACATGATCGATTTCGTATTTTCCTGTTTGATTTTCATTTTTTTAAAACTTTGCTCCAGCCGGACTCGAACCCGCGACCTTTTTTTTGTCCTAACTGACTACCACTGCGCCATATGAACACATGCCCTAAAATTGCTCTAAATGAGGCTAATATCATTTTTAACGATATTACGGCAATTTTCGATTTTCTATTTTTCTAAAATACGACTATAATTGCCTTTTTTCAGAGGAGCCACCCTTGTTTTTGGATGTGTTGTTGGTCTATGCGTCAGAGGCAGAGCATGGAGAGTAAGTGTTTAAAATACGGCAACGGTACTGAAAATTTGTTCTAGCGATTTTTAGGAAATTTCGTAAATCTTACTGCAGCTTTTTTACTATTTTTTGAAAATTAGGCACCTGATGACTAAAACAATATAATTTTTTCCCCTGTAAATGAAGTGATATAACTTTTTTTCAGAACCATCGACGTGAAGCGGAACTCGAAGCAGCCAACAAGCCGGGTCCCGCCCCTCCGACCAGTGTAAAAGTCAAAAAATCGGAAAAATTGGACAAATCGGAAAAGTCCGAGAAATCAGAGAAATCGGCAAAGGAATCGAAAAGTGGGCAAAGTAGTGAAACTTCAGAGAAGACTCAAACCGGCACCGACGCGAAACCCGAAAAGAAAAAGAATGCCGACCTCAGTGCTAAGGATCGCCGCTCTGCAAAAGGCGCCAAAAATAGCATTGTCTAGTCAAGTTGATTATTAGGAAATAAATATTCTGTAGTTTTGTTTGTTGTTTTATAGTTTTTTTGTTTTTAAAAAGTTTTTGAATCCATGGGGAATCGAACCGGCGACGTTTTGAATGGAAGGCCAAACTCACTACCACTACACTAAATGAACACATGAGCTGGTAAAGCGGGGAAATGATGCCTGAAGGCCATGGAGTGTAAATTATGGATGTAAAATGTATTTTTTGGATATTTTAGTGAAGATAAAAAAGGTTTAAAGTCAGTAATTTTAACCGATTTCTGCCATATTTGAGCTCAAAATTGCGCAATATTCACAGAAATTTTCGATCTATTACATCCTAATTTGCTATTAACAATAAATTTCTGCGTTGCGCTTTGTTGAAAAATGTCTGTGTTCCTCATTGATGTATACAAATGTCTTTGAAGTTCATTTCCTTTCCTTTGTGAGAACCTCACTTTTATCTTTATGTTTGATTGAATGTTGATGTTTTTTTAAATATACTGCCTTCATAATAATATATACTATATTTTATATTTAGGTATATATATATTTACATATACTATGGGTTTTTGGTTCGAGCAGATAATTTATAGGTTTGGTTACAGTGGCAGAACGCCAGATTGCACGAGGTTTCTAGTGAAGCATCGTAAGGAAGCATTTGTCAATACGCTGGAACATGACTATGACCTCTGATACATAGAAAAAAGAAAAAAGAACATAGAAAAAAGAAGTTTCGGGCGCCTAAAGGCGGCCGTAAAATTGTTGCTTCCAAAAAACATTCCGAGAATTCTTCCATTTTACAGTGGCAGAAAATGTACGAGGCTTGGAAACCTTCATCTGCCTGACAAAATATATACTTTTTAGAAAAACGAAGTTTCGGGCGCCTAAAGGCGGCCGTAAAATTGTTGCTTCAAAAAAAAACAAGCCGATAATTCTTCCATTTTACAGTGGCAGAACGCCAGATTGTACGATGCTTCTATTGAAGCATCTCAGCGATTCGAAACCCCTGCGGAGTACAGGGAGCGGCTCAGCAAAAGTGCAAACAACATTCGTAAGGAATGAAATGGACGTAGCAGAGAGAAGATTTGGCAACCTTCATCTGCATGACGTAACACAAAATGCCGACCGAATTCGATGAAAAAACCCTCAAAGTGATTGCGGAGTCTTTCGGAGCAGGGGAACGAATCTCCAATGAACAAGAAAGTTTCTTCAATGCATCATTCAGGTTTGAAAAAGCGGATCCCGCATGGATTTACGTAAAGGTAGGCTTAATTTTGCAAGTACATCAATCTGCAGGGTTTACATAGGCATAGGTTTTGGTTATGGGGCAAAAAAAGAGTAAATTAGAATTTCAGGGCTATCGTCGGAACCGGAAGACCATCAGCTTTGAAGCGAGGTTGAAGAAGATGAAAGAAACGCAAGCCAACCGCTCCACAATGCCCTCAATTTGGAAGAAATTGAGGGCACTGATGACAAAGATAACATAATAGTTCAAATCGTAAGAAACGCCTATGCAGGAAGGACTAGAACCCTGAGCAGAAAAGGGTTTTGAAAAGATGTATCTGCGTTAAAATTTTAAGACATTTACGACTTATGCAGCATTCGTAAGATTACTGCAAAACTCAGCGGAGACGCAGCATGGATACATAGAAACCATAAAGCATACAATCGTAAGTTAAATTATGCGCTTATTTTCAGACCAACAACGGCAGGGATGGAAATCGCCACAAAGAAGTTCTGTGCGCAGGAATGAGTAAGAGCGGATCAACCACGTAATTGAAGACGGTAACAACTGATCCAATCCGTTGCCACAGACAAAACGCACCTGGCAAGTGAAACAGTAGGTGATAAATAGAAAAAAGAGTTTGGTATACGTTATCGAGCAAGACGACGAGTACAACTGCGGGATCGTAAAAAATATCTAACCGAAAATAATGACTACGATATATTATCCGCCAAAAAGACGTTATTAACTGCGGAATCGTAAAAAAATATCTAACCGAAATGATGACTACGATATATTATCCGCCAAACAGACTCGTTTAATTGTGGGTGCGTAAAAAAAGATGCAAAAGACCAATTGATTTGGCAGTTTGCATCGGGAAGCGAAACCAATTCATATCGTGATTATCAAACCAGAAGAAGCTGTCAACGATCTTCTCATTTATTCCAGGACGTGCCGACTTGTGCGTATACAGTGTGGCACATATACACATGACTAATTTGCTAAAGAATGCAAACAATACGACGATTACAATTGTGGAGTCGAAATAAACACAGAGGCAGGGCAAGGAGGGTAAGTGTTCAAGAAAACGTGCGGAGACGGAGTATGGATACATACAAACCATCAAGTACACAATCGTAAGTTAAGTTAACCGCTTATTTTCAGACCATCACAGTGTACACTGATCCAAACTTATACTACGCCTGCACGCGTTTGATGAACCATATGGTTGGCCCAGAAGAGATGGCAACCGCCCCAAAGAAGTTCTGTTCGAAAATTAGAGGCGCAGGAAAAGACCGTTTTCGTAATTGAAGACGGTAACAATCCATTCAATCCGTCGTTACAGGGTAAATACAGATGGTAAATTTGAGGATTAATTCAAGCAATACGGCGGTTATAATTGCGGAGTCGTAATAATGACTGAGCCCAGCAGGGATGGCAACCGCCCGCCGCAAAGAAGTGATGTTTGCAGTAATCGTAATAATTACAGTTTGTTATGAAGAACAATTCATAGAACACCGAGGATTTTCATTTCCCAAAACCGTCATCGATTCTAACTACAGAAGAAATGGGAACAGCAGTAAGTCAGTCATAACGTGTCCAAGGGATCGTAATTAAAATTTTTGACCTGCAAAGACGATAACACGCCGTGGTATGATATTTACCAGATTCTGCGCATAACTGTGCGTAATTATTTACCAGATTGTGTGAATACTTCTGCGCCATTAAGACAACAAATGGCAATACCACAACTCATATTGTGAACTAAGGGAAGACTTAATCCGCAGTGATGGTGACAACAAACTGCTGTGAAGGATTCAAGAAACGAGTTTCGCGTAGTCATCCTGGACCTAACAAGAACATTACCGGGGGCTTTATGGATGGTATGTGGCAACTATGATCGCTTTATAGTCGCCATAAGCCGCACCCGCGAGCTGTTGATCATCATAGGCTCGAATGATGTCGATCGTCCCAGCTTCAATAGTGACAGAAGTGCGGTCGACTTCCTCTACGAATATGTGGGATCAAATTTTATTGCATGTGGCAACTATGATCGCTTCGTAGTCGCAATAAGCCGCGCCCGCGAGCTGTTGATCATTTTTTTTGAAAATTTGATAAATGATGACTAAAACAATATAAAATTTTCTCCGTAACTGGAGTGAAATAACTTTTTTTCAGAACCATCGACGTGAGGCGGAACTCGAAGCAGCCAATAAGCCGGGTCCCGCCCCTCCGACCAGTGTAAAGGTCAAAAAATCGGAAAAATTGGACAAATCGGAAAAGTCCGAGAAATCAGAGAAATCGGCAAAGGAATCGAAAAGTGGGCAAAGTAGTGAAACTTCAGAGAAGACTCAAACGGGCACCGACGCGAAACCCGAAAAGAAAAAGAATGCCGACCTCAGCGCTAAGGATCACCGCTCTGCAAAAGGCGCCAAAAATAGCATTGTCTAGTCAAGTTGATTATTCGGAAATAAATATTCTGTAGTTTTGTTTGTTGTGTTATAGTTTTTTTTTGTTTTTAAAAAGTTTATGCATCCATGGGGAATCGAACCTGCGACGTTTTGAATGGACGGCCAAACTTACTACCACTACACTAAATGAATACACGAGCTGAAATAGCGCGGAAATGATGCCTGAAGGCCATGGAGTGTAAATTATGGATGTAAAATGTATTATTCGATATTTTAATGAGGATCAAAAGGGTTTAAAATCAGTAATTTTAACCGATTACTGTCATATTTGAGCTCAAAATTGCGCAATATTCACAGAAATTTTCGATCTTCATACTCATTCGCAGTCAACAAAAAATTTCTGCGTTGCGCTTTGTTGAAAAATATCTGTGTTCCTCAATGATGTATACAAATGTCTTTGAAGTTCATTTCGTTTCTTTTGTGACAACGGCACTTTTATCTTTATTTTTGATTGAATGTTGATGTTTTTTTTTCAAATATACTGCCTTCATAATAATATATACTATGTTTTATATTTAAGTATATATATTTACATATACTATGGGTTTTTGGTTCGAACAGATAATTTATAGGTTTTGTTACATTAGCAGAACGCCAGATTGCACGAGGTTTCTATTGAAGCATCGTAATTAAGGCTTTACCAACACGCTGGAACATGACTGTCGAGCAAAATTATGGCGAATGACCTGGACTCTGAGCAGGGAAAAGGTTTGCAAACCTTCATCTGCCTGACAAAACAGAAATGTTACTACTGTAACATAGAAAAAAGAAGTTTCGGGCGCCTAAAGGCGGCCGTAAAATTGCTGCTTCCAAAAACATGCCGATAATTCTTCCATTTTACAGTGGCAGAAATTCTACGAGGCTTCTATTGAAGCATCTGAGCGATTCGAAGCCCCTGCGGAGTACAGGGAGCGGCTCTCAAGAAGGGTGCAAACAAGCCTCGTAAGGATTGACGTGAGTTGGGTAGGCACCGCCCGTGGACCACTGAGCAAAGAAGATTTGGCAACCTTCATCTTGAAGACTAAACACAAAATGCCGACCGAATTCGATGAAAAAGCCCTCAAAGTGATTGTGGAGTCTTTCGGAGCAGAGGAACGAATCTCCAATGAACAAGAAAGTTTCTTCAATGCATCGTTCAGGTTTGAAAAAGCGGACCCTGCATGGATTTACGTAAAGGTAAGCTTAATTTTTCAAGTAAGTGAATCTGCAGGGTTTACATAGACATAGGTTTTGGTTATGGGGCAAAAAAAGAGTGAATTAAAATTTCAGAGTGTGATACTAGTCCTTCCGGAAAGTCGCCGGACGGAAATCGGCGACATGCACTCCGCGAAAACGAAAGTTCACTTTGCACTGTGCAATTTTTTGCTTTTCGCACCGTGCAATAGGCTTTTTTCGGGTGTCGCTCGCACCCTGACTTTTTTCGCACAGTGCAAACGCCAAAAATCAGTCCGGCGACTTTCCGGAAGGACTAGTATCGGGAATCGGAAGACCATCAGGTTCAAAGAGAGATTGAAGAAGACGAAAAACGGAAGCTAACCGCTTCCCAATGCCGTAAATTTGGAAGACCATGAAGTCGATAATGATGCAGATATCGTAAGAAACGCCGATGGCGCAAGGACTAGAACCCTGGGCAAAAAAGGGATTTGAAAAGACGTATCTACGTAATTTCCAGCGATTTTTGACTTACGCAACGGTCGTAAGATTACTGCAAAACTCTGCGGAGACAGAGCATGGATACATAGAAACCATAAAGCATACAATCGTAAGTTAAATTACGCGCTTATTTTCAGACACACAAAGCATACACTAATCCAAATTTCTACTACGCCTGCACCCATTTGATGAACCATATGGTTGGGCACAGCAGGGATGAGAACCGCCCTAAAGAAGTTCTATTCAAATTCATGCGAGAATACGGCGCAATTGAAGACGGTAACAACTGATCCAATCCGTTGCCACACAGAAACTCAATTTGGCAAGTGAAAGAAGTCGTAATAGACAAAAAAAATCGGTATACGTTATCGAGCAAGATGACGAATACAACTGTGGGATCGTAAAAAAATATTTAACCGAAATGACGACTACGATATATTATCCGCCAAACAGACTCGTTTAATTGCGGGTGCGTAAAAAAATGCAAAATACCCATTGATCTGGCAGCTTGCATCGGGAAACGAAATCAATTCATACCGTAATTATCTAACCAGAAGAAGCTGTCAACGATCTTCTCATTTATTCCAGGACGTGCCGACTTGTGCGTATACAGTGTGGCACATATACACATGACCAATTTGCTAAAGAATGCAAACAATACGACGATTACAATTGTGGAGTCGAAATAAACACAGAGGCAGGGCAAGGAGGGTAAGTGTTCAAGAAAACGTGCGGAGACGGAGTATATATTATCCGCCAAACAGACTCGTTTAATTGCGGGTGCGTAAAAAAATGCAAAATACCCATTGATCTGGCAGCTTGCATCGGGAAACGAAATCAATTCATACCGTAATTATCTAACCAGAAGAAGCTGTCAACGATCTTCTCATTTATACCAGGATGTGCCGACTCGTGCGTATACAGTGTGGCATATATACATATGACTAATTTGACGAAGAATTAAAACAATACGACGATTACAATTGTGGCGTCGTAATAAACACAGAGGCAGAGCAAGGCGGAGACGGAGTATGGATACATACAAACCATCAAGCACACAATCGTAAGTTGAATTAAGCGCTTATTTTTAGACCAACAAAGCGTACACTGTTCCAAACTTCTACTTCGCATGCACGCGTTTGATGAACCATATGATTGGCCCAGCAGAGATACCAACCGCCCCAAAGAAGTAGTGTTCGAACTACTGGAAGATTAGTGAACGACGTAATTGAAGACGATAACAACCGATTCAATTCGTTGTTACAGAGAAAATACAGAGGACAAGTTGACGAATAATTCAAGCAATACGACGGTTACAGCTGCGGCGTCGTAATAATGACTGTTTGTTGTGAAGAACAAGTTCATAGAACACCGAAGATTTTTATTTCTCAAAGTCGTCATCGTTCGTCGAGGTGTAATATTTGCCGGATTCTGTGCATATTATACAGGGGTGTACTAAAAAAATGGAAACTTGTTTTTATAGCCACATTTTTTCAGAGAATTGCGACTCCAAACTTTTGTGGCGTCGTAATAAACCGAGGCAGATCAAGGAGAGTGAGCGTTCAAGAAAACGTGCGGAGACGGAGTATGGATACATATAAACCATCAAATACACAATCGTAAATTAAGCGTTTATTTTCAGACAAACAAAGTGTATACTGATCCAAACTTCTACTACGCCTGCACCATTTTATGAACCATGTGGTTGGACACAGCAGGGATGGCAACCGCCCCAAGAAGAAGTGGTTTGCAGTAATCGTAATAATGACAGTTTGTTGTGAAGAACAAGTTCATACAACACCGAGGAGTTTTATTTTTCAAAATCGTCATCCACCCTGACTACAGAAGAAATGGGAACAGCAGTAAGTCAGCCATAACGCGTCCAAGGGATCGTAATGTAAATTTTTGACCTGCGAACACGACAACACGCCGTGGCTTTTTTACTAGATTCTGTGCATACTTATGCATAATTAAAACAACAAATGGCAATACCAAATTTCGTATTGTGAAACTCTGGAAGACTGAATATGTTGTGAGGTGACAACAAACTGCTGTGAAAGATTCAAGCAAAATTTAAGAAACCTGATCATGAGCTGGGCTTCGGGCTCAACCTGATCAATAGGCCTCTTAACGAACGACTTCACCAATGTAGTCATCGGCTGACATTTTCTTACAGTCTCGGACAAGATAATGCAAGTCGATGTGGTGCGCCGACCAGAGATCTGCTGAGATACAGTTAACGCTTCGATAGGATGCACTACCATTATGCCGTTACTCAGTTTCCAAGAAAGAACCAACAAGGTCCGTCCGTCATACAGCAAAAACGTAAGAAGCGGAGAGCTTGAGAGTACAGTGTCGTAATTATTTATATATAATCTACGAGGCAAGGACGGCTAATGTCCAGTCAAGGGCTACAAACTATAGTGAAGGATTCAAAGATATCTAGGGTCGGACGCAGCTCGAAACCCGATTTTTTTTTATGCCAAAAACAAAATTGCGCAAGATTCGCAGAAATTTTCGGTCTTCATACTGATTCGCAGTCAAAAATAAATTTCTGCGTTGCGCTTTGTCGAAAAATATCTGCGTTCATCAATGACGCCCACAGAAATCATTTCGTTTCTTCTGTACGAACGCCATTTTATCTCTATTTTTGAGGGAATGTTGCTTTTTTAATATACTGCCTTCATAACATACTATGTTTTATTTTTAAGTATATATATTTACATATATGAAACAGTTGGAAGATCAAGAACAATTTGTGTTTTATGAAAGCGTGAGGTTGAGTGGAGAAAACCACGACTTGGAAATGGAAATCAGCAAAGTCTATGGAAGATTGAAATCTTCAAACAGGAAATTGTTTATGAAGGATTTCGGCTCTTTGGTAAGTGTTTGTTTTTTTTGAGTGTGCGCCAAATTGAAAAATGTGTTTTTTTATACAAAATTTTTATATATTATTATTTCAGGAGAGGAGCGAAAAGGACTAAACCCGCGCACGAAAGAAGGAGAATAATGAGCATCTAACAATAAGCAAATGTTGGTATGGTAAAATTATTATTATCGTAATTGAAGACGGTAACAATCCATTCAATCCGTCGTTACAGGGTAAATACAGATGACAAATTTGACGAATAATTCAAGCAACACGACGGTTATAATTGCGAGTCGTAATAATGACTGGGCCCAGGAAAGACGGCAACCGCCCCAAAGAAGTGATGTTTGCAGTAATCGTAATAAAGACAGTTTGTTGTGAAGAACAAGTTCATAGAACCTCGAGGATTTTTATTTCTCAAAGTCGTCATCGACCCTAACTACAGAAGAAATGGGAACAGCAGTAAGTCAGCCATAACGCGTCCAAGGGATCGTAATGTAAATTTTTGACCTGCGAAGACGACAACACGCCGTGGTATGATATTTACCAGATTCTGTGCATAACTGTGCGTAATTATTTACCAGATACTGTGCATACTTCTGCGTCATAAAAACAACAAACGGCAATACCACAACTCGTATTGTGAAACTAATGGAAGACTGAATCAGCAATGATGGTGACAACAAACTACTGTGGAGGATTCAAGAAACAAGTTTCGCGTAGTCATCCTGGACCTAACAAGAAAATTACCGGGGGCTTTATGGATGGTATGTGGCAACTATGATCGCTTTATAGTCGCCATAAGCCGCGCCCGCGAGCTGTTGATCATCACAGGCTCGAATGATGTCGATCGTCCCAGCTTCAATAGTGACAGAAGTGCGGTCGACTTCCTCTACGAATATGTGGGATCAAATTTGAACAGTGTAATTTGCACGTGTGAGAAGCAGCCGAGAAGGTCGAGGACCGCTGAGGCTGGAAGTCCATCGGTGATATAGAACCTGATACGTTATTCACTTGCTGATATTGTGATCGGGTTTGAGGCGGACGAAGGAGTTATCCGGGACTATTCCGGCTGAAACGGTGTCCGATCCGCAGAGTGAGGAACCGATTTCCTAATAGTAGATACATGATTCAGTTTTTGTGGGGAAAAAGTTATGATTCTTTATTCCCTTTATAAAAGCGTCGCTACGACCTAACGAGTCTTGCCGGACCCGCTAGCCTACCTATCCTACCAAGCCTTATTCGTCTGCCTTAAGGGCACCACGAAAGCACTCAACAACAAATCTAAATAACAGTAATTTATTGGCCTTCTACTAAACGGGATTATCCCCACATAGGTAACTCCGATAAAAGCCGCCCTTGGGAGCTCCTATAAGAGCCGTCGAATAATACATTCAGCCGAGTATAATTGTTCAACCTTTCGAGGAAGTCGGAAGTTTGGCGGGCCGATAAGGTTGAGGCGATGACCGGAATCATGCCGGCCCGGGTCAGTTCTTGTAAATCCGCCAAGTCGACGGGCCCACGAAAAATATTACGCCGGAGCAGTATTCTGTCCGACTGGACTTCGGTCGCTAAGGACCTTGCGTCTAAGGACAAGGTATTACGGGGGCTCGCGCCAAGTCTAACGGATTCCGGCGGTAATCATGTTATAATGCTGGTCGTCTGGCCTCTCAGGCCAATCTCTGATTCAGAGTTGATCGACATTTCGAGGGGAGTTATGGGGCGATACCTACAAGTACGGTAGAAGGTGGAGCCGAAAATCAAAAAACGCCGCGAGGGTGACGTAACCCGGAAGCGGAACAAAGAAAATCGTGTGCCCGCCCCTGACGTAAAACTAAAACCTCCCCGGACGAATCATTCATTCTTCCGTCGTCTGTTTGTTGTTCAGCCCGTCGAAGGTACAGTCTCCGAGCCGACCATTCCCCAAGGTGACAAGATTCAAAGTGAAACGAAGTTCCAGAAGATCTAGTGTGAGGAGCATTAACCAAAATAAAAGCAAAACAAACGCCGACTAAAGATCTAGAGCGCGATTCTCTTTCTCTCCCGACGGAGGAAGAGATGATTGATATTTGCCCGCAACATCCTCCCAACCAAAAAGACACGACGCCCTCGTCGTCTTGCTTAACATTTTTCACCATAAAGACATACAAGCTGAGGGGCAAAATTTTGCATCTAGGATTTTCAAGACAATCTCAGCAGTAGCTAGAGAAACATGTTAATATGGTTCCTTAACGGGGGGATACTTGACCTTAAAAGACTTTCAATCAGAATGGAATGGAGTCGGGTTAAGACAAAGTATAATAAGAATCTCACTGTCTGATTAACTTCATATTCGTCTCCTACACTTGGCCATCCGTCTCGTTCTTGATTTGGTCACATGCGCTTGCTCTTGGCGCATCTTCGGCACTGTCTATTGCAGTGCTGGTCTCACTCAACCAGAAAGAGACATCGCGTCCTCGTGATGTCGACATCATTTTTTATATATTCACTCACCACCATTATATTAATATTATATATTAATTATATATTAATTATATCATTATTATATCATTACATTATATATAATTAAAATATATATCATTATATATTAATTAAAATTTACCGGGGGAGTCGTTGCCTCTTCCTTGGGTCGCTCCATTTCATCATTTTTCTCCGGTTTTTGTTGAACGTAGGGTAATATTTGAGGTACGCAGAAATTCACATCAATTTCATAAATAGTAGTGACCATACAGAATAAGAATAGATAGAAAATACAGGAACGAATATCGACAAATACCGAGCTAAAAGGCCACTCTCACTAGGGACCTCCATTTGTAGCGGGTGATGTTGACCCGTTGGTTCTAGTAGCGCAATATTTATTAGCTCAATATATGCCGATATATCGGCATATCGCGATATCATATTCCATTTTAGGTTTATTGAGGAGACTCCAAGGGTGCGCGTCCGCACCCAAGGCCTACAACAAACCCCGACTGAAGATCTAGAGCGCGATGCCCTCTCTCCCCCGACGGAGGAAGAGATGATTAATATCTGCCCGCAACACAGTTTACAATGTAGAACTTTAGGAGACAAAAGATTCAATTCTCAACGGTGTGCCAACCAGAGATTGCCACGCTCAAAATTTCGGCTCCGGCTCTTAGCTCCCAGAGCCGGAGCCGAGGCCAAATTTGAAGCTCCGGCTCTCTTGGCTCCGTGCAAAATTTAAAAAGCCTCCGGCTTCGAATCCGGCTCCTATGCAAAATGTTTTTTTAAAAATATTTTTCCAAAAATAAAAGTTATTAGTGCCAGAGATCATACATCCAACCTTTTTGCAGTCAAGTCACATCCTCCGCAGTGTTTTTTCAAGCAATTTGGTTTAACAAGATCACGAAATTTTTACTTTTCTGACGGCTGGGAAGCCTGGCTCCGACTTTGGGCTCGGGAGCCGGAGCCGACCCCAAAATCTCCGGCTCTGGCTCCCGGCTCGGAGCTGGAGACAAGAGCCGGCTCCGGAGCCGTGGCAATCTCTGGGCCATTGATCCAAGATTTGGATCGTCACGCTTTGCCCGCGGATTTTGAGCTGCGTCCCTCCAGTCATCGATTGTGTCCAACTCTTCTGCCGTCGCTGGAACCTCCAAGCGCCGTCAAGTCACTTCTAACAACTCCAAACGACAGAAACAGTAAATCAGAACAGAGGAATACACCTTTTACTAACTTTACCTGGTAAAACATTTGTTATTAGGCGGATTCATAATTATCCGGCGGTTTTATAGGCGCGTTTTTTGTTAGTTAACATTTGCGTTTTGTTAATGTTTTTTTTATAAAAACAATCTTCTCTATTTAGTTAATAAAATGTGTGTCGAAAACCATACTCTTATCCGCCATATTATGCTCTACCATTTCGAGAAAAGTTGGATGTCAGCACAGTCATTTCGCGATCTCAACGAACTTTTCGGCGAAGGAAAAAAAATCGCCAGGTGTTTCGCCCGAAGGAGTACCAAAAGACGTCCACTGTAAGAAGGCTATGTGGTATGTGTGGTGGGACAGAAGCGAAATCATCCACTGGGGAATCGTGTCTTTTTTTGTTCCTTCGCCGAAAAGTTCGTTGAGATCGCAAAATGACTGTGCTGACTGCCAACCTTTCTCGAAATGGTAGAGCATAATATGGCAAATGTAAGTATGGGTTTCGAAACGGATTTTATTAACTAAATAGAGAAGATTATTTTTGAAGAGCGCGCTCACGAAATCGGAGTTTCTTCACTTGGAGAGGGAGGTATTTTGCTACATTTTGGATGCTTCTCGGATGCAAAATGGTAGGTTTTTTGCCACTGCACTGGATCAGGTCCCCCGCTGAAATGTTTGTCGCCAAACCAAAAGTGACGAATTTTGTTCGCACCACGGACAAGATTTTTTTTTTTTAAATTTTGGCTGGATTGAAAACTGAAATTTATAAATCGCCAGCCATATATGCATGGCTACAGCTTTGTGTGAGTTGACGGTCATATTTTGAAGAAATAAACCTTTTTACATTTAAAAAGCATCCCTTCGTCATCAACATTCCTTTAAAACCTCTTAATTAACAAAAAACCGTCTAAAAATACATTTATTTCCGATTATCTATCAAAAATTCAGCAATGAATCCTACTTCGGGCCAATGGCTGCCTTTTCTTTGGGTAATTCCTTCTGAATGTTGTCCAGCTCCTCATCCCAGGCCTTCTCGATCTTGGCCCAGTGCTGGAGAAGCTCCTTTTTACGCTCTTGTCTTCGGTTGAAGTAGTATGGGTATTGTTCTCGATCAGGTCCAGTCCAATAATACGAATCCAGGATGGAGTCGTGACTTTCACGAACACGATCATAGGCACTTCCTCCGGGATCCAGGGCAACTAAAAACGTTGGATATTAGAGATAAAACTCGATTTAAAAAAATATTCTCTATGAAGATGATGGATAATATAAATTCGAATAATTCTCAGCATAAATAGAACTAAAACGGCTGCCATTGCCATTTAATTGCAAGCTTGTTAGCTGCTCCAGCTAATATTATCCATTTTATATTACCTAAAACCCAAAAACAATAAGAAAAAAGGGAAAACTTACACCTGAAGGGTTTATAATGCCTCTTCTCCCAAAGTTCGCGACAACCATCAGCCAACATGACTTGAGCTTTACGGGTGTCCTTCTCATCAGCAGCAGCGTCGAATCGAGCCCTCAGCAAGACCTGGTGGTATCGGACATCCACTCTAAAATTATATCAAAATAAATCAATTTTGTCTGCGGTGTAATATAGTAGAATCTTTTTTAGAGACTCTAAAAGCAAATAAAAATTAAGAAGAGGACTTACGGAGTTCCACCATACCAGTTGAAGACTTCTCGAAGGGCTCGCTTGTAGAGCCGTTGGACTTTTTGTTTGTGGCTCAAGGCCTTGGTGAACATCCAGGCCGGAGACTCCATGCCTGCGCCTAAAAGTTAAAATTTATAATTGTAAAAATATCAAACGGTCAAAACTTGTCAATAACGACATTTGCGATCAACAAAAAGCACGAAAAATATCTTTTTCTCCACTTGCCACAAAATGCCAACGTTTGTTTTCGTGGCAAGACGTAGAAAAATCTCTTGTTCCTCATATTTCTGCTTTTTATTTTTTTATTTTTACAGTTTCCCGGATTTCAGTTGATCAGCGGAAGTCTTCAACACAGTGATTGCACTCATCTCGGGGCAACGCGACTGTTGAATGGTGGTATTTCGGCCGTTGTTCAAAGGTTTGCGATTCCACTCAATATTGTCGATGTCGTTGTCAAGTCTGTGGTCGGTTTCATTTCTTTATTTTCTTTTCTTGATGTTTAGGTCCAAACCCTTTGACTGGTCCCACTCTTTCCCGTTGTATTGCACTTTTTATTTTTTCTCTGTCAAGTGTAATATAATTTTAAAATTTTCTCAAGCTTTTTGCATTTACGAAGTGATTAACATTCCCGGAACGACCCTTGCTGCCTTATTTTGCTTTCACATGTCTTTTTACTCAGTTTCCTTCCTTCCTGGATTAAGTTTTGGCCTAAAATAATGTTTATCCATAAAATACCCGGAAAGTTTCACAAAAAACAAGATGAATTAAGGTCCGGATTAGCTGCAGACGCCGGTTTGAAGGTCCGGTTGCAGTACGAAACCGTCTATTCAAATCAATCGGGGAAATGAAGCTTTACGGCCTGGATTTGACGCAAATCGCCCGTAAACAGGCGGATTAAGCTGGATAAGCGGATTTGTTCGTCTCGATGTCGTCCATAAAGCCATGGGCATTTCAGATACAAAGATTTGTAAAAATTGGGGCCTTTACATTTCTTGGAATTACTTTTTTCCTCGAAACTGGAATTTTTTCTAACTTTTTGCTTAAGAATCAAGTGTAATATAAAATCTTTACCACGAAACGATTCTAGGAATCGTATTTTGCTCGAAGACAAATATTGTGTTGTTTAAAGTGGGATTTGCAAAAGAAAATTTAGTTTTTTGTCTGTGGATTTGTTTTTCGGCCAAAAAAAGTGTCAGATGGAATGCGGCGGGCCCAAAAAATTGTCTCTAATCCTTGTTATGGGTTTGACGAGCGGTGGAGAGTTCTTTTTAGGAGATTGTTCGAGTTTTTTTTGGGTAAAATTTGATTTTCACGGCAAAAATAGGATTTTTTAAAATCTTCGGGGTAAAATACGGGTTACTTTTTAGTTTTTGGATTTTCAAGAGCCTTTTATGATCGTAGCAGATAATTTTAAGATTGTTATCTCTTAAACTTTTCAACTTTCCTCTTATTATTTAGCCTTTTTCCTAAATTTAGCAGAAAATTATCAAAAATGGGCAAAAACCCGCAAATTGGCATTCAAATTAAAGGTGGAAAAGTAATATAACTAATACGCAATTCCGAAAGGACACTGGTAATTGCATGAGAACGTCTTTTCATGATTATATACCCCAAAAAAAGGCAAATGTTTCCGCTCTCTCGAGGGATTTTTGGTTTAATTTTTTGAGGAAAAAAGGAAAAAATTTTTGGGTGAACTGGGTTGGAAATGGATACAAGGTTTTGGTGAAAGCGATTCTACAGCGATTTCTACCGATTTTTATCAGAAAAAAGGTCAATTTTTTGAAAGAACGGACGTTAGGGCAGTTAAATTGACCTTTTTTCTGATAAAAATCGGTAGAATTGGCTGTAAAATCGGTTTCGCCAAAACCTTGTATCCATTTCCAACCCATTTCATCCAAATATTTTCCTTTTTTCCTCAAAAAATTAAACCAAAAATCCCTCGAGAGAGCGGAAACGTTTGCCTTTTCTTGGGGTATATAATCATGAAAAGACGTTCGCGGTTGGAAATGGATGAAAACCTTACATCCGTTTCCAACCGGTCTGATTCAAATTTTCTGTTTTTTCTCAGTTTTTGGGGAAAAGTTACTTTTCCGATTTTGGAGGTCATTTATGCCTTCGATTAGGGGTTTAAATTGACCTAGAATGACCTTTTTAGTTTTATGAGATAGTCATCTAAGCCTCCGATATTCGAGTTCATCTGGGTTAAAATCTAAAACGAGATTTTACGGCGAAAATTCGCAATTAGGACGAATTTATCCTATTTTTGGACGAAAATTTGACTTTTTATAGCGAAAACTCTCTATAACGGACAAATTGGTGACTCTCATATGGATGGCTATGCCAAGGGCTCTCTGTTACAACCAAAAAATCTAAAAATTAACCTGTTTCCCCCGAAAAAACCCCCATTTTCTCAAAATTTCCCCAAAACTGGGTCCATTTTTCTTATCGATAATTTCTCAGCACCTCGCGAACCTCCTTTTGTTGTGTTTCATCCTCCAAATCACCGCAAACGCACGTCTCCCACCCCAAAATGGTGTTTTCAGCCACTCTCGCCGCCGGATTCGTGATGACCACCAAGATCCGCCCAATCGTCCTCACCGGACCCTCAGGCACTGGCAAAAGCACGCTGTTAAACCGAGCCATGAAAGAGTACCCGGACGCGTTCGCCTTCACCGTGTCACGTAGGTGATTTTTGAGGAAAAATCGGATTTTTTGAGGAATCTTGGGGGATTTTATATTGTTTTAGGTTAATTTAGTCCATTTAGAGGTGCGGTAAAGGCTGTAGGTGGTGATTTGGAACGTTTTAGAATGTATGCAGTCTGCTAAATCGTATTTTACAAATTTTAGCGACATGTGTCACCATGGCGCAACTGGTAGTGAGTAAAATTTTTAGTCAAAAGGTCGCAGGTTCGAATCCCACCTGAAACAAAAGTTAGATTTTTGGGGTCAAAGGAGTTTCAAAAGAAGTAAAAAGACGAATAAAACCATTTTTTGTTGCAGACACCACCCGCAAGCCCCGAGATGGCGAGCTCCACGGAGTGAATTACTATTTCGTGGAGCGCTCCGAAATGGAAAAAATGATCGACAACGGCGAGTTCGTGGAGAATGTGGAATTCGGCGGCAACAGGTACGGCACCTCCAAAATGGCCATCGAAAATGTCCAGAAAAGCGGGAAGATTTGCATATTGGACCTGGAACTGAATGGTGTGAGGTCGCTGAAGGATCATGAGATGAAATTCAAGTTTATATTGATTCGAGCACCCAGTTATGAAGTTTTGGTAAGTTTGAGGGAGTTTTTATGGGTATTGCAAGGGGGATTGATGGTGTTTTGGAAAAAAAGGACCTTGTTTTAGGTGTTTTTGGGGGAAAGAAGGTGATTTTTGGCGGAAATTTTAGTAATTTGGGGGAGTTATGGGGATGAGAATAAGTTTTATGAGTTGGTAATGAGTTTTAAAAGAGATTGAAAGCAAAATTTGGGTGAAAAATTACCTTACAATGAGGACTTGCTCCAGTGGCAAAAAACGTACCATTTTGCATCCGGGAAGCATCAAAATGTGGCAAAATGCCTCTCTCTCCAAGTGAAAAAACTCCGTTTTGAAGGGCCTCACAAAAAGAGCCACCTTTGAAGTCGGAGTTTTTTCACTTGGACAGGGAAGCGTTTTGCCACATTTTTTGATACTTCCCGGATGCAAAATGGTACGTTTTTTGCCAGTGGATCAGGTCCCCCACTGTATTTTGCCTAATAAAATTGATTCAGGAGAAACGCCTCCGAGATCGAGGCACGGAGACCGAACAATCGATCCAAGACCGTCTAAGGCATGCCCGCGAAGATAATGAAGCCGCCGAGAAGGAACCAGGCCTTTTCGACAAAATCATCGTCAACGATCAGCTCGACCGAGCCTACGAGGAATTCATCAGTGCCATAAAAGAAGAATTAGATCTCTACGAGGCCCTCAAAAAAGAAGCCGCGGCAGAAAAGCCCGCGGAGCCCTAGTCTGTTAACTAAACCCATTTTTGTCTAGTTTATTTAGCATATAAGGTAGTAGTTTAGCTATTTGTTACAAGATTGTTGTCTTGGCTATCTTTTGAACAGCCATTTGGAACAACTAGTCTAGTCTAACCATAATTTTTTGTCATTTATATTGTCTTACATATGAGTAATAAGAACAAATAATTAATTTGAGCACAGTGCAGGGAATTTGGGAGAGATTTTTTTGGGAGGTACCCTTGGGTTGAAGAGAAGGGTCTGAAATTTATAGGAGTGAAGAAGCCAGTGATATTTTGGGGAATTTGGAAGGTTTGGACCTTATTTTAGACATCTAGGGCAGCTGATTTGAGAGGTCAAAAAATTGTATTTTGGGTGGTTGAAAATTAATGAAAATGGATTTGTTTTGGAGAATAAGAGTTAACTTTGGTGGGTAGATATCGCTTTGAGCAATTTTTTAACTGAATCTTTAGTTTTGGACCTTATTTTAGACATCTAGGTCAGAATATTTGGAAGATGTAAAAATCATGTTTTAGGAGCTGAAATGTTAAAAGAGTAGGTTTTATTTGTAGTGTAGTACTCTTAATTTATTTTGAAGTTCTAAGCTTAACGAAATTTTGAGGGGTTTTGGACTTCTGGACCTTATTTTAGACACCTGGGTCAGAAGATTTGGAAGATGTAAAAATCGTATTTTAGGAGTTTAAAGGTTAATATAATATATTTTATTTATAGCGCAAGAGTGTTAATTTACATTGAGCGTTTAAGTTCAGCAAAATTTTGAGTGGTTTTGGAGTTATGGACCTTATTTTAGACCCCTCTCAACATCAAATCTCAAGATAAAAATTCGAATTTTTAGGTAACCTTATGGCTTTTTTGAACTTTTTATTGCAATCCCAGGTTCTCTGCACTATATATCAATGTTTTACATGTTATTATTTTGTCATTCATCATCATCTTTCACCTCTTTCAGCCCGATCTGCACCATGCCCCCGTCTTGTGTCCGGCCCTCGAGAATTCACATCCCTCAGGGCAAAGGCATCACCGGCGAGGTCTAGCCCCCCTCTCCACACACTTGTTTGCCCCCACCAAACCGTCAGAATCATTCCATCTAGCCGGAATAATTAGAATCCGCACTTTTTGAATCCCGTTATTTCGTCATTTCATGGTAAATCTTGGTGTATTTCCGCTAAATCTCGTCGATGTTTGTATCACACGAATAAAATTCGGTTATGGGAACAGATTGGATGTTGATTTTGAAAGGATTTGAGGTGAAGTTACCTAAGATTTTACATTTTGAAGATGAAAAAAAGAATTTTTTATTTGGTATCTGGAGTACAGATGGCCTCCACATCACGGCTACCGCCATTACCGGCACTCAGAGACTTTATCCACATGTATCAGTTAAGGGCGACCAAGGTTTTATCGCAAAATTACATTATGGACATGAATATCAACAGAAAAGTAGGTAAAAACGATTTTTTTGGTCGTATTTTAGGCTGATTTTTGGAATAATGAAGGATATTAGAGTGAAATTTGATAATCTTCAGATTGTCCGCCAGTCCGGCCTCCGACCCAACGGCTATGCGCTGGAAATTGGCCCCGGTCCGGGTGGAATTACGCGAGCGATTTTGGAGAAAAATCCCAAAAGATTTGATGTGGTCGAGATTGATAGGCAATTTGAAGAACCGTTGGAGGTAATTTTTTTGCTTTTTTGTTTTTTTGAAAATGATCTTACGCGAGCCGGGATTCGAACCCGCGACTGTTTGAGTGAAGTCCGGAATTTTTACCCACTAGACTATAGAGGTACACTGGACTAAAATACGCAAAAAATAGTGTGAAAGGGAATATTGAAGTTTGTGGTGGAATATTTTGAATTTGAAAGGTGGTTTAGAGGGTTAAAAATGGGATTTTTCAGAGGTTTTTGGCGGAAATTAGAGATTTTTGGGGATTTTTACGAATTTTTTGGGATTTTTAAGGAAGTAATAGGTTGGAAAGTGTTAGGTGGACCTAGAGGGGGCTTATTTTTTGTTTTGCTCCAGGCATTTAATGATTTTTTATGAAAAAATTAAAAATTTTTGAAAATTTTTCACAATTTTTTGATTTTTCCCAAAATTTTCCAAATTTTAAGGTCCTGCGAGAAGCCTCCAACGACACCCTCCACATTCACATTCAAGACGCCCTGAAAACGGACCTCGGCGACATCATGGACTCGGCCAATCTCGAGCCGAACCCATGGTGGGACCAGCCCCCAAACTACCATGTAATCGGCAACCTGCCCTTCAACATTGCCTCCCCATTGATCATCAAGCTCTTGCGGGAAATGACATGGCGTCGGGGACCATGGAAATATGGCCGCGTCCCTCTGACACTGACTTTTCAGCTTGAGGTGGCCAAAAGAATTTGCGCACCGGTGGATTGCGATGAACGAACCAGGATCAGCATTGTGTCACAGTTTGTATCAGAACCAAAATTAACGTTTGTCATACCGGGGAGGTGCTTCGTACCGAAGCCACAGGTAAAATCGGATTTTTTGGGATTTTTAATTTTTTTAGGGATTTTTGGGAAATTTAGCGGGTTTAAGGTGATTTTTTTGCTTCTATAACTGATGTTGAAGATACACAGGGCCTTTTATAGTGTTTTGAAAGGGATTTCGGGTTTTTTTTGCTGATTTTTGCTGATTTTTGAAGAATTTCCCAGTTTTTGAGGGATTTTGGTTGATTTCAGCGGAAAATTTATAAAATTCCCCGCAATTTGACCCCCTCAGAGCCCTTAGGGCCCAAAGATTTCAATTTTCCAACTTTTGGCTAAGTGTGTCTCTGTGGCTTAGTGGGTAAAAATTTTGGTTGTCAGTTGAAAGGTCGCGGGTTCGAATCCCAGTACCTACAAATTTTTGTAAAATGGAAATGAGATGATAAAATAGCTCGAAAGGGTTTAGGATTAGTTTATGAAATGTAAAATATATAGAATATTTGGATTCTTTTGCCATAATTTTTGCATTTTTTCAAAATTTTTGGCGTTTTTGAGATTTTTTACAGATTTTTTGAATACAAAGTCATAATTTGCCCTGTTACTTGCAGGTTGATGTCGGAGTGGTCACCTTCATCCCTCGAGAAGAGCCTTTAATCGACACGTCATTCGAGGTTGTGGAAAAAGTTGCTCGGCATGTGTTCCATTACCGCCAAAAATACGTGATTCAGCCCATAAAAACGCTGTATCCAAAAGAAATGGCCGACGATATGGCGAATGATATGCTCAAACATTGCCGCATCAACCCGAAATGGAAGCCGTATTACCTTGGACTACCGGATTTTGCGGATTTGTGCACGTTTTACGAAAAACAGTGTCGAGAGTAAGTTGATTTTGACTATTTTTTGAATAGGATGTTGTAGTGTGACCTACAGTTTGGCTTAGAATCGATTTTTGGAGGTTTTGGGCAAGTGTACCTCTGTGGTGTAGTGGTAGTGGGTTAGGAGTAGAGGGTCGTGGGTTCGATCCCGGCTGGAGGAAAGGTGAAAATTTTTGGTTTTTAAAGATTTTATGGGGTTTATTGGAATGAGTGGTGTTTATCTATGTTGGTTTAGACCTCCTTTGTATTGTTTTATCATCAAAATTTACAAGTTTTGTATTTTTTTTGCAATCTCAGAACTTGATTTTGATGTTTTTTGCTGAGGATACTGTAGTTTCAAGAATTTGGATTAGAATTGATTTTTGGAGATTTTTTGAAAGTGTACCTCTGTGGTGTAGTGGTAGTGGGTTAGGAGTTTAGGTCGCGGGTTCGATCCCGGCTGGAGGAAAAGTGAAAATTTTGCGATTTTAAAACTTTTTAATGGTTTTTAAGGTCGAGTGGTGTGTATGTATGTTGGTTCAGACCTCCATTATATTGTCTTACCATCAAAATTTACAAAAAAATTTTTTTTTCGATTTTTTAAAATTTTTACAATTTCAGAACCCCCGGATTGTTTGCATATAACTACTTTGGGCAGGGCCACAGAACATTGGCGGAGCTCTCCACAGGACCGAACGCTTTCCCCCCAGTTTTTGAGATTTTAAAGGAAAAACAACCCAATTTCAAGGAGGGAATCTCATTGGCCCAAGCAAATCGACGAACAAATTAGGATTAAGTATGTTTATTATCAATAAAACATGATGCAATGGACTGGAGTTATTACTTTACACCGATATTTTTTGCGTAACGAAGAAAAATTGAGATTTTTTGACGAAAATCAAGATTTTTTGAGAAAAATTGTAATTTTTGATTTAAAATTGAGGGAAAATGATGGGATTTTGAAATGAAATATGTGGTATAGGGTGTAAACTGTCTGATAATAGTGGAAAAAGATGGAAAAACAAAATTAATTGAGGTGAAATTTGAGATTTTTTCAAATTTCCACCCCAAAATTGCGAATTTCCCAAAATTTTCACTGAAAATCGCCAAAAATCATCGTATTATACATTGAAGAAGATGGGAAATTTCATATTACAAATTTTCGTTACACTTACAATTGATTACAACTTGCAAAAACATGGTAAAAACCGAAAAATACTCCGAAAAGACCGCGTAAATTGATATACCAAATGTTTGAAAGAATCCGAATGTTAGGCCATGGTAAAGTGCTCTCCGTACAGTCGACTTAGAAGAACCCGCGGTAGTTGTTGAAGCGCTGCGAAAACCTCGGCAAAACGTCGTCGAAAATCCGACTCAAGTTGACGTCATAGTATTGCGAGGAGAAAAGGTTGTCGTTCATCCTGAAAATGGGCGTATTTTAGAAAAATAAACGGGATTCAGGAAGAATAGAGGAGGTATTTTGAAGTTTTGGTGTAAAAAAAGAGTTTTTATTTGAGGTGGGATTCGAACCCGCAAGGTTTTGAGTGAAAGTCCGAGACAAAACCAGTTGCGCCATAGGGGCACATTGGCCTAAAATTGATGGAAATGAAGAGCTTTGGGTAGGAATCGTCTCAAAATAAATTTTTTGAGATTTTTTACCATGAAAAAATGTGAAAAATAGACGCAAAAAATAGACAAAAATAGTTTTTTGTCTAGATTTCTGCGAATTTTTCGCGGAAAAAATCGATTTTTTGGATAAAAATTTTACTCGACAGTTCAAATAGAATGTCAGTTTTTTGTTTTGAAAAAAAAATCAGAATTTTAGCGATTTTTCGACGTTAAAATTTCGAAAATTTCTGCAAAGCGGGGTTTAAAAAATTCGAATTTGCGGTAGAAAAATTTTTTCTTAATTTTTCTCAAGTGTCATAAAAAGTATTTCGGCAAAAAAAAATCCCAGACTTACTCATCCATAAACATGTTGAAACTGTTGCTCATATGGTCCTCGAAGGCGTAGAACGGATACGCCCGGCGTCGCCGACGTGCGGGCTGTGTTCTCGACGGATCTACTGGAGCAGTATTACTCGTCGTACTACCAGTTTTGTCGCTGTTATTATTGGCTTCGGCGGGCCGAAGGTCGGCCGAGGTGTGACGTCGCGGCAGCCTGCGCCCAGTCTCCAGCGCCGTGCACAATAGTCGGTAGGCGAGCGTGACGGCTTTGGCGGTCTCCGCGTCACCTCCTTTGTCCGTGTGATGCAGGCGGATCTTTTGTTGGAACGCCTTCTTCAGCGAGTCCTTGTTGATTCGATGGTCCACATCGAGCAACTTCATTTGCTGACATAATTCCAACTCGGAAATGTTACGGAGCTCCTGGAAATGGACGAAAAATATTCATTTTTTTAAAGTTTTTGATTTTTTTTATTTTTGTTTTTTTGCACAGTAAAAATTTTTGTTTTGCACTGTGCAGTCGGAAAAAATTTTTTGCACGGTGCGAAAAAACAAAAACATTTTTTTTTCTTGCACTGTGCGGCAAATAAAAAATTCTTGCACGGTGCGGTGGAAACTTGCACTGTGCAGGCGGGAAAAAATTCTTGCACGGTGCGAAAAATAAAAAATTTATGCACTGTGCACACAAAAAATTTTTTTTCTGCATTGTACAAAATTGCACTGTGCAGTCGGAAAAAAATTTTTGCACGGTGCGAAAAATCAAAAACATTTTTTTTCTTGCACTGTGCGGTAGAAAATTGCCATGTGCATCCGGAAAAGGTTTTGCACCGTGCGAAAAAACAAAAAAAAGGTTTTTGCACTGTGCGGCAAATAAAAAAAAAAAAAAAAAAAAATTTTTTTTTGCGTTTTTTTGCACCGACGACTATCAGTCTGTCGGGAAAATAATGAGCACACTGTCACTGCGTCGATGGTGTCGGGGAAGTGAAAAGAAATTTGATTTTGCTGCGACACATTTTCTCTACGGCGATGCGATGCGACAGAGTGCTCATTATTTTCCCGACAGACTGATATTATTTTTTCGTCGATGACTTTAAAAATAAAATTTTTCCAAAAAACACGTACCTTGGCCATCTCAAACCCGAGCCGTCAATTATTTCTCCAATCCGATCGAATTCAAGCCCTTTGGGCACGATTTTTATTCGATCCAAATGCACTCCGAGAAACGGCCGAAAAATGATCGGAAGCCGGATTTCGGCCGCTGGTCACTCTCCGAATTTAATTCGAATGACTTATGCGCCTCGGCCACGATTCTCGAGTGGAATTGGGTTGTTTCGCACAAGCCGGAATTCGAATTATGTGGGCCTGAAAAAACGAGAAAGAAATTTATGGAAACTTTATAATGCGAAAAAACGAAAAAACCGAGGGCAAAAAGGCGGAAGTAAAAGACCGAATTAGATGTAAAATTTAATTTCGAGGAGGGTTCAACATGAAAAAGATTGAAAATATTGGGGAGGGAGGTCAAAAAATTTTTTGGTTTTTTTGAAAAAAAAAAATAAATATACAAAATTTTTTTTTCAGCGAAAAAATTGGCATCAAGTTCAGGTTTATAAAAAAAGATTTTTTAAAATTAATATAAAAAAACTCACAGTCAGGTCAAAAAACAAATAAAATAATATCAAAATATTTCAATTTCTCAAGAAATATTGGATAAACATGCTAATGAAGTTCTAAAATTACTCCTTTTACAATGAAATAGGCTGTTTGCCTCTTAAAAACACGCAGAAAATTACTTATGAGCACTCGAAGAAAGCCTATTTATAGCGGTTTTCGGGCCAATTACTCCGTGCAAAAACTCAAATAAGGCCATGCGATTTCGTAATGGAGACAATGGAATATTCCATGTTAGTCAATTAATTACGAATTTTTATTGGCAAATTTGTAATGGGAAACAAAAGTTGTTCTATTTTTAAAGGGACAAAGTTATAAAGTACAGTGTTTGAAAAATGGGAAAAACAAATTTAATAGTTGTTTAATCAAAAAATTTTGAATTTTTTGACATTTTAAAAATTTTTCGTATCGTAGAATATTCTTATCGCACTTGGAAAAGCGAGAGCTAAAATTTTTAGAGATTGATATATGGCCTATGTACAGTGGCGGATCTGATCCAGTGGCAAAAAAACTTTCCATTTTGCATCCGAGAAGCATCAAAAATGTAGCAAAATACCTCCCTCTCCAAGTGAAGAAACTCCGATTTGAAGGGTCCCTCAAAAAAAAGAGCGATGACGCTTTTGAAACCGGAGTTTTTTCACTTGGACAGGGAAGCATTTTGCCACATTTTTGATGCTTCTCGGATGCAAAATGGTAAGTTTTTTTGCCGCTCGATCAGGTCCGGCACTGTACATAGGCCATATATCAATCTCTAAAAATTTTAGCTCTCGCTTTTCCAAGTGCGATAAGAATATTCTACGATACGAAAAATTTTTAAAATGTCAAAAAATTCAAAATTTTTTGATTAAAAAACTATTAAATTTGTTTTTCCCATTTTTCAAACACTGTACTTTATAACTTTGTCCCTTCAAAAATAGAACAACTTTTGTTTCCCATTACAAATTTGCCAATAAAAATTCGTAATTAATTGACTAACATGGAATATTCCATTGTCTCCATTACGAAATCGCATGGCCTTATTTGAGTACTGTAGATCAACATTTGCGGAAAATCTGAGGGCAACTAAACACAGCGGATTTTTTCGTATTTTACGAATTCCTATTTTTCGCCCAAAAAATCGCATTTTGTCATCAAAAAAAATGCGAACTCAAAAGACCCCCGAAAACGTGACAACTCTCAAAGAATGTTAAAAATCTCCCAAAAACAAACAAAGATCCCCTCGGTGGTAGTTTACCCGGCCTACAAAAGAGATCTGAGAGAGTGCTTGAGACTCTTCTTATCTCAAAAAAAAATCGAGGAAGAAAAATGAGAGAACGTGTAAAATAATATGGGATTAACGTTGAATGTACGTGTTTCTCACATCACGAGACTGTTTTTTCTGTGGATTTCCGGAGGGTCTAATGGGCAAATAAAAGGAGATTTTTTTGTTTTTTGGGAGATTTCCGGTACAGCTTTTGGTTTTTCGACGAAAATTTTCCGGCTTTCACCGGAAAATTTGTTGAAATTCGCGGCTAAAAAAGCAAATAAACAAGTGAAAAATTGTTTGTGAAGAACGGATTGTACGAATAAAACGGGAATTTAGTGTAAGGTCAGATAAAAAAAAAGTAGTAAAAAAGGTTTCAGAATCTATTTTTTTTTTGTAAAATACGAATCACAAACCTAACTAAAAATGTTAGTCAATGATGACGTCACTTATACAGAAAAAAATATTTCAAATTCTCAAGAAATATTTGATAAACATGCTAATGAAGTTCTAAAATTACTGTTTTTACAATGAAAAAAGCTGTTTGTTTCCCAGAAAAAGTAGAAAATTACTTATGACCACTCGAAGAAAGCCTATTTATAGCGGCTTTCGGGCCAATTACTCCGTGGAAATACTGAAATAAGGCCAGGCGAACTTGAGTAATTCGTAATGGAGACAATTGAATATTCCGTTTTAGTCATTAATTACGAATTTTTATTGGCAAATTCGTAATGGGAAAGTAAAGGTGTACGATTTTAGAAGGGAAAAGATTATAAAGTTGGGTGTAAAAAGTGGAAAAATAACTTCAATAATATTTTTATGTCACAAAACTTGAAATTTTTCAAAAAAATTTTTTTTTTGATTTAAAAAAAAAATTATCTACAGACTCGCAAAAAAATACCGAATTATGACCAATTTTTGACGTAAAAATTTAAAAAATTTAAAAATTTTTAAAATTGGGTATTTCTGGGACGCGGAAGCTAGGATTCATTTCTTAGAAAAAAATCTTTTTTGAGTTTCCCATAAAATTTTTTCTAATAAAAGCAAATTTCCGATCTGAAATCCTATAAAATCCCATTTTCAATGGCAACTACAGTTTTTCTTCCCCATAAGAAGACCCGAAATTATTCGTGAACCCTGAAAGTTCGCCCAATTTCTTTGCATAAAGTCCGAGTAAGGGGGCTTCACGAGATTTACCATGGGTTCTTTATTAAAAATAAAGAGAGGAGAGTTTGCTGACGTCAACCGGGATTTTTAGAAAAAATATTGGGAGCGGGAAGTTATAGTAATCTAAATATTGCACTTTAAAATTTCAAAAACTAAAATTTTAATGCGAATTAGAAGTGCAGTAGGTCCATTAGTCCATTCGGAAAGTCGCCGGACTGATTTTTGGCGTTTGCACTGTGCAGAGTGCGAGCGACAGCCCAAAAACACCTATTGCACAGTGCAAGGAGAAACTATTGCATCAAATGACATGATTTTTTGGGTATGGTGTTAGATTGTCCCAAGATGTTTCTACGCCGAATTTGGAGGTTCTAGGCCCAGCGGTTCCCGAGATACGAGGTGGAAAGAAAATTTTGTCAACCAGTATAGAATCGGTTTGTTGTCCGGAGGTTCATTTTGAGCCTAAACTTTATTTTTTGGACTTTCTAAATTGTTTGCTGCGAGAGGTTTTGCTGCACAGAGGTTCCACTGTTTTAAGACAAAGTTTTGGCCAAAAAACCTTGGACGAGCCAAACAAATCTTATGAAATTTTCAGAAAAAAAGTCTGATTGGGATACTAGTCCGTTCGAAAAGTTGCTGGAGTTTTGCGACATGCAATGGGTTTCTTTTTGCACCGTGCAGTAGGTTTTTTGGGCTGTCGCTCGCCCTGACTTTTTTTGCACTGTGCAAACGTGAAAAATCAGAAAACAAGTTTGAATTTTGATTTTTTTTATCAAAAATATATCAATTTTTTTACCGATAAATAGAAAGGTAAAAATCTCGAAAATTTCTAAAAATATATATTTAAAAATTTAATCTAAAAGTACTAAATACAACTTTTTCTAAATTTTTCACAACACAAAATTGTTTTTGAAAACAAACAAAAAATTACAGTACCCTCAGAGTGCGTCATCAGCCTGAAAAACATTCAAAACTCGTACAAACGGCCTCAAAATTCCAAATGAACCCGTGTTTACACGTCTCTTTTACATTTCAGGAGGAAACGAGAGAAATCTCGTGCCCTCCGGACAACAGGTGTGATTTACCAAATTTATCGCAAAAAATTGATTTTTTTTTGACACGGACCGGAAATACGGCTTTTGCAAAGCCAATTGCTAGGGGGAAGAGCGGCGGATAAAAATAGATGGCGTGAGGGGAAATGTCACCAATTTTGGTGAATGTTTTTTGTTTGGAAAATACGCATCTCCGTATGACGAATTTTAATGAGCTTTTTTGAGTGGAGAAATTACTATTAGTCCGTTTGCAAAGTCGCTGGAGTGATTTTGGCGACATGCACTGTGCAAAAAAAAGTCAGAGCCGAAAAAAGCCTATTGCACGGTGCAAAAAGCAAAATTGGCACAGTGCAAGGTGTGCTTTGGCTTTCGCACAGTGCATGTCGCAGAAATCACTCCAGCGACTTTGCGAACGGACTAATGGTAATTTCTCGGCTCGAAAAAGCTCATTAAAATTCGCCATACGGAAGTGCGTATTTTCCAAACAAAAAAGATTACCCAAAATTGGTGACATTTCCCCTCACGCTATCTATTTTTATCCGTCGCTCTTCCCCCTAGCAATTGGCTTTGCTAAAGCCGTAAATCGAACGGACTAATAGTAATTTCTCCGGTCGAAAAAGTTCATTAAAATTCATTGTATGGAAGTGCGTACTTACTAAGCATGGCTGCAAACCGGGCCAGCCCGGCCCGGCCCGGGCCGCAGGCCCGGGCTTAAGTCTCCAAGCCTGGCCCGGGCCCGGGCTTGGAAAATTTGGAAAGCCCGGCCCGGTTCGGCCCGGAAAATTTTTATACTAGGTTGGAAAGAAAGAAAGCGGGAAATGAAAGGAAAATTATGGCAAATTTTCGCAAAATGTAAAGAAAAATTTAGCAAAACCTAGGTACATAAGGGCACTTTACGTTCGCTATCAGCATTGTGTTCGAAAAAATGCGGTCCGAGAAATTAGTCGGCCCGGCCCGGGCCGGAAAATTTTGCAAAGCCCGGCCCGGAGCCATGCCTAGTACTT